CGTTAACTCTGTTTTAGTGAATTAGACTGAAAACTCACCGACTCTTAGATAGGGAAAGTAACCCGGTTGCAAAGATGATATTCGATATAAAAAATTTCGTTTGACTATTAATAGAACAAGAGCATCTTAAATGAATCTATCCATGTGACAAACAGAGAAAAAAAGTTTCTATTTCAGAAAGTCACTATTTACAGAGGAGTTCTATTTATATTGCATTGCAAAGGACAACTTTGAGAGTGGAACAGAATTGTTTCTAATTAGTCAAAGGAAACCATATCCAATCTTGAAGTATTGTCATTCCACAACAATCACTTGACCGATAACTTAGGAACTACAACGTCTTTCAGCCAAGAGTCATGTTGGGTAAAAGTTCTTCAATATGGAGTGGCTTTCAGTTGGAGAATTGCTGAAGCTTTCAAGTTGGTACACTACTCGACCTTGACTCAAGTATAAAAGGCTTCTTCTTTAGCAAAACAATTTTTTGGCTCAATCTTTTGCTCTTTTTTCAGCATCGATGTGCAGAAAATGAACGATTATAGTGACTACATTTGAAGCCTTAATTGATGTCCTTATATAAGACATATTCACAACTTTTTAAAATCGAACAAAGGATAGACAACTTGTGTAGCTATTACATCAATAATGGCTTGTATTTAATGATAAGTCAGTATGACAATCTTCATCATACTCTTCTCCAAATTCAATTAGATATTTTTGTATTTATAAACTCTGCTACGAACGGTTGCACATAAACAGACTTCCCATTCATTGCAATTCTCTGTTTCCCACTATCTTTCGTCTGAAACTTACAAAAGGTTTGTATCTTATTCGACATGTATATAGGAGTTTTACTTGTAGGATGGTATGGAAGATAGTAGAACAACTCCCTTACAGTATAAAAGACGTCGAAAGAATATTAGTCAATCTAATTCACCACAAAAACTCATAGAAACCTATTTCCTGTATATAATAAAAGAAAGTTTCTAGTTATGACAAGAAAGAAAATATTCCTGCTTTCTCTCCATTGTCATTGTACGTCTAGAAGTGTCAACGAGATCAGTTCTACCAATCACCAAATAAAGCAACCGCTCGAACAATAAAACATACACTCTTTCCAACTCCTTTGTCCTCCTCCAAGTGTTTTGTTCTCGGCTCCTTTGAAAGCTTTTAGGTCATCGCTTTCATCACCCTTTTCTCATCATCACTCATTCATTGATTTTGGATTGCGGCGGCGTGGAAAATGGCTAGTCAAGAGATACGCATAAGTTTGCCTGGAATGACAAAAGTACCGTTAATAGATAGAAAAGAAGATATTTACTCTATTCTTCGAACTTATTTCCACCAGTTTTCTCCAGTTGAGGGAAACTTGAACATACGCCCTTCAGCTTGTTTCTCCCCTCACATCTTTGGGGCTGGCAAGAGTTTTGTTGGTGAAAATTTTTTAGAGTTTTTAAAAAAATTCGCCGACGAAGAAGAAGAGCAGACGAAGACGGAGGTTTTCAACAAGAGCTCATCGGGAAAAGTTGAATTGAAGATTTTTTCTTGGAAACACTTTGCGGAAAACACTTTGTCAGTTGTCTTAGAACTAGGAGAGAGCTTTTCTGATGCTCCTTTTCCAAGTTTTCTAGAGGCTTTGATGTATAATATTGTTTTGAACGCTTACCGACAAAATGGTAAAGATGCGGACGCTCTTCAGATAGCTGAAAGGACGGTAAAGAATTTTGATATTGTAGGAGCTATTAATTGGCTTCTCGAACAATTTCAGAAACAATATTTATTTTTGATGATAGACGAACTTAGCCACCTGAGTTACCTCACCACATACTATAGTGAACTTACCATGAAACAATTTATCGAGCCCGATGCAGAATATGTACCTTTCCGGAATTTTTTCCGCTTTTTGCGTGATTTGTTGATGACAGGGAAGGTAATCGTCTATTTGGCAGGCAGGACATCTCAAATCTCAGCCCGCATGTCTGATGCTCGCTCCAGTAGCATGAGCCTCGATATGTTGCGATTGAATCCTTTTAACCTCAACGATATTAATGAATATCTTGAGCTGGCAATTTATAGTGGAAAGACCTTGAAGGACTGGTTATTGCCCTCAGATGGCTTGCAACATCGATTCGCAGAATTATTAAAAAAGAAGACAGGAGGTATTCCGTTGATTTTAAAGAATACTTTAGTAGCCCTAGCAGAGAAAGCTGCAGACTTGTCGCAACCTGTTATCAACGATGACAATATGGAAAGTGTGTTAGATGATATTTTTCACTCTGTAGTACGAAAGACAACAACGTTTATTGTTCCGGAGATATTAGATTCTGCAACCCTTCTTCGATATCAATTTGTTCTTTTCAATTATCAGCTCGGGACAGTTTTTCCAATCAACTTTGCAATTACTCTATGTGGAACGAGAACTTATTTGATGGATTTGGTTGCAACTTTTGGGTTTTACTCTGAAGTTTTGGGCGAGGAATTCAAGATTGGTTGTTGTGAATTTATATTGCGAGCTCATAGCAACTATAAATTTTTCCGTGAGGCTACTGAACTTTTTCCTTTATCTCCGTTTAGTTATATTCCCGACACTTCAACAGCAAAAGGAGTCTTCTTTGAATTTGTATTTATGAAGATCTTTCGCTTTCGCTTATTAACTTTTCTTCATTCTAATTCCTCGCCTATTGTACATTCTGCTATTCCAGGAATTTTCCAGGGTTCTTTTATTGAACAGGACAATGTTTCTTATTCTATGGAATCAACAAAATCTTATGATATACCCATCTTGAGAAATGTCTCTCGTTCATTTTCTGGTCATTATAGAGATTATTTACAACGTTGTGGTATTTTTGTTCCAAAGGATGGCAATTCTAGTGGTCCTGATGCATATGTTGTATTCCATAATGGACAAACACGTTATGTTGTTGGATTTTCATTCAAATTTTATCACAAAACTGAATTTTCGAAAACAAATATTGAGGAAGAAGCCAAAAAATTTTTTAAGGGAGTTGTTTCCGTTTTGAATGACGAATCTTTTTCATCTGTTCAACTTCGTTTTCAGTTTGTGGTAGTATGTACTAGTTATGATCAATCTGTAGGTTTCTCTACCGAAGAACATAATATTGTTGAAGATGCAAGTGGTTTTGTGACTCAACATTCTTCGGGATCAACTTTGAATGAAAGTAGTCGATCATGTCTGCAATTGGTAATTGTTTCTCAAAGGAACCTTGAAGTATATTTGGGAAGAGATAATGTCGAAACGTTGAGGAAAATTGGGGAAGCAAACCGAGGAGAGTTTTCTAAAGACTTTTCAGTATGGTGTAAAACTCTCTTTGAGTCGATGTCCAATGAATATGTTTCATCTTTGGAAACGGAGCAATCAAATGTTACTTCAAGAGTGACTCGAAATATAAGACCGAGAACAAATGAGGAGAATAGGATGCAAACGGAAGGTTTTCAAAGTGCTATGCAAGTGGAACAAAGGGTTGCAGCATCGAGTTCTTTGTCTTCGTCATTTGATTGGAATACTTTCCTAAGAGAATATTGTGGTCTTTCTGAAGAAGATGTTGCTTATTGTCTTCCGAAAGTGGAAGATATTGATATGGACGAGCTTCCAGCGGTGACCAAAGAAATTTTAAGGGACTTGGGTATAGATAAACCTTCGTTGAGGTTGAAGATAAGATCTTCTATAAGGTCATATCTCGCTAACGAACGATGAATGTATTTGAGAGCTTTGTCATTTTTTCAATATGTTTCATTCGTTGTAGTTGCAACTGATAAATACAAAATTTTCTATTATTCTATTATCGAACATTGGAGATGTTAACCTGCTTTACTCGATTTTGAACAAATGCTTTCACAGGAGATATGGAGTCTTTTTATGTTTAGTGAGTTTTATTAAAGAAAATATTCCACTAAAAGAGATATAAAAAGCTATTGGTATAATAACTGGTATAGATAGAATTTATCTTCATACCATATTTATGCTGCGATAGGAGAAAGATAGCGTTGTAAGGAAGTTCTGTCAACTCCCTAACGACGCTTAAGCCTTTCAACAAAGTTGAGTTTGACCGAAATTAGCTTTGCAAAAAATCTTAGTTCTATTGCAACTAGTTTTGATTTGTTCTCATATTGTGTGCGGGGTGATCAGTCCAAATCGGATGTGAAATTTCACTTAACTATGCTTCTCCGTTTCATCTTCTTTCACAAAGCCTTCCTATCCCTACTTGTGATGTGAGTAGACGTTTTCTACTAGGATTATACAGACACTCCTTAACCGAAAACCCAAAAAACAATCACAAATAGGCAAAGTTAAATGAAATGAACATGTCGAATTGCAGAAAACACTTTGCAGTTGTAAACAATGTTGTCAACATAACATTTGAAAGATAGGGAAACTCGACTACCAAACAAAATGCCGAATATAATTTCACTGTATGCTATGCTTTCATAAGTAAATAAAATAAAAATGATAACAGTCTAAAGAATTCATTTTTCTTCATAGAAATAAACGGAATTTTTAATCAATCTGCAAGTTCTTCAAAGTACATCATCATGATGAATTATCGATGGTCATAACGATAGAAATTCTTCCGTCTAGAAATAAATAATGTCGGAATGAACTATTACATATTTCAATATTCATTTGGTATTTTGTGCTTTTATCATACTTCTTATAGCTGTTTCTTGGTGTTGACTTGTAAACTCCTACCTGCAAGCTTCGAAGATCCACTATGGTGACGAAATGGCAACATCTTTAGAATTTCCTGATGGACTGTATTTTATATTTTGGTGAATCAAGTATTTCACCCCACAATCAACCCCACTCCTGCCAAACCGCTCCACGAAAGACTCTTCAAGAGTAACTTAGAAACAAGAAACAGGCTATTTATCCTAATCAGTCCAGCAAATACCAGAAACTTGGTTGGTCCGAGTGCTTTACGCAAATGCTGCATCGATAAAATGATAAGATAGCCAGTGAAAACAGAGATGAAAAAGGTAGCTTTGGTGATCCAAGTCAACGATACGGAATCTTTCCAACTCTGTTGTTTCCACCCATACGGTACCGACCAAAAGGATTGTAAAAGAAAGAAGACACTACAATACAAATTTTCCAAAAAGCTCGCTTGAGCCGGACAAATTTTACACTGCAACAAATAAATGCTTCGCGTAGATAGTTCCACCAGCTGTACAAACCACACTCATAGTTATCCATGGAATAGAAAGGATATTACCATAAAACTCAACATCTCCAAACGACAATACAGCACCCATAAAAGTCCCCACAAGGTAAAGAAACTGAATCCTACTCCAACGAACGGACTGTAGAACAAACACTTCGTAGAGAGAAGTTAGTATAGGAGCAATAAAACGACCAGCTCCAACAGTACGAAAAGAGCAGTACTTTAAGGCCTGAAACATGGAATATAAAGAACCTGCACGGAATACAGCAACAGGACCATAAGCTATTGTTCTGTTCCAAGAAGGAAAGAATGACTTCCTGTTAGACATAAAGAAATAACAGACATAATATATCAGTAAAGGTAAGAACGACTGTAAAAACAGTATCTCATTCTGTATTCGTGCCTTGGAAATATGATGGTTCGAATAGTGAACCACAATATTCACCATTCCATAAATAGTCATCCAATAACCAACATCTATTATTCATATTGCCAATCTCAACGGAAAGATTTCGAGTGACTTTGAAGACGCTCTTGTTACCCCCCGTAGATATGCACACAGCATGGAATGCCTATAGTCTTAAGAAGACCCAACCACGATAGGTTCTTCACTCTCCAGAAAAGTATGCAAATATTTGCTCCAACGGAGTTGAGACCAAAAGGACTACAAGGGCCACCAGGTAACCGCAGCCAAAGAACAAAACTTAATTATGTCCGCACACCTCTGAAACATTTGTTGTGGATTCGCTTCCGTTGAAAGGCAATGAGTTCCTACCGCGCAAGAGTTATTCATAGTCACTATACTTGTCCTACAAAAGCTCCTTTTTGTACTTGGAACTTTAGACAGCTTCTGGTCCAGAGCCTTCCTGAGATGGGCCGCGGTTGAATGCTGAAGCTACTACAAGCGTTGTTAACGAAAATGTAGGAAACCGTCCCATTGAATGCCACTGGTTGAAAGTTTTTCTTGTTATTAAGCGCATCCACGTAGTTAGAAAGCTTGCTCTTTCATCCATTTCATCTTACCACAGTTGTAGTTTTGCGAAGTGGTACTCATTGAATAGAGCAAAGCCTTCCGGTAGCATCGTCAGTTTGAAACAACTTTTTGGACGGAAGACATATGAACAACTCGAAAGGATTTTTGCAAAGAATACTATTGCTTCAACAGATTCTGATTTAGTCTTCTTGAGATCTGTATTTACATTGTTATTTCAGGAAATAAATTGGTCAAAGGTACAAGACAAGTTTCTGGTACGGGAACAGAACCAGAACGAAGTTTTCTTCCAAGATGGATACGAATCTTATGCAAATAAAAGATACGATAAGCGGAGGAAATGATGCTGCATCATTTTTTTGGCGTACTTTCTTAAGAGAATATTGTGGCTTAACAGAAGCTTCTTTAATAGAGCGTTATGTACATCAACTCTATTTGTTCAGTCCAATATCTTTCTTTATCTAAATGACACATTTTTATCTCGCTGTGGTATAGCGCCATGACACGTCATTTTGATTCTCCTTGGCACTTGTGAGCCTTTAAAAAAGACGGAAAACAATCAACTCACTTTTATTTGACAATAACTGATAAGGTTGCTTTATCGTATTTCCGTAATAAGAACAGAGTATTGAGAAAATTGTTCTTGAAATCTTCAGTCTTAAGTATACTTGAATGACGAAATTCGAAAACTATTTTTTGAACTAAAACAACTATCCTTAGCACTTTTCAAATGAAAGAAAGTAAAGGAGGCCATTTATCATTTTGGGAAAATATTATTGTTATTTAAAAGCAACGAGAAATTGACTATTCTTGTATTCGGCATTCTAAAAGTTTGACTATCCAGCTTATCATTCTGCTATGAATAAAGAAAAGAGTGTCATATATTTGATGAGTATCCGTTCCGTTAGCAACATAGTTTAATGACTCTTAGAAGAGTCAGAGTTTGAAATTAAATTTTCTTTGACCACCGATTATGACATTTGTGCTGATGTGAGCATTTTACTGGGTACTTGCGCTTCGTTTTCAAAATGAAAGGTTTGCCTATCAAGCTGTACCTGTTATTAGTAGTGTCTGCTCTTGGTGGAAGTGTTGCTGGAATGGACGCTGCAGTTGTTAGTGGTGCACAATTGTTCTTTGTTTCGAGATTCAACCTGAACGCGTCTCTTCAAGGTCTTACTATTGCCTCAACGTTGTTGGGAGCTCTTTTTGGCTCACTTTTGTGAGTTTGTTAAACGGAGGAGTTTTGATTATTCTCATCTAGAGTAGGTCTATTGTGTTGAATAGATATTTCGGTAGAAAAGGCGCTATGTTTTTCGGTGGACTAGACGTCATAGCAGCTGGCTTATTGGAGGCTCTTTGTAATAGTTGGACAGTTCTATTGTTAGGGAGACTTACTTTAGGGTTATGTTTGGGACTCATGACTAGCACTATACCTATGTTTCTGGCAGAAAGTTCTTCAAAAGATACTCGAGGAACACTTACTACGGTTTATGAACTGGCTTATGCAATTGGTTATTTCACTGGTCTTGTTGTTGACGTGATTTTTGTTCACGTAGATAGTGGCTGGCGTTTCATGCTTGGTTCAATAGTAGTTCCTGCAAGTTGTATGACTGTTGGCTTATTTTTCACTGAGGAGTCTCCGAGATGGCTATTGGCACGCGGACAAGAAAAGGCGGCATGGGATTCACTAGTGAAATTACGTCGTTCAGACCAAACAGCTTTGGAAGATTATGCTTCAATCTGTGAATTCATGCGAAAAGAAAGAGAGACAACCAAGTCATCTTCTGGATTTCTTCGCATTGTATTTGAGAAGTCTAGTGTTCGGCGTTTAATAATGTTGGGAATTGCGCTCCAAATTGCACAACAGTTTTGTGGTGTCAATGCTGTGATGTATTATTTTGATTACGTATTGCAACTTACGGGTATGACTGTTTCTCGTAGCATCAATGTTAGTGTTTCACTGGGCTTTGCAACAATGCTTTTTGCATTACCTACTATTTGGCTGATAGATCGTGTAGGCAGAAGGACGTTATTGTTGCTGTCTATGCCATTTCTGTCTCTGACTCTTTGGGTTTGTGGCTTGTCGTTTCTTGGTGGAAATGAACTACGTGAGGCATTGAATATCAGTGGAACAATATTGTTTCGTTTCTTCTTTGGCCTTGGCCTTGGACCTGTTGTGTGGGTTCTCGTTGCTGAAATTTATCCTTCGAATATTCGATCACAGTGTCTGACGTTGAACTCATTTGCTAGCTATTTGTTCAATTTTATAGTGTCGTTTACTTGGCCAGCTATGCTTAAGTCGATGCATGCCCAAGGAGCATTTGGTTTTTTTGCTGGTTTTACGTTGTTATCCACCCTCTTTGTCTATTTATTTGTTCCAGAGACAAAGGGCTTAGAGATGGACTCCATTCAGGACTTATTCCAATATTCAATGTATAGTATTGCCAAGAAGAATTTAAATCATGCAAAAGAGTACTGGAAAAAGTTAACCGGTCACTCTTATAGGAATGGAGAACAAACCATGAGCAATACTGCTGCGTTATATACGGAACATGATAAAGCTCGGACAAGTCTTTAGAAATACCAGATTGAAATTTGTGTACGGATTGACTGGAATGCTTCTTGTTCTATAAGAATGTTATACAGATTGTAACTTTTGCAGAAATGAAAATAGCTTTTTGGAAACTTGCAATAGAGGGCCTATAGAATGATATGGTGAACGATAAGTGTACCTTAGCTTGAGCAAATTTCAAGTACTATACTTTTTGCAAAATGAAAGAAATCAGTCTCAAGTAGATATATTTGTATATGAAAACATCTAAGATGATGAAACTGTAGTTCAACAAAACGTAACTCAAAACAGCTATACTTTTCCGCCTCACATTTTTGGATGTGGGAAAAACCACATTCAGTAGTTTCGTGGGAACGCAATTTCCCGCTGAACTAAAAATTTCTTGGAATTTTTTTTTACTTAATGATGTTTTCATAAAATTGACTGTCATTTTGAGATATGAAACTACTTATAGAAAACTACGACAAACGAAAAAGAGGCTAAATAGTTGTTCTCAATTAAAATTTATTGTTAAAGTTGCTACTAAACTCTCGAGAAAAACTTTCTATTCTTTTAACACTCTTACCTCATATTACTGCAAAAGCTGCATTTTTAATAGGAAAAGAAGGTGGATTTCCATTCTCTCCTTCAGCACGCAATTTTGGGTCTTTCTCGTTTTAGCACAACAACAGGATTGTTTGTTGAAAAATGTTCTTGTTCGAAAGGATAAGTGACGAAGATTGGAAGCGTATAAAGTCAACAAGAAAAGCATATTCGTTTCGTAAAGACTTCAAGGCTAAAGAAAGTTCACTGGAAGAATTAAACTGTTCTGGTATGCTGACTTCACAGTTGGCTGAAGAAGCGTCTGTCGAAACAGGAACCAGCTGGCTTTTCATTGCCACTCCTGAACTTAAAGTTGCCATTAGAAGTGAACTCGTTGTTGAAGTAATTCCTTTAAAGGAAAGTATAGAGGAAGTGTTTTTCTCTGCTTTGAATAATTCTTTAAAACAACTTGCAAGATCTTCCGACGTTTCATTTGATTGCGTTGTAGTGGAAACAGTGATTAATGTTTCTCTTTACTACAACGAACAAAGTATTGAAAAATACTCAGCTCTATTAAATTCTTCAAGTAGACTTGGAAAGTTGGCTGGCTATTCCGAAGTGGAACGCGTTCATTGTGTTATAAGTGACATCTCACAGTTGGAACAAGAACTACGAAATATGCATAAAGTATTGGATAATGTCAGAAGTTTACTATTGGCTGTAGCAGAAGGTTCTAACATAGCAAAAAGTAACGAAACATTTGTGCATTATTTGCACGAAAGGAATGGTATGATGAATTGTATATTGTCCTGTTTGAAGGTAAGTCAAACATTTTTGAACTTTTTCTATGAATTCAAATTTCATAGAAAATTCTCTTATTCGAGAATAGAACAATGGAAGTGAAGAGTAGTCTCCGTTTGAAAGAGCAAGAAAGTATTGCGGATATAAAAGGAAGGACCGATCGCGTTTTGGAAGTTGATATTGCTGGAGTATTTTTCTCTGCTGTTTTTTCTGGAGTTTTGTTGGTAAGTAACTTTTGAATACTTCACTTATTCTATATTACTTGGCCATCAGGTTCCTGCTTACTTTGCGTTCAATATGCTCATTCCTATTGAGCATTTAAGGAATGGAAGTACCTATTTTTTCATTGCTGTGGTTATTGCTTGTTTTGTAGTTATCTTTATAATGACGATACTTTATGCTAAATGGCTACAGAAGAATCGAAAAATGAGAGTTTTGTTTGCTAAATCTTTATCTTTGGATAAGAATGAAGACAGGTTACCATCACTGTGAAGAAGGAATCCGAGAAAGCAATAAAAATAGTCTGAAGCCTTATTTGTTTACATTATTGTGATAAAGGAACATTTTGTTCTGACAAGTTGTTGTAGAATGGATACAGCTGCCCAACGAAAGACATTGTCGAAAAAGAATGCTTACTGCTTTTCTTTGTGATAGTTCATATGCGTCTCATTTTTGTGTTGTAAGAGACTCGAACATTGTTCGGTTTCCTTTTCGTAGTCATGTTATTCCAAGAAAAGTTCTTTCAGTACGATATACTTTGTCTATTTTAACTAAACTATGTTGCTCGAATAAAATTCGAGTGGTTGATAAAGCAGACTCTCATCTTTTGATACAGAAAGCAGTAGAGAGCCTATATCCTATATTTCAAAGTAGAGACCAAATAACCAAGAGGAATTTATTTAGGTTACTTGAGGCCTTTCGTCAACATAGAGTGTCGCCTTCAATGTTTTGGAGTGCTAACGGTTATGGTCACGGAGATTTGGGAAGAGAAACACTCGACCAAATATATGCTTCTTTATTCGATTGTGAATCCGCACTGGTTAGACTCCAATTCTTTTCTGGAACACACGCCATTGCTTGTTGTTTATATGGAATCCTGCGACCTGGAGATGAATGGGTGTCCCTTACTGGTCCTCCTTATGAAACCCTGGAACAAGTTATTGGGTTGACAGGGAATCAAGGCAATGGAAGTTTGAAAGATTTCCAAATAGGCTTTCGACAACTTGACTTGAGAGCAAATGGTGAAATAGACTTGGATGCAGTATCAGGTTTCATTCGTAAAGAGACAAAGCTCGTATTCTTTCAACGTTCTTGTGGATATGCATGGAGGAAGTCAACAACTATAAGACAATTAGCAAAAGCTATTGCTCATGTAAAACAAATTCGACCCGATATTATATGCTTTGTGGATAATTGTTATGGAGAATGGGTAGAAGAAATGGAACCAACTCATGTAGGCGCAGATATTATTGCAGGTTCGTTAATCAAGAACTGTGGAGGTACCATTGTTCCTTCTGGGGGTTATATAGCGGGAAGAATGCAACTGGTAGAGTTGGCAAAGAGTAGACTCTCTGCACCGGGTATTCAAGGAGGAGCAACATTAGACCATCTTAGAACCTTATATCAAGGTCTCTTTCTTTCTCCTCAATTTGTTGGAGAAGCTATTAAAGGTGCTTGCCTGATTTCACAAGTTATGAAATCCTTAGGTTTTCCAGTTCAACCTCTTCCACATGATTATCGAACAGATATCATTCAATCAGTACAGTTAGGAAATTCTCATTTGGTTTCAAGTTTTTGTGAATCTGTGCAAAGAATGTCACCAGTCAATTCTTATGTTCAACCTATAGCTGGAAATACACCGGTATGTGATTTATTTCTATTATTCTTTTGTTATCTCGAAGTATCTGATGAATGGAACGTTGGACTCAGGGATATGAGGAACAAGTCATTTTTGCCAATGGTACATTTATAGATGGCAGCACGAGTGAACTAAGTGCAGATGGACCTTTGAGGAGTCCTTTTTGTATATTTACTCAAGGAGGAACTAGTTGGTTACACTGGCAATTGGTTTTAGAAGATTTCGTGTCTCGATATAATGAAAATCTATCATGAGACCAACTTGGTCTCTCTAGTTTCAACTATGAACAATAGCTTGAATATTATCGTTAAGACGGAATGGGTTATCAATAAAGATAAATAGGAAGATAGGATGTTCTTTTTACGTCGACATGGTTGATTCCTTATGCGGCTTTGTACTTTAACCAATATATTATTTGTCATTATTTGGCGCGCTCACATTTCTCTTGTTGAAAATCAAAAGGATGAAGTTAAGTAACTGCACTGACGATATGTACCCAGTCAAGTTGAAAATTTACAAATACTTGTCTCTCGGACTAATAAGAACTGCTAGTTTTCTAGCAAGCAAGCTCTATCACGCTACTGAACGATCTCCAGATGCAAAGCTCATCTACCTCAACTGTCTCCTTTTGGGTGGAGAGTTTAAAAGAGCAAATAGCTTTTACAGCACACAAAGTGAAAATATTTCTTCTTTAAAAAAGCTTGACAGAATCTTTTTTCTTCGCAGCATCTTGTCTCACCAAGACACGAAGCAGCAGTTGAACGGTGATAAGGATAGCCTGCTAGAGTCTTTTTTTTCAAGAAAACTCGAAGACCACGAAAACTTCGACTCAAGAAAATCGAATGAACAGTCATTGCCTATTTCACTAGATTCTTCTTTTGTTTTATTGGAAGAAAACAGTCGTGAAGTGGAAGCAGCATATTGTTATTTGCAAGGAAAAGCAGCTTTACAACTAGTTAGGAAGAAAGAAGCAACAGAACTGTTGAAAGAAGCTCTTCAGTATGATTGTTTTTGCATCGACGCGATAGCTACTTTGTCAGAAAGTGACTTGTTGACAGAAACAGAAAAGAGAGAGCTTGTTTTGAATTCAAAACTATTGGAAGATGAATCTTGGTTGCAACTTTTTTATTCAGGACTTCTTAAATGTTCTCTGAGTAGCTTTTATGAAATTGCAAGCTTAAGATTGAATTCCTTGACCAATGAGACGGTTCCAAAACGGTTTTACCTTTCTGTAGAGTCTATGCAAAACGTTCTTGCGAGTTGTCATTCCCATTACTTCTGTGAGGACAATCTAAAAAGGTTGTCATCAGATACGGACTTTTTAATAACGATATGTGGTTTTTTGTATTCACAAAAACGATTTTCACATTGCGACCAAGTTCTGGACAAAGTATTGACCCAAGATAAATACTGTTCTTCTGTGTATACATGGAAGGCAGCATGTTTGTATGCCCTCGGGAAAGTCCATGAGCTGTTTCGTTTCGCGCATTGGTTGGTTCGAGAGTTCCCCCAGTCGGAATGTTCTTGGTATGCTGTTGGTTGCTATTATTTGAGTTGTAATCAATATTTTCAGGCAAGACAATATTTCCAGAAAGCAACCTCGCTACGACCATCATGGTCTCTTTCATGGATAGCTCTAGGACATGCATTTGCATTTCAAGATGAAAGTGATCAAGCTTTGGCTTCTTATAGGACCGTGTATCGCCTCTCTTCACTCAGTTTCGATAGTGTTTTATTTATGGCAATCGAATATTTGAGACAAAACAATTTTTCGCAGGCACAGCGTTTGTTAGAACAGGCATCGAGTATCGCACCCTCAGAACCTCAACCTTTTCATGAAATGGGTGTCTTACATTATCGACAAGAGAACTTTGCAAGTGCGATTGATAACTTTCAGAGGTCATTACAACTAACGAAGCAAATGATTGGCGATATTCCAAGTGCATATCCAGAGTTGAGTGGCTACTTTAGTATGTTGACTGCTTCTTTGCTAGGTTTAGGACACTGTTACCGACGTCAAGGACTATATTCAAAAGCATTAGATACCCTTGAAGATGCTTTAACGATTGCTCCACAAGACCCCTACATTTGTTCTGCTATTGGTGTGACATATCATAGCCAATGCAAATATGAAAATGCAATAGAGATGTATCATCGTTGCATCACTCTAAAAGGAAGAGACCTTTTGGTGGAATCACTATTGGAACTTGGCATGAAATCTTTAACAAACACTTGTCTTTGATGACAAAATAAATATTTCTTGCTTTTGCAAAACTCAGGCTAATGTTTTATTTCATGCAACAAAGAAACCAAACTAAACAAGAAAGGAACGACTAATGGTTTTAAAACTCCTCATCACCTTCAGCATCATTGGAATCCATGCCAACCTCTTCATAATCTTTCTCAAGAGCTGCAAGATCCTCACGTGCCTCCGAAAATTCACCTTCCTCCATACCTTCTCCTACATACCAATGAACGAAAGCTCTCTTTGCATACATAAGGTCAAACTTATGATCGATTCTAGCAAAGACTTCAGAAATGGCAGTACTGTTTGAGATCATGCAAACAGCGCGTTGGACCTTCGCCAATTCTGAGTCAGGAATGACAGAAGGAGCCTGATAGTTGATTCCACATTTGAATCCTGTTGGGCACCAATCCACAAACTGAATAGTACGTTTCGTCTTAATAGATGCAACAGCAGCGTTGACATCCTTTGGAACAACGTCTCCTCGGTACATTAGACAACAAGCCATATATTTTCCATGTCTGGGATCACATTTAGCCATCATATTAGAAGGTTCAAACGCAGAACTAGTAATTTCGCCCACAGACATTTGCTCATGATAAGCCTTCTCTGAAGACAACACAGGAGCATATGAAGACAACATAAAGTGAATCCTTGGATATGGCACCAAGTTAGTCTGAAATTCATTGATATCAACATTCAGAGCTCCATCAAATCTCAAAGAAGCTGTCAAGGACGAAATAACTTGGGCAATCAATCTGTTCAAGTTAGTATAAGATGGTCTCTCAATGTCTAAGGATCGACGACATATGTCATAAATAGCTTCATTGTCAAGCAAAACATCAACATCAGTGTGCTCCAAAAGAGAATGAGTAGACAAGACAGAGTTGTAGGGCTCTACAACCGCAGTAGAAACTTGCGGAGAGGGATAGACAGTGAAGCCGAGCTTAGACTTTTTGCCATAGTCAACGGAGAGCCGTTCCAAAAGAAGCGAGCCGAAGCCTGCTCCAGTACCTCCTCCAACAGAGTGAAACACCAAGAATCCCTGTAATCCAGAACAGTTATCCGCTAGCTTTCGAATTCTTTCCAAAGTAAGATCAACAATCTCTTTTCCAATAGTATAGTGTCCTCTAGCATAATTGTTAGCAGCGTCTTCTTTTCCCGAAATGAGTTGCTCGGGGTGATAAAGGTGACGATAAGCACCGGTACGAACTTCATCTACAACAGAAGGTTCCAAGTCTACGAAGACGCAACGAGGCACATATCGTCCAGAACTCGTTTGAGTGAAGAAAGTACCAAATGCCTCCTCGTTTGCTGTGTTCCCTTGTTTGTCAATGGTACCGTCAGCGTTCACACCATGCTCTAAACAATAGAGTTCCCAACAAGAGTTTGCTACTTGGACACCAGCTTGGCCAATGTGTAGAGAAATCACCTCACGCATTTTTAACTTGTCTTTCTTTAAACTGTAAGAAATAAGAGAAGTAGTTCAACGATGGCTTAATGAGGCACCAACGTCAAACGAAAGTCAACAATCGATTAAGTGTATCTGTTTTAGCGATAACGTCCTCTATTTAAAGAGTAATTTTGGCGCGAATCATGCGAATGACGCGTTTAAATATTGGCGGGCCCATGGTTACGATTTTCGGGCATGCTTCGTGTTCAATTGTCAACTAAACCCTTTTGTGGCAATTACCCCCATAGATGATAGATAGACCACAAGGGCATCCAATATTGTTGAAATAACAAGAGCAAAATCCCAAATCTTTTGGAACAGGTTCTGTTCAAAGAGCACAGAAAACCGTTTCCTCCCATTTGTGAATAACTGACGAGTCTATGTAACACGCTACAGCTAACTTCAAAGTTCTCGAGACAACTGTTGACTTTCATTCTAATGGAAACATACTGTGAATAAAGTATCTCATCTAAAGAGGTGTTAGGAAAAAATTATCTTATGGGATAAGAAATTCTAAAGCGCGGTGGCCCACAAATATGACAAGCTTATTGGACGAACAAAAAGATCTTTTAAGAAAAAATTTACAGAATAAGTAACAGCTATTACTTTTATGAGAAAAGAAGAATCATCGACAAGGAAAGAATGCAAGCAACTTAGATTACTGCTGGGACCTTTCCGACTAAACGTAAAACGGTGGTAGCTATTTGGTGGGACTGTAATCCAGCTTCATCGTACTGCTCACCTTGTGAGCCATGTTCTATAAACTTGTCTGGAATCACCATAGACCTAAACTTGAGGTTACCAGTATCTAAGTAGCCATTTTGGCTGAGGTATTGGACGACATGAGAGCCAAATCCTCCGATACTATTTTCTTCTACTGTTATAAGAATTTCGTTCTGTTTGACAAGATAATCTATAAGTTCGATGTCCAACGGTTTCATAAAACGAGCATCTGCAACAGTCACCGCCAATTGCTCGTCTAAGCTTTCCAAATGTACAGCAGCGTCGACACAAGAAACAAGGCGAGTGCCCAGAGAAAGTAATGCTACATGAGTTTTTCTATAAAGGCTACTATTATCTTTCTCCGCCGAATAAAGGTCTGTTGCGCCAGAGTTGCTTTGTCTTGCAAGTCGACGCTCGATCAGTCCCTCTTGGGTAGAATTCTTTCCTTCACGAAAACGCCCCCTACGAACTAGTCTGCCTTTTCCAATTTTTAATACGGAACCTCTCTCTGGCAATTTCTGGTCTTCCAACTGATAACCTAGTTTGGTAACCAATGTCTCGATTCCAACTCCAACACCTCGAGGATATCTTACGGCACTTGGCTTACCGTCGATAGAGAGAGAAGTAACCACCATGTTCATCAATTCTATTTCGTTACTAGCAGCCATGATTACTATGTTAGGAATACATCCAAGATAAGTTAAATCATAAGATCCTTGATGTGTGGAACCATCATCCCCGACCATCCCTGCTCTGTCTATCATGAATCTCACAGGCAAGGACTGTAGTGCGACATCATGAATGACTTGGTCATAACCACGCTGCAGAAATGTTGAATAAATGCAACAGAATGGCTTATAACCCTCTGAAGCCAATCCGGCAGCGAAAGTTACCGCATGCTGCTCTGCAATGCCTACGTCAAAGCATCGAGAGGGAAATTTTTCTCCAAACAGATTTAACCCTGTTCCTCCAGGCATAGCAGCAGTGATAGCAACTATCTTGCGATCTTCTTCTGCTTCTCGAATCAATGTATTGGCGAATATCGTAGAGTAGTTGAGAGGCGCTGAACTAGACTTTACATCTTGTTTTTTTAGAGGTTTCCCAGTTTCAACGTCAAAGCTAGTCACACCATGATATTTATCCAGTGCTTTCTCCGCTGGAGGATAGCCTCTACCTTTTTCAGTCTTCACATGGATAAGTACTGGCTTATTGACATGCATATCTCGGACATTTTCTAGAATCGGAATAAGGTCTTCGAGGGAATGACCATCGACCGGACCAACATAGTAGAAACCAAGTTCTTCAAATAATGTGCCACCACCTGTGAACAGTGTTCTGGCATATTCGTCAGCCTTTGCAGCAAATCCTTGAACTTGATGAGGAAAGATGCGTGATAAATCCTTTGCCAAAGAACGGATATTAAGAAATGGGGAGGAAGATAAGAGACGATTAGTATATTTGGAAAGAGCCCCGGCAGGAGATACTCCACCAGCAGTCTTCGTTCCTGTAGGTAATGATACTTGGTTATTGTCATTAAGGATAACAATAACTCTGTGATTAAGATATCCACAGTTGTTCATTGCTTCGTATGCCATTCCTCCAGTAATACCTCCATCTCCAATAACGGCAATGCAATGGTTTCGTTTTCCTGAGAGGTCTCTTGCTGTAGCCATTCCAAGAGCTGCAGAAATAGAAGTGCTAGAGTGGCCCGCTCCGAAAGGATCGTATTCCGATTCTGCCCTTTTTGTAAAGCCTGATAAGCCACCATACTTGCGCAAAGTTAACATACGACTCCTACGACCCGTAAGAATTTTATGTGGATACGATTGATGAGAGACATCCCAAATAAGCCGATCCTCTGGAGTGTTAAAGGCGTAGTGAATTGCAAGAGTCAATTCAATTACGCCTAATGCCGCGCCAAGATGACCACCAGTCTTACTCACAATTCGTATGACTTCCCAACGAAGCTCCTAACGAAACACTTGAGCGAGGTAACTCTAGTATATAACAAGTAACTTACGTGTGATAGTCTCAGGAGTTCCTGCAAAGAAAGTTTTTTCAGTTCGTTGGGAAAGTTGATAGTATCAAGTAAAGGTGTCACACTGCTGCTTGAACGACTGTCCTTCTGTTCTTTCTTACCGTGTTGTTCATAATAACTCTGGTCACCGACGGAATTCCTCGCAGCAATCAAACCCCTTTTTGAGAAACGCCTATTTCTTCGAGAGAGAGCGATTCGCTGATTAGGAGACTGCAGAAACCCTTGTGGGGACAAACTGGGATTGATAAACTTGAGCAACCCCGAGCATCGTTGCTGACAAGATTTACAGAACACTTTGCGGTTATCAACAGCACTTAGGGAATATACAGGTGTATACAGAAAGAACGACTGAGACATTTGAAAAGTCTGTAAACGACTAAAGTATTTAACGAGAAAGATGGATCACTAAAAATCTCGGATGAGTGCGCCACCACTAACGAATGCCCAAAGCCATTAATTACGTTGTTAGAGGCTACATATTTCTAGTTGAAGCTCATTTCATGTGGGTCGGAAGCTTCGAGAAATAATTGGTTGACTCTAAAAGTACTGACTTTTTAGGACAACAATATTCAAAATAAAGAAGAATCATAACAAAGAAAGTAAGCACCGTTAGAGTTGGGATAAAAGACCACTAAAATGTCTTCTAGACTGCTTTGTAGTTGAGCAGCTAACATTTGGAGATGATAATATCAACTTAAACAATGTCTATTGAAAGTCACTCAATGCATAAAGAATGAGCATTGAACTATTTACCAATAAAATACAAGGAAAATGTCACAGACAATTAATAAAAGTCTTGATTTAAATACAGTGATACAAGACCGATAGACCAGATGTTCCACTTTTGATGTTTTAGATAAGGAATACGAAGAAACTTTGAGGAAATGCCATGACGACTTATTTCCAACTTTCGACAGAAGAATAGGGTGGATAGACTTTTCAAAGCTGCTACATCTACTTGAAGCTTAATTGACGGAATTAAACTCTTAGATAAAGTTCAAGTTGTTCTTTTTTGAAACTTCTTGTATTGAGAATACTTCTCCGTTCAAGTTATCTTCACAGACCAGAAAAAGCTAAAAGTTACTTTGACCAAAAGTAAGTAACCACAAGAGATAAACTAGAAATATGCAATACCAATGCAACAAAAGTTATTTTAGCATAAAGTCCCAAAAAGAAGAATATTTGCAGTGACACAACGATATTCGAAGTATTCTCACATGCAAGGATGTTGAACTAGATAAGATTATTTAGTTATTTGATCACAAGCACTTTCCTTCCTCAGTTTTCTATAGCCATACATATTCTTATCTACGATCAAAGCTACTTATTGAAATGTGAAAAGCATGATAATCTTGTCGAGAAAAGGTTCGTTGCAAATTCGAATGCTTCACAGAAAATTCAAATCATGGGATTTCTCAACAAGTTGCTGTCTTCGGAGGGACCTCGAAAGCCAAAAGTCAAGTTCGACCTTCAAAAGTGGTGAGTTGTGCTTTTGCGGTGAAACTCTTTAAAACATATAAGTGTCTCTATTGTTTTCTAGTAAAGTGCTTTTGAAAGGAGGTGAAAATCGCATACGCTTGCAAAAAAGTAAACTTGCGGTATGTAATTTGCTTGCTAGCCCAGTTCCAGCCTTGAAAAACTTGTTTAACAAGAATTCTGTAAAATTGCAACAAAGAGAGGTTGCTGTTCTGTTAGAAGGTGGAAAGGATGAACTTGCACGAATCCGTGCAGAACAGGTACTTCAAATTTTCAATTCTCACCTTTTATGGGACTTTCCATATTCCTAGATGGTAAGAGATGAGCTACTGATAGAGTCATACGAAATAGTCGAAGTATTATGTGAAACTCTATTAACACGACATAATCTTCTTGCCTTGAACTTTCACGCCACCAAGGAGAACCCTTACCCGTACGTTATGTTTGTCTGTGAACATACAAGAAGATTGAAAGTTACTTAGACCACTGCCTCCTGAAATTGCTGAAGCTGTATGCAGCATCGCATTTGCTTCCTGCCGTCTCGATGCTTCTGAGCTGCAAACCTTGACCGAAATGCTAGCCAGCAGGTTTGGACCAGAACTGATAGATAGTGCCTGTGCTGGACAGCCTTCACAGCGAGTTTGGGGAGTGAATAGCTTAGTCAATCCACGACTATATTCAAAATTGCTTTATTCTGTTCCAGATGGTAACGTTGTTTTACAGAAACTTCAAGACATTGCAGATATGTTCCAGTTAGAGTGGAAGGCACCCGCTGAGTTTGAGGAACTGAAGGACCATTCAGTCTTGGACTCTACAGCTTCAACACCCGTATTTTCAGGCAATGCTCAACGCGCAAGGTTGTCTGATTGAGATAAAACTAGAAAATGGTTCGTTTTTCTGATTGAACTATCTTTGTAGGTACTTACCCGAAGCGTCCAGTTTCAGTGACGAAAAAATTGGTGATGATGTTTTTTGTACCAACGAGAGTGAGCAAACTGAAGAAGGTTTGTTTCAAACAAGCTTTTTAGGTTACTGAGTTGACGTTTGTTAGGTCGTGACCCGAGCGATGATCTATCGGCAAGATTGGAAGCACTTAAAAGGAACCGTTAAACAATCTGTAAATATGCGTGCGAAAGAACTGAATCCTTTTTTGTTATAGTATACTTTTAAAATTGCATATTTTCTTATTAGCTTGTGAAAAATTCTTTGTTTGCACCACTAAGCTGTGCTCATCAAGAATCCTAAAATGAGATGGAATACTAAGATGGAAATTGAGAAGCGTGGTTACGATTTTCCCATTTTCAAAGTTGTTGTATATCATTTGTTGATTGGAAGGACAGTTAGCAAAGACTATACAAGTGCCTAATGCTATACACAACTCTTACAAACTCCTTGCCGTTGGGATGCATCATCTGCAACGTAGTTTATGAAATACCTGTTCCTAGTCTTAAAGATTCGTCGGATATTATCAGTTTCATGACTCATATGTTGGATCCATCCTCTTCGACTGCCATATATTCTAAAATTTGTTTTTTGAGTTGCAAGTAGTTTATTTTTGAGTGTTCACATTTTCATGAAGAAAATTGTAACAGAAGGGGATCAAAACTGGCAGCAGTTTACGCTCGTTTGTAGACGGACAGCCAATTTTTCAATATTACAAGCATTTAAACGCTATTGTCTCAATTATAGGAGGCAACCATGTAATATACTAGAAGCAATAAGTGTGAATGAGACACAACAGTGTGTCGACATAAATACAAAGATTGACACAAACCTATCTGTGTATGAAAACATGGATACACTAGTTGCAGACTTTGCAGTGTTCAAACCAAATATTCACTTGCTTTTCTAGACTACTCAAAGAGTTCCTGTGACGTTGATAATAGCTGTCATGTGGCTCAAATGAGTTTACAGCATCGGTGGTTGAATAAAAGGAGACTTAAAGTAACTTTTCACTAACACAATTCTTGCTTTCGTTTTTGTAAAGGAGAAAAGTGACAAATGCTCCAATACTAAACATCCCAGCAATAAAAAAGCCAACTTGTAGAGACGCCAAAGCCACCAAAACTTTTCCATTGTAGAGTTCCGCAAGACATTTGGTACAAAATGGACGGACGGCGCACATTCGCCGTTGTGATTGTGAGGGTGCGTTGTCGAAAAGGGTAGAAAACCCTAATCCGTTTCTACTTTTCTACTCCTCAATGAGGGCCGCTGTAGAAACATCCACGAGGTACAAACTAAGAGTAATTGTGATGTTTCAAAAAGGACATTTGTAGAAATTTTTTAACTGACAATGACGACTTCAAAGGTTACTCAGAATAATAAAGCTTCCAAGAACATCCTATGGTTTGACGAAATTAGTGCTACAGATACAGAATATGTTGGTGGGAAGGTTGCATCACTGGGTGAGATGGTTAACCAGCTTCAAAAGGTTGGCATACGGGTTCCTTTTGGGTTTGCCGTGTCAGCCAAGGCCTACAGGCGCTTTCTAGACCACGCCAACTTGTCTCAGCAAATAAATGAGCTTTCAAAATGGCTCGAGAATAAAGAAAACCTTCATAAACACGAAGCGCTGGCACAAAAAGCAGAGCAGTTAAGAGAAGCCATTAGAAAGAGCACACTTCCAAGTGAAGTAGAAGCAGAAGTACTCTCAGCATACGAGAACCTGTGCAAAAGAGAAGGTGTAGAGAACCTCCCAGTGGCAGTACGTAGCAGTGCAACGGCAGAAGACTTACCTGGCACTAGTTTTGCAGGGCAATATGAGACCATTCTTAACGTGAGAGGGAAAAGCCATCTGTTAAGTGCATTGAAGGAATGTTATGCTTCTGTATTTGTGCATCGAGCAATATGCTATAGAGCAGAGTTTGGCTTTGAACAAAATTCAATTGCTTTGGCTGTGGGAATACAAAGAATGGTCGATGCTGGAAATGCTTGTTCTGGTGTAATGTTCACTTTAGATACGGAAACTGGATTTGATAAGGTTGTCTTTCTGACTGCATCTTACGGTAAGTTTCTGGATTGCCTTTGGGTATAGTTTTGTGTTAACTCCATTGTTCTCAAGGACTGGGAGAGAATGTTGTACAAGGGTAAATGCATTTCTACTCCAAAGATTTGTCTTTTTATTGAACGCTTGTTTTCATAGGCATGTAAATCCAGATGAATACTATGTATTTAAGGAAAGTTTGGAAACTGCGCCATGTCCCATCATCCAAAAGACTATAGGTTCGAAAGACACAAAAATGATTTATGCTGCTTCAGAAAATGGTCCCAATGGAACTTTGAGCAAGAATCCAACTACAAAAATTGTTCCTGTCCCGAAGGAATATCGTGAGCGCTTTGCGTTAGAGAATGAAGAAATCTTGCAACTAGCGAAATGGGCAGTTCGCATTCAACGTCACTATTCACAGATTGTATATGACAATGCCGTACAAATGGATATCGAGTGGGCGAAGGATGCAGTCACTGGTGAATTGTTCCTTGTCCAAGCTAGACCTGAAACAGCTCATTCAACAAAGAGAAACAAGATTGCAAATGTGTTTGAAAATTATTATCTCAAGACTGATGAATCTAAGCTCGTTACACTTATCACTGGAAGAGCGATAGGGTCCAAAATGGCATCAGGAAAAGCTCAGATTATCCAATCTACAAAAGACATTCGAGTTTTTGTGCCTGGTAATATTTTAGTTACAGAAATGACTGATCCTGATTGGGAGCCTGTTATGAAAACTGCTGCTGCCATCGTAACAAATAAAGGAGGGCGCACTTGTCATGCGGCTATAGTTTGCAGAGAAATTGGAATACCTGCCATTGTAGGCACAGATAAAGGAACCAAAGTCATCAAGGATGGTGAGGATATTACCGTAAGCTGTGCAGGTGGAGGTTAGTCTTTTTATTGTTGTTTTTAAAGTTGGTAGCATTGAAATGTTTGCATAGAAGTTGGTAAGGTTTATCAAGGCAAACTAGAATTTGTTTGCGAGAAAATGGAAATTCCGAATGAAATACGACCAAGAACAAAGATCATGATGAACCTTGCTAATCCTTCCGAAGCCTTCAAGATGTCTCGAATACCGAACGATGGTGTCGGTCTTGCAAGAGAAGAATTCATTATTAATAATTACATTGGCATACATCCCTTGGCACTTTTGTATTATGACCAGCAAGATGAAGAAGTCAAACGAATTATTGATAAGAAGACCGTTGGTTACAAAGACAAGGCTCAGTTTTTTGTAGAAAAGTTAGCTTTTGGGATTGCAATGGTAAGTTATTGGAGCCATTTTTATTCCTTGTTTCTGAATGGAAGTAGTTGGCTACAGCCTTCTATCCAAATGATATTATAGTTCGGTTATCCGACTTTAAGACAAATGAATATGGTAATCTAGTTGGAGGAACTGCCTATGAACCTGAGGAACACAACCCAATGATTGGTTTCCGTGGAGCTTCAAGATACTATGACCCTCGTTATAAGGAAGGATTTATTTTGGAATGTAAAGCACTCAAGAGAGTGAGAGACGAGATGGGATTGAAGAATGTCAAGATAATGATTCCGTTTTGCCGTACTGTAGAAGAAGGCATTCGAGTGCAAGAACTGATGGCTTCACAAGGCTTGAAACGAGGTGAGAATGGATTGGAGCTTTATGTGATGTGCGAAATACCTTCGAATGTAATTATGGCAGATTTATTTGCTAAAATATTTGATGGATTCAGTATTGGCTCCAATGACTTGACTTCTTTGGTATTGGGTCTGGATAGGGACAATGAAATCATTGCTCATTTGTATGATGAACGCAATCCTGCCGTTTTGAAAATGATTCAACAAGTTATTTCAGAAGCACATCACGCTAAGAGGAAAGTGGGTATTTGTGGTCAAGGTCCAAGTGACTATCCTGACTTTGCCGAGTTCCTCGTACGACAAGGTATCGACAGCTTGTCATTGACTCCAGATGTTATACCTAAAACTACGTTACGTATACTTGAATTGGAGAGTAAGATGGGCTTGGAGCCTAGAAAGTTAGAAGTATTAGAGCCCTGAGAAGTTATCTTTTTAGTCTTCTTGTATTGGGACTTGTCTTCCATGAGTAAAAATTGTTGTGAGATTTTGTATGTCACAATGGCTTTCCGATTTAACTTTGCCGAGAAGACATCTTCTTCTTCGAGTTTTTGTAATTCCACTTTTGAACAACAGCACAACAGTACAAGTTTGGAATATTGCACAGTTCCCAGCAACTTTCCTACTGGGGTTTCATATGAAACCGAAAAAGTTATTATAAATAATCGTCGTACTTTATGGAAGAGAAAATCTGTAGAACTTACCAGCAAGTATTTTAGAGTCGACCAGCACTGTCAGGACATTATCAGTGGTGTCTATGAAGGAGGTTTCAAGCTCTGGGAAGGTGCCATTGATCTTATAGAGTATCTAGATAGCAATGACTGTCTTGATGTTGAACAAGGTTTGGAGCTTGGTTGTGGCCACGGTTTACCAGGTATATTTGCTCTTCAGGAAGGAGTAAAGATGGACTTTCAAGACTTTAATATGCCAGTTATAACGCAAGTATTATTTCCAAATATCATATTCAATGATTGTACTTTAAAAGCTGCCAACTCCTTGTTTCTAGCAGGCGACTGGAGTTGTTTGTTTCATTGTCAACTAAAGGAAAAATATGACTTGATACTTGCTTCAGAAATCGTTTATCGTGTGGAATTATTTCCTTTGTTATGCAATTGTCTTGAATATCTCTTGAAAGACGGTGGAGTTGCGTATTTTTCAGGAAAATGTTTCTATTTCGGAGTAGGTGGTGGTACAGAGGCATTTCATTCGTTTATCGATTCTCGAAAACTTTCATGTGTTTGTGTGCATAGAATACAAGATGGCAAAAGTAACGTGAGAGAAATATTACAAGTGAAAAAGGCAACAGTATCAAAGAAATATTTGCATACAGAAATGTAACCAAGTTGTTGGTTTCTACTGAGACAAACTCAAAAGCTCCTAGGACAAGTTGCACATGTTCTCTACCACAATAGTAACTGAAGTATCAAGACACACAATAAACAACTTTATCAACGATACATAGCTTCAGCTTCTAAATTCTTTGCAATTTCTGTCTCCCAGCGATCACCATTCCGCAACAGCTTTTCTTTATTATACAACAACTCTTCATGAGTTTCTGTTGCGTACTCAAAATTGGGACCTTCTACTATGGCATCCACTGGACAAGCTTCTTGGCACATTCCACAATAAATGCATTTGGTCATATCAATATCATACCTCGTGGTTCTTCTTGAACCATCGGGTCGAGGTTCCGCTTCAATAGTAATTGCTTGAGCAGGACATATTGCCTCACATAACTTGCAAGCTATGCATCGTTCTTCTCCTGAAGGGTATCTTCGGAGAGCGTGTTCTCCTCTAAACCGTGGAGAAAGTGGTCCCTTTTCACTGGGATAGTTGAGGGTAACCGCAGGCTGGAAGAAATACTGGAGTGTCATCATAAGTCCTCGTACCATTTCTGTCGCAAATAGAGTGGTTGCGGTAGCGTCCACAACTATGTGTATTGAGAAGTGTTCAAGTTCAAGAGATGAGCAACTTACGTTCTTTCCAGGTAGGGACTCTTTCCGAAGAAGTTCCTTGAGGTTGTGTCTTCTTCACACTTTCGGAAGAAGAAGAAGAAGGGGACTGTCCTAGCAACCAAGGGTTGGGTTTTTTGTTAAAGAAGAATATGGGCATATACCTTCATTTAGGGGCTTTGAGAAGAAGTTTCGTGAAAAGATTGCACTGATAGATAGGGGATATTCTGAAACCCAACTTGTACGTTGTCTTGCTCCCCTGTTCTTCAAGTTGGCAACCGTCTTCCGAAATAGTGAAATTCTGGACATGCAACAAGCAATTACCAAATAAGAAATTCTTTAAACCGACTGTTCTTCTTTTTGTCTATTTATTATTAAATTGACAGAAAACGCCGAGGAATGCATTCCATCTATTTTGTACTTCCAATAACCAATTGTTCCACTGCAACTTTATTTATCAGGTTGTAGTAGAATGAGTTACGAACAAAATATCAAATGAAACAGAACTGATGATATTGGATAACTATAGCAAGTATTCTACACTCCAATATTTATGGATGATGGAAGAAGTAAGAATAATTAAATTTTGCTCAGTTATTATGTGCAGAGAACGAGAGTTGGATAATACGACTCTATTCCTAAAAGTGTTTCTCTATGAGAAACTATCATCATTCAGAAGATAATACAATGGACCACTCCAAATACCAAAACATAACCAACTGTTAACAAGACAAAAAGCTTTATCGGTCAAAAAGGTCCGTATGAACAACATCAATAGTATTTGGTTTCCTTTTCACTATCCGATTTTTCACAGTGGACGTCATAAACTTGTTCCTTTAAACTTGGGTTGATACTTTGAACTTTGTTTTGTTCATCACTTTCAGAAGAAGCCTTCTGTCCTTTCCGCCGTTCTTCAGTTTCTTTTAAGCTTTCCTCCATACCTTCAGCAAACTCGCTAGTAGCCTGTTTCATACTACCCACAACTTTCCCTAAATCTTTTCCAAGCTCTGATATTTTCTTTGGTCCAAAAATAAGGGTACCAACAACAACAACGACGGCAATTTCAGGCCAGCCTAAACCAAAGAGTCCCATACTTGTGGAGAAAATGGCTGAAGAGTGTTTCCGTCGCTTCCGTTCCAGAATATAATTAGGAAATAGCAAGTTCTTATTCACACCATGGTACAAAATAAAATATTTTCTATTTGGAGAACTTGCCAGACAACGACAAAGTCTTGTGCTTCTTTGGGGAATCGAGATCGGATCCACAAACATCAAAATCTTGAAAAATAATGTGGTTTCACTCCATTCTTTGGTTTTCATGTTTGATTTGAAAACATGTCAAACACTGAAAAAAAGCGCTCTCGTCAAGTGTTCGGATGGAAAACACCACCGCATGTTGTTCGCAAAGTAGCTACAAAGAATGGTTCTAGTACGCAAATGAACCTTTTGGATGTCTTGTCAAGTCCCGTAACTGTACAAAAGAAAAGAGGTAAGACACTTTGACAACTCAAGCACATCCACTTTTCCTTGACTTTTGCTAAACTTCGCAGTGGATTCTAATGATGATAAGGATGCCAATCCTATTGTCGAGGAGAGGCTATTTTTGAGAGCTTGGTTGCTTTCTCTCCAACTGGAGTACTACGAAGATATATTGGTGGCACATGGAATTGATTCACTGGCAACACTCAAGACTTTGGACGAAGAAACCTTGAAGACCATCGGTGTCCATACTTTGGGTGCAAGAAAGAAAATAATTCAAAACTTGAGTGATTGTGAGTTTCCACCGACTTTTGCAACGGATGGAGGAAACACTTGTCTATCACTTGCAAGTTTACATCTCTCTTCAGATAAGAGTGTTTGCAAAGATGATCCAAATAATGCTCTTCCAAGTCATGAGTCTCAAAGTTTGAAGAACAAATCACCAATGAGTAGTAGGGCTCCAAAAGAGCCAAGTGGTGCAGAGAGAAAACTGTATCCAATATTTTATGCAAATCATAATAATGTAAATATGATAGAAACTGCCAGCGTACAAGACAAAAAGAGCAAAGGACACCCTTTTTCTAAACGAGTTCCGGGAACCAGTTTTACTGTTGACTCTTTTAAGATGGCGGGTCAAGGTGACTGTCGTCAGTTTTTTCTATCTCATTTCCATTCCGTAAGTGATAATTGTTGGAACATGTCAACCAATATATGTTGCTGATGTCCAAAAGGATCATACTATGGGTCTTACTAGTCGATTTCAAGCAGGTGTCATTTTCTGTAGTCGTATTACTGCATCATTGATTCGGTCTCAATTGGGAGTTAAAGATGAATATATTTGTGTATTAGAGCTCAATCAAAGTTGTTATGTTCAAGATGAAGGAAAATCTACTCGAGGAACGATGGGTGCCACTGTTACCGTATTAGATGCCAATCATTGTCCAGGAAGTGTCATGTTTCTGTTTTTTGTTTGGCAGACAAAGGAATTGATTCTTCATACCGGAGATTTTCGTTATTCAATTGAATTGCACTCTCAGATTCCCCAAATGTTTGGTAAAAGTTGTTTAGACTATTTATTTCTCGACACGACTTATTGCAATCCACGATATGACTTTCCTTCTCAACAAGAAGCTGTCGAGGCAGTATTGGAAGCTGTGAAAGCAGAATCTTTCCATTCTCGAGTCCTATTTTTATTTGGCACTTATCAAATAGGAAAGGTTGGTTGGTCATCTTGTCATAGAGAGAACCATTGAATGTCATTATATATATAGGAGAAGGTATTTCTTCATGTTGCGGAACGACTGAATGAAAAGGTGTATGTGGATAAGAGAAAATATCGAATTTTGAATCATCTTTCGTTACCAGAAAATGTCCAAAACTTGCTAACGACAGAACCCTCTGCTTCTCGTTTACATGTTGTAGATATGAGAACCGTAAGTTTTGGCGGGATGAGAGAAATTGCCAAAAATTACGCCACGAGATACAATACTTTTGTTGCTTTCCGGCCTACCGGTTGGTCTTATACTGGAAAGAAGATGCTCCGTTCCTATGGTAACCTGAAACCTGGTATTTTGACCAGACAACTCAAACAAAACTGTGTATTGTATGGTGTTCCTTACAGTGAACACAGTAGTTTTTCTGAGCTGAGAGAATTTGTTTCCATTTGTAGACCCAAGAATTTGATCCCTACTGTATGTAAGAATAGCAAAGAAGAAGCGGATAGACAACGAAAATTATTATTGGATCCCTAGTTGTGTTTCTTATACAAGTTGGAAGAATTTAGCCAATGAAGACAATCGTATTTTTCCTTGATTGATTGATTGATTGGCCAATGTCTTCACTTTACAAGAGCGATGTAGTTATTGGCAAAATGGTCAATATATTTATGAGAGATGGCGAAAAAGGTGTGTCACTCAAGCTGATAGATGAAGCTTTTAGAGAGTTGAAGGTGAAACACGGAGTTAAGGAGTGAGTAAAAAGTGTCTCTAAAGAAACAGTTTGATCCACTTTCTATTAGTCCACTATCCCTCGTTCATCGAGCTGTAGATATTGCCAAACCGTTGGTGGCGTTGATACCGCACTATCCCCACGGAAAAAAGGTGGCAGTGCCCATTCCTTTGAAGCCAGAACAACAACTAGGCAAGGCCCTTCGTTTCATCAAGTGAGCAAAGATATTATCTTTCAAAATGTCGAGACTCAGTTCAACGTTGTAGGCAAGCTGTTGCAGATAGAAAAGAGCACTATGGACATGTGAGGTTGGCTAATGAGCTATTAGAATTGTCAAAGGGAGCAGGAGGAGCAAAGAAGAGAAGAGACGATTTACATAGATTGGCTGAACAGAATAGAGCTTATGCACACTTTCGTTGGCGATAAAGCATTCCTCTGCTTGTGTGCTTTAGAAAATTTGGGTTATTAGCGGATATTTAAGTATCCCCCTTTTCTTTCCAATCGTGACGTTCATCATGTGTTACTACTACCTTCCCAACCCCTATTCAAAGAATATATTAGCCTATTTGTAAACAATTTTTGTAGAGAAGAATAGACTGTCTGTATATCGAGTATAGATATAGATATGCAGAGAATCCATACAGTGCACATATATTACCCTCAACTACAACCACAATCATACCATCTTTGATCCAATTCTGTAATACTACAAGGAAAAAGGACTTTACCCTGTCGCCTTCGAACGTCATTATGGGCTTCACAGGTCCACAATAGAAACGCTTCTCTACTGCTCACACTACACAAGTCATTTAACTAGAGGATATCACAGATATACTTAGCCAACTTACTCTACAGGATGCTGTTGTAAATAAGTAGCAAAATGTTCCACACAATAATCACAAGGATACAGATGACCCAAGGCCGTTATAAACGAAGTTGCTTGTGTCTCATCTTCTGGAGTAGGATTGGCTGGGTAATTTGCAGCCATGACGTGGATGAGTGTCCAAGTAGCTCTACCTAAGCGATCTCCGTTGGGTGGAAGATCTCCTTCACGATTTTTCCAAGGTGCAAATACAATAAAAAACAGCACAAGCATGAATACACCAGTGCCTGTTACAAAAGTTCTAAACCAGCCCCTTGAAAGTTTCCGCCAAGCATAAGATGGTGTTGCTTGAGAAATATTGTAGTGTCGAGTATCCGACCAAGAGTCTTCTGCTTCAACGTCTTCTTCACTTTGAGATACTTGAGCATATCGGTTGGAAACACGTGCCATAGGTCAATTTCCACAATACTGCTGGATATTTCCCCAATTGCTCACTTTTTCTAAGACATAGAAACAGATAAAAACTTCCGATCCAAAAAATGTTAAAATGATATTTTCAAGAGAATTTTTTTCTCAAAAGTTGCCGAGAAAAAAATTCAAATGGTGCTAACGTCAATAGAGATCAGAATGCAAACATAATGGATATACAGCGAGGATCAGAAAGTTGTTTTTAACATTCTTTGTTCAACTTGCAAAAAGATTTGAACAACAAATATGGATCAATTTGAAGTCAACGATGTCTTCTCTGAAATAAAATATTCGCGCTATTTGAAAACATGAACAGCTCGTACGAGAAAAAATGCAAATGGCGCCTATTGTTCTTGGCATTTTTTCTTGCAAATTGGGAACGCTGGTGCTCTGTATAAGCGGGAAAAAAATGCAAAGATCTCTTTTGGAAGAGGACTTGCTTGACTGGCGCTTTATTATGTGCAATTCTCCTGTGCTGTTTTAACTCATATCTAATATATCTTCAATACTATTTTAATGGAAAGTTTCAACAAGCAAACATATGAAACAACTTCCAACTTTGATATCAATACTGCAGCAGAACTGTTAACAAGCCTTCAAGATGGTAAGTTTCATATAGTTTGTCACAAGTAACCAGTACTAAAGCCTTATTTTTAGGAAAAACAGACGCTGTTCTTTTCGACAGTAAAGGAAAAAGAAAACTTGAGGAAAATGCCAATGTGGAACTTCTTTCTATGCCAACAAAGAATCATGAACAACTGCCAAACAAGGTTCCTAGAGAACAGAACATATCCCCCAACTGTAACAACTGCTCAAGTACAACAAGCCTGATCAGGAATGGAAAGCAAACAAAAAGTGGTGATAGTGACAGTTTACCCGTCCCAAAATCCAAGTCAGTTGTTTCCACCCCCGTTCGAAAACGAACAAGGGCTGTAAGTGGTTTCGAGGACTCTCCTCCATCTGTCCAAAAGAGACAACAAGGAATGACGAATATGTTCGCCGTTGAATGGGCCTTCTTGCAGCAACTCAAGTGGTGCCAATCGAAAGAAAACTATTACAGTGGTTGGTTGAGTCCTTTACCATATTATCAAAATTTATGGAGTTGCGCTTCCGTTCCTCGAGAACAAAAGGTTACGAAATCCCAAGAAAGTTTAAAATCCTCCAAAGGTCGTCCACCTAGTGAACTTCCACTTAGTAGAATGCGTTTTAAAGCATTGCAACAAGCATGTGTGGATAGAGGTATTTCTCCAAATGGCACAGTTGCTGCCTTAAAGCAGAGACTTCGAGATTGGGTTTCTGTAAAGATGACTGGAAAGCCTTCTGTTCCTCAGCAAAGAAAGCGACGAATAGAGAATGAACATCCCGCTATTCAAGACTACAAAACTGTATAAAGTTTTCATTTAATCGAATAGATATCCATTTTTGCACAAATATAATCTTTATTAACAAGAGAATATCATTCCTTTGGAATCGACAACCAAACAAGAAACATTTCTTCGACAGTTGACAACAATACAACGCCCTACCAATATATGCTCCATTTGTTTATTTATTTGTATTGTAAATGCCAACGAAATTGAGTTGCCTCAAGCGTTGATCACAATCAAACCCATACCCGACAACAAACTGATCTTCGCACTCAAAACCTACATAATCTACCTGTGGTACATCTGTCTTCCTTCTCTTCGTCTTTTTGGACAAGAATGTACAAATCTTGAGAGATTTTGGTTGTAACTTCTCCAACTTCTCACATATCCACTTCAGTGTGAGTCCAGTATCTACAATATCTTCTACAAGAAGCACGTCACGAGACTGAATATTGAGCAACTAGTTATAATTTGTATTATCGAGTTATCATAACGAGTAAACGGCCACAAACCTCTAAACCCTCGATAGTGACAGTTCCCGTGCTCTCCGTTCCTTCGTACGAAACAGCTCTCATAAACCGTATTTCCAAGTCACAAGTCATATTGCGAATCAAGTCAGCGAGAAAAACAAAGGAACCAGTTAAGACACCGAGCAGTACGGGTTTACGGTTTCGATAGTCACAACTCAGTTGTTTTCCTAGTTCACGAATTCTTGTTTGAATAGTCTCGCTATCAAACAGTATATCAGAAACTTCGCTTTTCCACTCTTCTGGAACTTGTGAACTCATGGAAGTTGATCTACTTTTCGACGACTAACACAATTCAGTTTTCCAAATTCAATACAAGAGCTTTCATGGAACTTTGAAAGTGTTGAAGAAGTGACTTGTGATGTATTTTTATCTATCTCTACAGATATTGAAATCACAACTTTTTTAAAAAAACCAAGTTGAACCACTTGAACAAAATAAACTTTGCCTCATGAAAAATTCTTAGACTCGACACAACCATCGAAGGAAGCGTCAGCATGGACAAAATGACTTGTGAAAACTTTTTCCTTTATAAAGGTGCTGTAGTATGGGCAAAGGTATATGGTTATCCTTGGTGGCCTGCTTCTATCACTACAGACCAACGTTCCGGAAAATGGTTTCATAAAGGCAAATATTGGGTTTATTTCTTCAACGATCCTCAAGGTGCTTGGTTAAAACCAAACTGTTTGAAAGAATTCAATGAGGCTAACATAGCCGCATTTACACCTAAAGAAAACCACAGACATTATAAACAAATTGTAAAAGCAGTCGAAGAGGCCAAAGAAGTTCATTCTAACACTCTGCCACCTGAAGAAGTTGCTGCTCTTGCACAAGGAGGTACTGAAGAAGAGAAAGTAGATACGGCAGCAAACGCGACAACTGAAGAAGAAGACGCAAGTGAAGAGGAAAGAGAGATGTCAGACACTTCTCAAGAGAGAACAGGTGAAGTTTACAAAGGTGACTCACAACGCTCTAGTAGGAGTCATAGTAGAAAAAGAAAATCGGACCATGAAGAGAGTTTACAAGGTTCCAAAAGGCAACTAGGTAACATTCATAGCAACTCACAGAGAAGCGCGAAAAGTATTCGTAAGGGTTTTCGATATAGAGACCTTGTTTTCCAGATGCCCATCGATCGTCCTTATCACGAACTGGATCACTCCTATTTAGAAAACCCTCAATCGTTGAATACTTCTGCGGAAGAGTTACAAACCCAAGTTGAACAGCTACATAGGCTAAGTGATGCATTTTGTTCGAAATCAAACGAAATGAAGTCAATACAAGAATCTCTGATGAAGTTAAGTGACCAGATCAACGAAAAAATTAGGCAGTTTGAAAAGCATTGTGATGAAGTGTATTCAATAGAAGGTCAGGTTTTGCAATCTTTGAAAGTCTTGTTTCAATCAAGAGTAACAATCGCTATGTTGAAAAATTCTCGTGCAGGGAAACCAGTTGTTGAGGTAAGTTGACATTTGCTGGTTGTTTGAAACAACAAGTTTTTGATGCTTTTCAAGCTTGAGAAGTCATGTGGTCCAAATAGCCAAGCAATCCGTGCTATGGCAAAGCAGTTGGTTCGTCAGTGGAAGAAAATGGTTATGGAATCAACACCTTCCAAAAAGGATCAAGAAACAGCCGAAACAAGGACGATGAACAGTGCAGAAGGAAATGGAAAAGAAAATTCGTATAGTAGGGAGGAGAATAGTGCGGAAGATTTCACATCTTATCAGACAGAACCCATTCAACACTCAGAAGAGAAAACGTCTTCAAAGGAGAATGGAACGGAAGAAGCCATTAGTTATTATTCCGCTCAAAACAATTTCAGTTTCACAGAGTGTCCCGCAAAGGAAACAGAAGAGATGAACACAGCACAATTCTCTCCACAATGATGAAGACAACTTGAATGGTTTTATCGATTGAGTCATTTTGATGTTGTTGTCTTTCCCAAATGACAGGAAACTCTGTCATCATATTAAGCAAGGTATTCAATGTGGAGATATGGAGAGAATTACTAGTCTCTATCACAAAGTCATACGTATGGTTCCTTGAAATATTGTTCAATTGTGGGTTCTGGAATAAATATGAAAACCAACTTTGATATGCTTATATTACAACGAATTCCTTTGAAATGTCTTCTATTGTGTAAAAACCGAAGACTTTCAATGAGTTTTTACAATGAATCTTTTGTTCTGTTATTGAAAGGCCTAAATGATTGATAAAATAATATTTTCTAATAGTAACCTACTCATTTCTTTCTAAAAAGCAATCAAAAAGAAAAGTTGGTGTTGGAATTGTGAAGGCCATTTCACTAGAACTTTCATAAAGGATTGAATATGGCCTTTATGAAAGCCAATTTTATAGACTTTTATTATCCTAAAAACAAATAAACGACTGCAAGTATTACAAAAACAGACAACCTTCGATCCTGCCGTTCGATGAAAAATAGAGGCTTACAAACGCTGCTAGGATTGCTGACCTTTCACTTTATTATGGTGGCAAAGATCTATCTCTATCTATTCTTCCAAAGCCGAAAGTTGCTCATGAAAGGTACAACAATAATCTTTCAGGTTTGAGCTCATTATTTTAGAGGCTTCGACCCAATAGATTGAAAACCTTCTGGTAAGAAGGATTTGTGAGTTCCTAAAATTACACTCCATTTCTCTCAACGAGCTAAAATATATGCTTGTTGTCCATTACTTCGCATTTGATTCCTTTTGAACTTTGACTGCGTTGTTTGGAGATAGCGAGGCTTCAAGTTTAAGCCCAAAGATATGTTTACAGTGTCTTCATTTTCCTCTTGTTGTTCACGGTTAGTTGTACTTGTCTCTTTTTAAATTCTACCTCTCATCCAGTATCACCAATTTCGAGGAATGCAGTGCCGATGACGACCAACGCTTTGTCTACTGACTTGGTAACTTTCATTTCTCTACTGAGTTGGAATAGACTTTCATGTCAATAGTTCAATTGTGACCAAAAAATTCAATACTATTTTACTTGTTCTTTCCTGTCACTACTTTTTTACTTGTTACTTTTCTTACACTATCAATAGCTCCTTCTTTTTTTACAGGTGAGCTCAATAGATAATGGTTTTCGATAACTGATATGTCGAGTAAGTTCTCGATACCGAAAAGGATCGTCTAGTCTCCGCAATTCAAATAGAAAAATTTTCACTCACCCCCAAATCGATCGCGGAATCTGTCCGATATCCTTCCAGTCGACATTTTGTGAAGCGTCCCTCATTTCATTTTATAGACCGATGGGAATCTTCCCAGTTAGTCATCCTTTTTGAGTGAGTAATTTGTTTTGGTATGGCACGATCGGAGGGTTTGTCAGAAGAAATTGTATTAGAATGTACTCAACCTGAACATTTTTCCAACCCGCCTGCTTCACAACACTTAGACTTCAGTGAGATAATTGAACAAACTTACCCCTCAAGCACACAGAGACAAAGAGTTTCTTTCCAATTTGAAGACATATGCGTGAGTGTAACTCAGAAGAGTCTTCTCCGAAAGAGACGAGAAGAAAAAGTCATCTTGCAAAATGTTTCGGGAGCAGTTCACTCTGGTCAACTTCTCGCTATTATGGGTCCTTCGGGTTCCGGAAAAACAACTTTGTTGAACGCTCTTGCTGGAAGACTCTCAGCATCCGGTAACTTTGGCGCCTCTGGAAGAATATCAGTCAATGGGAAAAGAAGGGATCCCGTTGTATTCAAGAAAGTGGTAGGATATTTATTCTTTTATGAATATGGCACCCTCAACCGAACTCTTAGTTGAGCGCCTATGTGATGCAGGACGAAAACTTGTTCGCAGAGTTGACCGTCGAGGAACAAATTAATATTGCCGCTAGTTTACGTCTCCCTAGGGACCTTTCGAAGGAAAGCAGGGAAAGTCGTGTTGAGGCAATAATTTCAGAATTGGGATTGGTTGAAGCAAAGAAGACACTAGTTGGTTCTGAAACGAAGAAAGGCATTAGTGGAGGAGAAAGGAAACGAGTGAGCATCGGTATAGAATTGGTAAGGGACCCTTCCCTAATTTTTCTGGATGGTAAGTCTTTCTATCTGTTCTTCTATTTGCTCCAAGCCTTGAAAATATTTGAAACAGAGCCTACTTCTGGATTGGATGCTTTCAATGCACAAAGTGTTGTAAACTCGTTGGTTTGCCTAGCTAGGAAAAACCGTGCCGTGTTGATGACTATTCATCAACCAAGAAGTGATATATTTAGTCTCATCGATTCGCTATTGTTACTTTCTGAAGGTAAAGTCCTCTATTTTGGACCAGCGAAGGAAGCAGTCGCATATTTCTCTCAGTTGGGATATGAGTAAGTTTTTTCTCTAAAGACCTGATTTATTAAATGCTCGTTGAAAACAGATGTCCGTTGCACTTCAATCCTGCAGACTATATCTTAGATCTTATTGCTGTGGATACTCGTTCATCTAAAGCCGAACAAACTTCACACGCTCGTTTGAAGTTTCTTCATGAAGCGTACAAAGAAAATTCATGTCTGCAAGAATACTTTAAGGAGGAAGGTGTGGAAATGTTGTCTATGTTTTAGCTATTCACGAATGAAGTGATTTTTATGAACAGAGGCAGTTTGGAAAAGTTATGAAACTATGAATGCATTTGGCAAAAGCGTTGAAGATTTGGAAAAGCATCCTTGTCCGTATTGGAAGGAATTTTCAGTTTTATTGAATCGAGCAGCGAAACTTCTTATTCGCGAGAGAAATATTACTCGCATTCGCGTCTTCCAAACTTTGGTGAGATATATAGATTTCCGTCTTAAGTCAGGCATCTTACATTGACTGTTTTATAGTTTTTATCGATATTAATCGGTCTTATTTGGTTGAATAAGGGACGCAATATCTCGTCGAACAACTATGAAGACATAGAGGGAGTGCTGTACTACATTCTTATTAGCACAACTTTTACAACTATGTTTGGAATTCTATTTTTCTTTCCATCGGAACGATTGATCATTTTAAGAGAAAGATCTAGTGGCATGTATCGAGTATCTGCTTATTACTTGTCGAAAACACTTGTGGAGATTCCTCGAACCGTTATGTTTTGCTTACTGTTTTGTGTCACTGTGAGTAACGTATACTTTCTAAGAAGGAAATTTCGCTAAAGCTCAAAGTCATACTGGATGGTCGGTCTTCGAGATTCGGCAAAGAATTTCTTTTTATTCTTCATTGTTGTGCTTTTGACTTCTTTGACGGTTGAAGGAATTGTATTAAGCATAACCGTATGTTGAACGTATGAATTGAATATGTTTTTTTGAAAGTTTTGTCAGGCTGGAGTGGCAAAATTTGAAGTAGCTTCAGCACTTACTCCGCTTGCCATGAATATAGCTCTTCTTTTCGGAGGTTTCTTTTTGTCCAATGCGAATATACCTAATTACTTTGTTTGGCTAAAATTTTCTTCTTTTGTCAAGTATTCTTTCGGAGCATTGATGCATAATCAATTTGTCAACTTCAAATTTCAGATACTGAGCAACACTTGTGTCGTCTGTGACGGGAATGAAGTTCTCAAAGATTCTGGTATAAGTGATTTCTCGTTCTGGGGAAATGTTGGAGTAAGATAACGACTCTGGTTTTATACTTTTGTGAATTTTCTACAATTAGATACTGTTTATGTTATTCGTAGTCTTTCGAATAGCAACATATGTGACTCTGCGAATCAGTGGTCCAAAGCATGACAACACTTTGTGAGGCGTGAAGTGTGTACGTGAATAAGCTGAATATGAATGTTTTGTTAGCTGTTGCCTGTAGCTCGCCTTTTGTTCGTGTCTTTTTTGTCTGATAAAGTTTTTGCGTACTTTTCATGTCAAAAATTTTCGATGGATATAATTATATCTTATTCTTAACCGAAAGTGACCCATTTTTGGGAAGGGGAATGTCCATTCTGGTGCTGTCATAGGCATTTGTTTGGTAGAGAGTAGTCGACAAAAGATCACTTTATTTCTAAGAGGACAGATGCATTATTCCACTTTTTTCGAAATAAATCAGGAAACAATCTAAAGCAAATGATTCAATAACAGAGGTTTGCTTGCGCAGTCACCTCCAGGAACTCCTCTCTCTCTCTCTCTCTCTCTCTCCGATATGTACAACAACACGGAACAACCTCATTCATATCGAAATCCCGATCATGAGACAAATTCCAAACAAAACGGGGAACATAAGCACAAGTTGTACCAAGTTAAACTGACGAGACGATTCGAAGAAGAATCAAATGGCCCTTGTGTCGAAAGGAATTTAACATAAGAACGAACCCGGAAAGGCGCCTCTATGTGCATACTCTCTTGGACTAGTCAGGTTCCATTTTTGTTTGAGATGACGAAGGTCGGACTAAATATACTTTTCTCCATCGATGATTGAAACCTACCAAAGCATTACATTTACTACACACGCGTTCATCTCGGATTCTTGTCTCGCTCGAAGTAAACAAACAGGAAACCATTGAACCACACTGTGGACAATGTCCCTTGCGTTCCAAATACTTTAACGTTCAACTTTGCAAGGAAATGAGTCTCTTACCTTTAACAACAACGGATGGCCGAGATCCAAATACCTTAAAATGCGTGGAGTAACAAAATTGGTAAACCAACCAACTCCTTAAAGAAACTGTCATAAAAGTAAAATTAAACATGTTGCAAACATACCATATACAATAACCGCTAATAATAGGAAGAACCTTAATCGTCCTATTGCAGAGATACGGACTTCTACTTCACCATCAAACAGAAAAAAGGATATTGCCATGAATGAAGACATGATTCCAGCTACGGGAACTGTAATTCAGAATAACTCTACAAAGTCAATAACCATAACCGACCTAATAATGCTGCTGGAGCATAAAGTACTAACAACTTAAAACGGTCCAAAGTAGCGTCACCAAATAAAAGATATCGCAAGCTGTTATCCAGAGCGGCTTCAGACTCCCTTGCAGCCCTTCTTACCAGAGAGCGTTGTTGTATCTTTCTTTTGGTAGCAAGAGCCAAATCTTCCGCTAAAGGAGGCCTCGCTTTTCTTTCTTCTAATAACTTCTCTTTCAAACTCTTCATCTCGCTTTGACTCAATTCAAACTCATTCTGAAAGTTGCGATCAAAGTCTCGTTGCTGAGATGCTTGCACCCACATAACTTCCAAATTATGAAGTCTCGTCGAAGTACTGCCCAAGTGATCCAACTCATCTCTAAGAGTGTGGAATTCTTCTTCGGAAAACATAGGTGTTCCTTCATAGTAGCTTAGCAAGCCCTCTAAAAACAGAGTTTCAAGTGCTGCCAGTTCTTCTTCACTTCCAAGTTTTCTCTTCCTTTCAAAATTCTGGGAAAGATTGTCCCTTGACTCTGGATTATCTCCACCAAAAGCAGCACTCTTACTAGGAACATCCGATAAGCAACCTTCTATTGTTTTCTTCAAATAACTGGAAACAGACTTCCGACAAGTTTTCCTTTTCCATTCTCTAGAAACGTTTACCCATTTCTGCCCTGCTGAAACGTACACAGAAACAACTGGAAAGTGTGGTTGTGGAGATAAGATGCAACCACCAAACGACAAGAGTACATGCGAGCTCTTGTTCATGAGAACAGAATGATCTTTCAAGAGGTCCAACAGAAAATACTAAAATGGAATCAATGGCGCGCTGGAGTGCATTTTTCTTTCAATTGAACCTCAACTTTACTGACAAACACTTTAGAAATAAAAAGATTGGAATTATCCAATTCAAACGCGCCATTCTTTTCTTCAACCGGCGGAAGCCCCTGGAATGTCAGTGGAGCCTTCTATACGTTTGTAGGCTCTGCGATGGCCATACCAGTAGGCAAAGACTACGACACCTACTACCAAGCAGAAACCAAATACGGAGCCAATTACGATACCTGCAATATCACCGCCACTCAATCCACTACTGACACTCACAGGAGCAGTAGTAGTAACGTCCATGCTGGTAACATAAGCAGTTACGTTGTTGTTTTTCAAGGTGGTTTCAAAAGAACCAGGAAAATGAAAGTGAGAAGTAGAAAGAACACTGCTCACATTATTAGAAGGAATGGATAACTTGATGTACATCAGAGTATTTGAAGAACCAGTCTCTCCAGGACTCAGAAAATGAACTTGTATGTCACTAGACGAAATACCATAAAGCGAAGCAATCATAGGAAATATGGAAAGGTTGAGTGCATTTTGGATCGGAAACATAGAATTGTTCACAGAGACATGAAGGATAACAAACTGTCGACCACTAGGTGGACTTGTCTAAATGTATGTTGTGTTATCAGCATAGTTCAAACCTAAAACCTTATACTTACCGATAGATTATGATAAGGACAATGAAGGTTCAAGGACGAGTCATTGTTTGCCAATTGATAATAAAATACAAAAGAATGGTTTGTCTCTAATTCCGGATGAAAGATCTTCACCAAGTCTTTCAATATCCAGTCCGGTCTTGCACTTCCCAGTTCATAATAGTCATTCGATTGTCCACGATATCTTTTTGCATTGGACCAAACTTGTCCACACTGAAACGCAGCTAATTTTTCAACACTGGAAGATACACTAGATTCATTTTGTTGATTGTAAGACTTAATCAACTCAGACAGACTATAGACTGGGGAGGCTAAGTCCAAATTGATCCAATAGTCTGCACCACGAAAGTTCTCTACTACTTCACTTAAAGTTAGACTTGGAGAAGAGGAAGAGTTTGCATAGCGATATGCGGCATGTGCATCTCTTAGAAACGATGCTTCATATGAATCACCAGAGTCGAGACTCCAAAGGCCATCGAAATACCCGTCAATAAGGACAGATGGCCATTTTGTAGCATGACTTGAGACCATTGCCTTTGTATCTAAATAGCTCTGAATAATAGATTGTGCCAATTCATCGGCCAATTCCGGCACATCAAGTATCAATCCATACAACTTATAGAGTTCTGCCCTTGCCATTGCACTTTTGACAACTATGCCAGGAGTAACAAAATACTTGAGTTTGTTTTCTGTACGGTTAGCAAATTCACTGACACTGTATGTATCTACAAAAGTGAGATTGGGTGGAGAAGCAACTACAGAAGTATTGATAAAATCAGCAAAGTGCTGAACGTTATAGGTCAAGTTGGTTTTCAGTCTCATCAACAGTTGTTCATTGTACGCGTACTGTCCTTCATAGAAAACTTTCAGTAAGTGAAGGCCACCAAGTTGTTGAATAAAAGGAATTTCTGTTGTAGATATTCCACCCAGTGATCTTGGTGGCACTGGAATAACAGTCTCGTTTCCTGTGCTATTCAATAAATGTTCACAACCACAGCGAACCAGTGTATATGAAAAATTTTGCAGATCCTAACAATTTTTTAGCTCGAATAGACAAGGTTTCAAGTTGTTTGTTTCCTACCGGAATAGATATATTGAGACGAATCGAAATGTTCTCATATTGCACCGACACATAGTCAACTAGATAAGGAAACGAAAGCTTATACACAAAATAGTCTGTGTTTGTATTACAAGATGGTACAGCATCTGAACAGGAAGCATTGTTTGCATAAACTCCTCGAAGAAATGTGTTTGTCAATATAAGGAACGCTATGAAGCTCACAAATGCCATAAGACCGCCGATCGTCCTTTGGTGGGTCAATGCGAGAGAAGAAATCAGTTTGGATCCATTTTCTCTTCACTAGGTTTGAGAAAAGAGAATCACAAGAATAGATTTCCTAATGTCTCAAAAGTACTTTGGTGCTCAACGATGAAATCCTTTGTGCATTTGAACTAGTGGATACCAAATACGACTCATTGTGTCTAAAAAGACCAAGTTGAACACAATTGTAGAGTTTTACCTCAGTTTGAACTTTATCAGTCCATTAATCCAACAATATCAAGTTATATGAGAATAATTGGTTCAGTATTGCAAATAATGGGTCCAAAACTACACAAAAATGAGAGCAAATGATATAGCAGCAATAGCAACCAGTAGAGAAACCAATATCCAGGGACCAACGGTGTCTGCTGTATATTTGTCTTCTTCAATCTGAAACACATTCACATAGTACCGGAGACAGCAATATACAGCTACAAATAAGCCTAAAAATACAAACAAAGTTCCCACAATTTCTGCCAAAGTAGTTGAGATGAGACGTCCAAAAGCCAGACCCACAGAGATAGCTGCCATTCCAGTTCGGAGCCACGAAAGAAAGGTCCTGCAAGGCGTAAGCCGTTGTTTTCAATTTATGATAACTTTTTCTCATCACCTTTCATTGGCAAGCAAATCTCGAGCACGATTTCCACGATTGGGACGTGGTTTGTAGTAGACAAGTGAAATAAACACTTCCTTTGAAGGTAAATATTCCAGGAAAGACTTCCATGACATGATAAAATGGACCCCCTGTGCTAAGAATGGTTCCCTTGTACCAAAGTAAACGAGCAAAAGCTATGCTTTACAAGAACAAAAGACCAAAGCGAAACATCACGTGCACGTCTCTAAGAATTTTATGATTTCATTATAGCGCGAGAACAAGTGGCTTTTTCATGGAGATTTGGCAAGAGTAGTTTTATATCGTATGCAAATTGACATGTCAGAGGCTGTTATGGGAAAGAATATAAGCATATGATATACCGTAGAATGTGTTGTTAGCTTACTTGTTCTTACCGTTGAAAATCAATTAGGAGCTTGCTTTGAGAAGTGAATAACCAGCTTTAGGTTCAACAGTTTCTTTGCCGTACATTTTCCTTTTTACAGAATAACAAGAGACTCTGTTGAGTTCTTAAAATAAATTGTAATACATATGGGCATCTTCTTTTCAAGTCTTTGATAAGAGAAACTTTATACGATAGGGAATTCTTCTCATAAGAAGAGATAAAGGTTACATTCTCATTTCCAGTCCATCATCTCATTAGAGAGAGAGAGAGAGAGAGGCGTTATGCGATTGCTCTACGCTACAGAAACGGGTACTGCTGCTGAGTTGTCACAGTTGGTTGCCGAACACTTTGCAAAATATATATCCCACCTGAAAGTACTAGAACTTTGTGACTATGATCAGACCCAACTTCCACTGGAAGACATCGTTCTATTCATTATTTCTACTACAGGAGATGGAGAAGTACCACAAGGCAAGTTGTCAACACTTTGAATAATTCCTTGACGTAGATTCTCATATTCAGGTGTATTCAGATATGAGAAATTTTTGGAGATTCCTATTGCTTAAAAACTTACCTGCCCATTCACTTTCTCAAGTCCAATATGCAGTTTTTGGTTTGGGTGATTCTTCCTATTTAAGATTCAACGCTGCTGCAAGAAAATTGGACAAAAGACTTCAACACTTGGGAGCAAGACCTTTGTTGCCTATCAAGTTGGGAGATGAACAAGAACGAAATGGTTTGGAAGGAGCTTTACAGGATTGGCTCGTTCAGTTGACAGACAAATTGCAACTCGAAGAGGTTCGCATGAATCCTTCAACGGATGGTGTTTTTTACTATTATAGGGTTAAAGAATCTTTACAGTCTGTTAAAAGCACATCGATAGATAAATGGAATGCAGGTGAATGTTGTTCTAGTCAACAGTTCTTTTGGGAGGCAAAGGTTATATCCAATCAGTTGTTAGTTGAAGAGGATTGCGAACATGAAGTTCGTCAAATATCCTTGAATATAGAAAACTCATCCATCACTTATAAACCTGGAGATGTGGTTTATATTTATCCCAAGAATTCTGTAGCAGAAGTAGGAAAACTGATCAAAATGATGGGATACAATCCTAAACAAGTACTCGAGGTTGAAAGACTAAATGATATTGCGCCGGTATTGAATTTGAGTTGTCCTTGTACTTTGGAGTCATTGGTTGCCTCCCAGTTTGATTTATATGCCTTGCCTAGAAGAACTTTTTTTAGAAAACTTGCCAAGTTCGCAAAAGATTCGGAAGAACGGGATAGGTTGCTATATTTCTCTACTAGTGAAGGTGCAGATGATTTTCGTCAGTATGTCACAGTAGAACGGCACAATATCCTCATGTGCTTACGTGATTTTCCTAGTTGTCGTCCTTGTATCGAAGACTTGATCCAGTTTTTGCCTCCTTTAAGACCTCGTCCCTTTTCCATTGCATCATCTCCCACTTATCATTCTGGTACACTTCAAGTTTGTGTATCCATTGTAAAGTATCAAGATTGTTTTGGTTTTTGGCGTCAAGGAGTATGTAGTTCATTCTTAAAGAGAAGCAAATGTGGTGACGTGATTCCTGTGTTTGTAAAGAGAGGCAGTTTAAAGTTCCCACAAGTGACTGATAAGAAACCTTGTATTATGATTGGACCTGGTACTGGTGTTGCACCTTTTCGTTCCTATTTATGGGAGTGTTTTGCTCATCATCGATATATTGTAACCCAAGATTCTTGTCGAATTCTATTCTTTGGTTGTAGATATGAGCAAAGAGACTTTCTCTACAAGGAGGAATGGGAACACTTGAAACAAGCCAATATTCTTTCTCAGTTGCACACTGCATTTTCTAGAGATGGCGCCAAGAAAGTATACGTTCAACATAGGTTACTGGAACAAGCACAGGTGATAAGGGAGCTAATTCTGAAAGAAGGGATAATATTTATTGCAGGCTCTGCCAAACAAATGCCCCGAGACGTTCGTCAAGCACTGGAACAAGTTATTTCTACTTTTAACGAAGAAGAAGCCGAGAAATATTTAAAGAAGATGGAAGCAACAGGTCGACTTCAAATAGAATGTTGGTCTTGACTTTGGATGTTTTTCTTGAGTCTATGATAGAGGGGTTCTTTGGCCACTAGTAGAGAAGGAAAGCTATCACTCACGAGCTTACTAAAGATCATTAGAATAGGCGGCGGATGCATTTCATTAAAAATCTTTTGTCCGTTTGTGTATTAGCGATTCCGATGTGTGGGTTTGTAAGCGTACCTCCGGTGATATCGCAAACTTACAAAGCAACCTCTATCAACCGAATACCTTGGAGACACAGAAACTTTGTTGTTACGTTGAACAAGTTAAGATTACCCCCAAGGTTCGAGTACTTACGACAAGCTCGTTGTACTGTGACGACGGAAAGGCCCAGCTTGAAAAGAGAGATTACCAGAGAGCCTTCATCATATTCGAATGAGAATACTTTGGACTCGTTTCTTGCAGAAAAGGGTTATAAAGTAGAAGATAGTGTTATTTTATTTGATGGAGAGTGCAACCTTTGTAACGGGTCTGTCAACTTTGTGCTTGACCACGATAAGGACGAAATATTCAAGGTAGGTTTGGAGTTTTGTTTTGGAGTCTTGTGTCACTATAAATATCCTACAGTTTGCAGCATTACAGAGTCCCGTGGGAGTAGCCTTGTTGCAAAAATATGATGGTCCTATGGATATGTCATCACTGTAAGTCTTATGAGAAACAAAAGATTGGAAACTGAACCATAGGAATATAGAGTTCTTATTGAAAAGGGTCGATTGCTTCTCAAATCGGATGCAATACTAAGAATAGCAGAGTTATTGGACAACCAGATACTTTGTGTATTAGCAGTGGCTACCCGATGGGGGTTTCCAAGGTGGTTGAGAGATTGGGTTTATACGGAAATCATATCCAAGTATCGACGTCAGATATTTGGAGAGACGGACTCTTGTCGTTTGATGGAGCCTGGTTGGGAACATCGATTCCTTTAAGAGAAGCATAGTTTAGTTGCTTCTTCTGTTGTATATCATTTTTGGAATGAAGGATAGCTGAAAACTTGACAATTGTTGACGGCCGTCCTTCATATTCAATTGCTTGTTTTGGATGTCATAAAGAATATTTGGAATTGCGTTATCCTTTATCGTTGCTTTGTAAATGAGAGAAACCAATCCAATACCTGGTCAATATGATCCGATGCCATTTCATGGACACCATAAGCACGATTCAACAATTCCTCTATATTACTTTGTAAAGTCTTCCCTTTTTTCCCTAAAATAGAATCATCGACTGCTTGCCATAAATAGGAATATTCCAATTCTCTTGGATCTCTTAAAAGATATCCCTGAGAATCTAACCATCGCGTTGTATTCAGCAAGTCAAACAATTGTCGTGATAATGATAAGGAAATAATTGGAATCTTCTCGTGAAACCAATCAGCAGTTATCGGCACTGGTTTCAAAGACAATATACGACAAGCTATTTTGTGTTGAGTCAAGAGATTACAAGAACTGTTTACATGGTTGAATGACCCAAACGTAGTATCCTTTAGCATATGAACAAAGAAAGTAGGAGGATAAGGATTCCAATCGAATAAAGTAAAGGACTGAAAGCTTCCGGGAGAAATATAAATAGCTTGAGCCGATATATTTCGAAGAAATGTTGAAAGGATAGAGACGAATGAACCTCCACTGGATACACCCAATGCATACAATTTTAGAGACTGGATAGCTTGTTGAGAGTTTGTTTGATTGTTGACAAAATTCTCAAATATCCATTCCTGAAAACTTTGATGTACTCGAATAACATCCTTATTACCCAGTGCTGGATAAAAGGAATCCCAACAACCACTCCATCTATCAACTGAAGAAAAGGCAACGACCGAAAAGTTTCTTCGTAAAGCTTCACATACAACAGAAACTTCTTCTGGTAATACAAACCAATCTCGTGCGCTATGTTTACAGCCGTGAAATAACAACAATACTGAATGAATGTCGCTTTCTGGAGAATGCTGAACAATACTAGACACTTGTACATCCGACAATACTTCATGTTTGGCATAACTACAAATATCAAAGCAACCATTAACTTTGGCTACTTCAGTTCCCTCCATATTACTTTTCAAGCTTGAAATATGATTCAATGTCAACTTGTTCTCATAAAATGAATTCAAATTTTGACTGGAGAAGCTAAGATTAGAAGGTCCCTGTGACTCCAACGATGGAAGTGCAACTTGAAGATTCTCAGAGTAATTAGAAGAAATATTCGTCCAATCAACCAACTCTAGTGAATCAACATAAGAAGAGTTGTTGAATTGAGTTTCTGAAATATTTCTAGTCTTCACCAAGTTGGAGGGTTCTGGTTTTAGAAATGGGGTCTCATCATGATACGTTTCCACAACTTCAACTGAGGATGGTTTTATGTTGGATAATGAAACAGAATTATCCATCAAACTAACAGGATTCTTCAATAAAGAGATGGTTGCTTGGTCCTGCATTGAGATATTTGAGTCGCTGTTCAGCTGCTTCCCATCCAAAGTATAGGATTCAGTGGATGAACTTGTTGTCATATCATCAGTTGCTTCCAAAGCACTGTTATAATTGGCAAATAGTACTAAATCTAAAGTCCCATTGGATGGCCGCTGGTAGCTGCCTTCCTGAGATGGAACTGTGCCTACCCATTGTTGGGGACTTGAAGCGGTTTCTGACACAAGATGCTGTTCTTCTTTTCTTTCTAACAACAATGGTTCCTTTCTCCCATCATCTTCCCATTGTCTATTTTTATTTTCTGATAACCAGGAATCATCTTGCTTGCTGCTTAAGGTGTTGTTGTGTCCTAACAGAAAAGAAACCAACAACAAAGAGAAAACAATCACCCCAAAAGTGATTCTCAGAAGACCAAGTTTCCTACGAGAATAATTATGAGCTGTTCTCCTTGGTACATGTCGAGCTTCAAAAGGCAAAAGTGCCATAACACACACATACACTATCACCACTTTCCAATGAGAAAAGACAAGTTTTTCATTGTAAAGTTTTTGCAATTACTTTTTGACAAAAAGCGCCATTTTGTTTTATTATGGCAAGTCACAAAACTTGCAAGCTTTTTGTTGTTTTGTTTGTTATATCACTATATTGTTGTACACTAGTGCAAAGCGATATCATAGGAATCGATCTAGGGTCCGATTATTTAAAAGTTGGCAAGGTACAATCAAATAGGGGTGTTCAAGTGGTTCATAATGAACAGTCGAAAAGAAAAACACCTTCTGTTCTCGCCTTTCCACCAGATGGATCCTTTCTGTTCGGTGATTTGGCAGTAGCTTCAAACTCTAAATTTCCCAATCGGACGGCACTACATCCACTTGAATACCTAACAGGGTACTATCGTTTGCTTTTCCAATATATTTTCATAGATGCTCATTCTTTCTATTTAGATATGAGGAACATCGATCGCTTCTAGAAGAACAAGGCTTTTCTCATAGTGCCCAAATATATGCTCTATTCTTAAAGCAAGCTCTGAAGATAGCCAATGCCAGTCAACACTCCGTAGTGGCAGGTCTGGTGATTCCTCCTTGGTTGAATTTGCAGCAGCGTCAAAATGTGCTCTTTGCTTGTGAAATGGTAGATATATCTTCTGTTGTTTTGATTCATAGCAATACAGCTTGTGCTGTCAAATATTTGTTAGATTGGAAACCTGAACAACCTCAGTTGGTATTATTCATAGATATTGGAGTAGAAAGTACTATTGCTACCATTGTTTCAGTTGCGTATCAAAGTACAGGAACTAGTGTGACACCACAAAGCTATCATTTACAAGTGAAGAGCCATTCTTGGGATAAAACTTTAGGAGGAAAGTATATTGATGAGAGACTGGCAAATTGGATTGTACAAAAAGCAGCTACCAAAGGACAATTGGGTGCTCATTCTCCGTCATTCATCATGAACCATGCAAAGTGTCAAACAAGAGTGCTTCAAGAAGCCAAAAGAATCAAGGAAATCTTAACCGTCAATCAAGAAACAGTGGCCAGTTTGGAAAACATAATAGACTCCATCGATATCCAAGTTCCCATATATCGAAGGGAAGTAGAGGCGTTGCTTATTGATTCCCATTCCATTTCCCGTCTAGTCAATCATTCTCTGACGTTGGCCAATCTTCAAAAAGAACAAATCGACGTCATTGTACCTTTTGGAGGAACGAGTCGGATTCCTTTGATACAACATCTTTTGAAACAGTCTTTGAAAGAGTTGAACAAAAGCATTCACGCAGATGAGGTACGTATATGTATGTTGAGTTATTGTCATTCTTTAGATAAAATTCATTTAGGGAGCCGTTTATGGTGCAACATTCTATGCTGCCTTATCTAGTCCAAAGATACGTTCAAGAGCTCTTTCCATCAAAGAATGGCAAACATTTGACATTTGGATACAAATCTTCGATTCCAACGAAACTTGTTTATGGGATGCGCCACTGGTTCAAATAGGAGAATCCATTCCAACGACGAAGGAATTCATTTTTCATCCAAAGAATGATTTCGACATTCATTTATATGCCTTTCGAAATGAAAGTATGGTATATTTACTGGAGAATACTCAACTGTATCCAAATGAGTCTTCTCGACAATGGTTGGGAAATACAACCTTTCATGTGAACTTTATGGATTCTTGTGACTACTCGAATTCTTATGTCCGCATGGAGATTGGCATGAATATCCAAGGTTTTATCTCTCCTCCCGAGTTGGAATGGATATGCACAGAAAATAACAATCTCACAGATACTGTCAACAATACATCCAATACCATGGCAACAGGAGTACAAAAGGAACGAAGAAGACAACTGCTAGAGGTAAAGAATATTCAATCCAACTATGGGCTTCTTCTTCCTTTTTGGAATCATTCTACACTGGAACAGTTAAAAGTGGAATTACAACAACGGCAACAAAGGGATGCTGAAGTGCGTAGACATTCGGACATGTGCAATGAATTGGAGTCTCGTATACTTTTGTATCGTCAACGATTGACGGAACAAGGTCATGAGTGGAATGTCTTTACTTGTGAAAAGGAGAGACAAGTGAGTATGGTTCCTTTTTTTGTTTACACAGTCTTTCATCAACAACAACTTAGAAAATATTACATAATTTGGAACAACTGGAAAGTTGGTTGTATTCATATCCTCAGATGAGCTTGATTCAACAAAAACAACAGCAAATGCAGGATTGGATTCTCCCCATCCAGGAACGAATTGAAATGAATCGCAAAATACAAAAGGCTGTTGAGCAGCTGAATAGTACTCTTATATTTGCCAAGCAAGTTTTGGAGGCAGGGAATATTTCGATGAGTCCTGAGCTATCATCCAGCTTGGACTCGGAAGTGAATGAGTTGGAAAAGTGGTTGAACAACAAATGGAATGAATATATTCAAAAGGCACCTTATGAAGAATCGCGTACAAAAGTATTCTCCATCAGCCAGTGTGATACAGCAACGCAAACAATTTTGAATAGAATCACAGAACTTTATAGAGCTGCAGAACAATCAAATATGGCTGAAGGTGACCACAATCCTGAAAAGTATAGTCATCCTGAAACACAAACCACAATGCCAATACAATCTGATGATAATTCAACGCAACAATCCAATGCAGTAGAAACAAATCATGATGAATTATAATAAAAGGACTCACAGTATTCCCTTTCTGACAGGAAAATCACGGAAAATTCCTTCGCTAGTGATTGGATTGCGAGTAGAAGAATCCATTTCATAACTTATTCTATATTTGAGCTGCCAAATCTTCTCTTCTGATGTAGTTTGAGACAAACGAGCTATTTGGATCAATTCCTTTCCCTGTTCAAGTGTGGTTCCTGTTGCTGGCTGCAAATCAATCTTCATATACTATCGAGAGAAGGGTTCATACACTATCGATTGGAAACATAAACAACAGATTTACCTTTGGTACGGCAATTTGTAGTCGAAAATGTTTCAAAGGCTCAGGTACAAGACTGTGAAAGTGAAACTCTACTTTCCAAGTAAAACTAGGATCATACTCTTCAAAGAAATACAACTCTGCATTTAAATGCTCTCCACATTGGATAGTCTTTGAAGTGCCAGTTTTTTCATTTTTGTCAGACAATAGCAATCCATCTAATTCATTTTTGAATATATTTCGAGAGGAATCCGTACTTTTGCCAAAATCCAAGATTTCCAAACGACCCAAGTCTATTGATGCTGCTTCTTGTTCTTCTTCATTATCTGCTTGTTCTTCTTCATCCAATAACAATGATACCAAACTTTCAGACAATTCCTTCCGGGGATTCGCTCCGGGGGCCGTATCTGAACCGCTCAAATGTTTCTTTCTCAAGGAATTGTAATCCATAGGGGGAAGGGAAGCCATAATCTTCTTTGAAACTGTATTCCATCGTTCGTCCAACATTTGGAAATATTCACAAGCTCTTTGCTGTACCTCTAAATCTAGACTAGTCTGATAAGTGCGCAAGATAGTTGAGATTAATTCTTGAGTTTCTCGAGGTAACATAACACGCATATACAATTTGGCAAGACAACTAAGCGCCACTTCTCTCAAGAGTGAAGAGGAGGAATGTACGGAGCCTCCTAACAAAACTTCTCTCTTCATACCTTCGTCATATGTATTTCGCATGGATAAGTGAAGAATGGTACGCAAACTGTTTACTACTTGTTCAGAAGATAAAACCTGTTGTTCAATCAATTTGTATCCATATTCGCCGATAATCCAAATAGAAACTATTTCCAAAGCAGGTTTCAATGCATAAAGTGACTGGTCCAATCTATCTGCAATTTGTGGATTTACTTTTGCATAGGGCTGCAGTCCGAGTTCAAACAAGAGTCTAGCTGCATATTCTTGAACTGACTGTTTTGCAGAAATAAGAGCAATGAATAAGCTTATTAATGATTCTGGCATCAATACGTCTGTCAAGCTCAAAGTACGAGCCATGCAATTGACGTGCCATTCGATATCTGGAGCAAAACTAAGCAACAAACCCAACTCAATACCCAACATTCTATCTCTTTCAGTGCCGTACTTACCGATCAGCCATGTCTGATAACTTTCGTGCGACATCTGGCTTCAATTCATCTTCACATGTTTCCAAAAATTCCAAAAAACATCGAGAAAGTTGCATTATATTAGAAGAATCGGTCAAAGCATACACCAGATCTAGTGCTCTTCTTCGAATCGAAATATCGGGATCACTCAAACACTCCAGAATAGTATTGAGATATCGTTTGACGTCTTCCTTCTTCTCTCCAACTACGGTAAGAAGAGTCTGAAGAGATACATATCGAGCATTGTTATCCTTTGCTTCATTCAACAATCGCCCACCTAATGTTTCTACAGCCAAAGAGCGTAATGTGTCCGGCAATTCACGAATAGCGATGACTGTTCTGACGCACTCATAAATAACTGCCAATCCTGCATTGGAAGAAGAATCCGTGTTCGAAAGTATTTTGATAAGTACATCGGTACAACTATGGGCGGCTTCTTTACTTCCTCTTCCATAAACACTTAAAACTTGAAGAAGTTTCACCTAAAATAAATTTATAAAAATTGGACTCTCGAAATAAAAGTTCTAACACTTACTTGAAGAAATGGGTCTGTTATGCCAGATATGGTCAGTTCAGGATCAAATGAAGGCGATAATAGTTCTTTCAAAAGATTGACGCAAGGTGGAATAACTCTGTTGCGCAGTCGATCGATATATTCAGGACTTGTATGTGCCAGTTCAAATGCCAGTGCCAATCCTGTCAACACAATTTCTTCCGTGTGTTCTCCCAAAGTTTGGGTCATATAGTCGAACAACAAACTGCTATATTCTGGTACCTTTTTACAAATACGCACAGCAGATAACAAAGCCTTTTTCCTAAGATAAGGGTCTTTTCCCTGTAAGTGCTTCTCCACCAAAGGAAATACGTCTTTGATGAGTTCAGCTGAAGCAACATTTCCGACAGCTGTCAATGCTAAACCAGCCACCAATGGAATGCTACTTTGCAAGTCTTGAACAAGGCAGTTGGTAACTAGCGTTAAAATTTCTTGATTTTCATCCAATAAAACCAACAAGCCCAAATATCCCACTCTCTTATCCTTATACTTTGGTGATGTACAAAGTTTCAAACACTCGAGCTGACCAAACTCGGTAGGATAACCCTGCATATGAAAGAATAATAGTTTTGCTATATTTCTTCGTCGAAAAGCAGTATCCCCTTCTTTAAACAAGTCTCTTATTTGTGCTGATTCCTTTTTCACCAGAGCTCTTTCTTCGGCAGTTGTTTTACAACTTCGAAACTCTTTCACAACTTCTCTATAGATAATGCAGATTAGAAAACCCTTGAATAGTCATATTCATTACCTAAGAGTTTTACAATAAAAGGTCTTTTTGGCGTCTCTAAACATTTCCTTTGTTTTCTTGTACAACTTTTTAGCTTCCTTCTCCATTTTGTCCGCAATTAAAAGAATTGCTGTTGGATTCTTATTGAAAAAGGAGCAACTTTGCCATTATAGTTTCGACGAACATTGTGGGAGATATTGCCTTTCAATATGAAGTTGACGAGGTAAACAAGAAGGCATGATTGTTCTCTTTGTTGAGGGTTCTATATCAACTTCTTTAGGTTTTTAATGAAGCTAAATAGTGAAACTGTAACGGTAGAACTGAAGAATGGCACCGTTGTTCAAGGTACAGTAACTGGAGTGGACCACAATATGAACACTACGTTAAAAGCAGTTAAAATGACTCCTCGTGGGAAGAATCCAGTTACGTTGGACGCCATGAGCTTGAGAGGAAGTACCATTCGTTATTTTATCTTACCAGAAAGTCTCAACGTTGATTCTTTACTGGTTGACGATAGTATTCGTCCACGGGGTAGTATTGCCAAGGAAGTAACGAAAGGACGTGGAAGAGGACGAGGTAGAGGTAGAGGAAGTGGTGGTGGACGAGTTAGAGGATCGGCTGCTGGTGGACGTTAGTATTTCTCTTGGGAGTACAAATAGAAACCCACAACGAATAGCCCAATTTCTTGTAATAAACACAAAGTTTGGAGAATCTCGTGCGCTCACACTTTGATAATACATCGAACAGATATTTCGAAGGCTAAACAGGAGACATTTCTTTTTTTGAAGACATAGAAGATAGTATACAGTGGGAACACTGGTTGACCACTTCGATATTTTGTGGTTGAAAAAGCTTTTATGAGAATAGGAAAGCCTTTCTGCTGGTGATTAAAATGATTTTTACAAAAAGGCGCCATCCATTGACATTTTTCTGATTACGACTTACACACAACTGATGGCTTGTTTTGTCAGCTACAGCTATACAAGTTTCCACTGGAAAACGAATTCTTTAATAAGAAAGACCGAAATATGTAGAAAGAAAGGCACTGGAAAAGTTTATTCCAGTAGAGACTTGGTTGCAGCGCTACCAAAGACTCCAACACCTCAGAAAGATCCTGTTCAAGAAAAAAACCAAACCAAAAGAGTAAATGTCTCCTCGTTTATTTAGCCTCCTATTTACTTTGACAATTAGAGCAATGAAACTTCGGTAAACGAGGACTCTTTCTTTTCTCTCATTTTGAATCGCGTGGTAGACACAGTCGATGACGCTATGGTGCACTTTAATAGGACATTCTTTCCTCCCAAAATAGATCCTCAAGCCAAAAAACCAACTTTGGTTATCTTAGGAACTGGTTGGGCAGCACATTCTCTGATAAAAGTCATAGATACAGTGAAATACGATGTCAGAGTCGTCTCACCCAGGAACTACTTCTTGTTTACCCCAATGCTACCTTCAACTGCAGTCGGAACAGTAGAATTTAGAAGTATTGTAGAAACTTTTCGCACAGCAAACCCGTTTGTTGACTATTTCGAAGCGCATTGCGTTGATGTCGATCTTCAAAAACAGGTATTGGGAGTGTGTCCTTGCAATATTCTGAAAATGATAGTATATATTCTTCCAGGTGGCAGTGTGTGAGTCCAATATTCCTGGAGAAAAGAGAAAGTTTCAGATATTTTATGATTATCTGGTTATTGCAGTTGGTGCTGCTACCAATACTTTTGGAACACCAGGTAGGAGAAATATAGGCACCTGATACAAAGTGATTTAATCTTTATGTCGTAATAATAGGTGTACAAGAACATTGTTATTTTCTAAAAGAAATATCGGATGCTCGTGGTCTTCGAAGAGCTATAGTGGAACGATTTGAGTTGGCCAGTTTTCCGGATATTAGTAAAGAAGAGAAATGTCGTTTATTGAGTTTTGTTGTGGTCGGTGGAGGCCCCACTGGTAAGTAGTTTGCATTACATCTAACAAAGTACAATCAACCAATTATTGTGCAGGTTGTGAGTTTGCTGCAGAACTACATGACTTTCTCGTACAGGATTTGAAAAAATACTATCCAAAATTATTTGGAGATGTACAAGTGCTTTTATTGCAATCGGGTGATTCCATTTTGACGCAATTTGACCGTACCTTACAAGAGAAAGCTTTGGAGAATTTTCGTCAAAGTAATATTCAAGTGATCACTAAAGCTCGAGTAACAGGTTCGTTCATAACTTGTGATTGGTTGTAAGTGATATAAAGTGTGGGTGCCGTAGAAGTGACGTCTACGCATATTCGACTGGTGGATGGAAAGGAAATTCCTTATGGCTTAGCAGTTTGGGCTGCAGGAAATGGAACTCAACCATTGACAAGGTTGTTGTTGTCAAAGATCCCAGAACAGAAGGTTGATGTTTCTAACGATATTCAATTTGATGAGTTTGACTGGGAATAAATAGGAAGCTAGAGGTCGACTGTTGGTAGATTCCTGGTTGCGAGTAAAAGGTGCTTTGAATGTATTTGCTGTAGGAGATTGTGCAGCGATGGAACCAGGTATTTATGAAACCAATACACACTCAAATACATATGGAATTGATTGTCCAATATAGTACCTTTACCTGCTACTGCTCAAGTCGCTGGTCAACAGGGTGCGTATTTAGCACGTTTATTTAATCGCGACTATTGCTTGAGCTGTCCGGTACCCGAGGTAATCAACTTTGTTTATCAGTTATACGTATACACATCTAACAAGCAATAGTCGGAAGAAAAGTCAACTGCACCCTTAGCGAAATGGCGTCCAGGAGGCTCACCTGAAGTAGCAAAACCTTTTCAGTTTTTGTCGCTGGGTATTCTTGCTTATATCGGCAGAGAACGTGCGATGGCACAGATTGAAACTGGACTGGAAAAGATCAAAATGGCTGGTGTTTTAACTTATTTGTTATGGCAGTCTGTTTACAGTAAGTGCAATACTTTGTGAGCAAGAGTTATTCCATTGTTGACAATTTGTAGTAACTAAACAAGTATCTTTTCGCAATCGAGTTTTAGTATTGTTTGATTGGTTCAAGACAAGAGTGTTTGGTAGAGATATGTCACAGTTTTAGAGAAAACATTGTGTTTAGTAGAGAGGGAAATATAAAGTGGGATAAATGGGGTTGTTGAAGTGTCCACAAGTGTTGGGAAAAGGCCATTCTCGAAGGTTGGGCCAAGAGACGTGAATGCGAATGGAAATAATAAGAAAGATTGATTGATTGATTGGTGTTTAGAAATGAGTTCGCCAAGATTGTTGGTTCATAGTTCAACGGTCAATCGTTTGTTGGTAAGAAAACCTGCTTCGTGGTAATATAAAAATGAAAACATATACACACGACTAGTTGGAAACAGAGCAGTCATATTCTCGCAACAACCACCTTCGTATTATACAAGACTGTCAGGAGGCTCTCAGACAGTGCCCTTCTCTAGTAGCAAGAGTTGACACACTCACACACAACAACGGTTTCGTTTCTAGACTAATGTAAGAAAAGACATCATAAAACTGTCGTACGTTTTAAATAGGCGTCTCTAGTTGCTTGGGTGGTACTGTAGCTGTTCGTTATAAAGGAAACGGGTACAATATTCCGGTAGACATTTGGATTCCAGAACCCTATCCTAGTTACCCACCTCTAGTATACGTTACACCAACCCCCAACATGTATATTCCTAGTGACCACCCTTACGTAGATACTTCTGGACTAGTAAGAAAACATTCGCTTTATTCCTTTCCGATGCTTACGAGTGCAAATAGGTAAACTTGACTTATTTGGCAAAATGGGATCCCTCCTCTTATAGCATTGCTGGTCTGATTGGAGTGTTGGTTTCAATCTTTAGTTCAAAACCTCCCGTCTTTGCAAAAACTTCCCGCCGTTCACAGTCAGCGGAAATTGTCAATAAGCCTTTACCTGTGTCTCCAACTTGTCGTGCGGAAACACCACCCACTCAAAGAGTTTCTGCAGAAGAAGAACATCGAAGGTAGTTTCAGTTTTTATTGGCTTCAAAATTGAGCCAACTTGATAATAGGGAAATGGTTACGTTGGTTTCAGGAAAAGTGAAGGGACAACTTGAGAATGCGGAAAAGAAAGGTAAAACTGAAATTTCACAACTATTGGAAGTAAGACAGGCGTTACAAAAAGGTGCGGAAGCTATTCAAGAAGGTGAGTTATGACTGACATGGTGAGTAGTGATTGATTTTAGCACCCTTAAGGCTTGGATTCTATTTCGGTTGCACGAGTAGACGCTGAAAGAGAATTTTCAAATACTGAGAGACAATTGACACAAACAAGACAGTGGTTGGAAGAGAACAAGGCAAGTTTTGTGGAAACATAGTTATTTGTTCAGTAATATCTCAACAATATTCCTACCTAGCATTTAAAGGGAACTTTGGATATCGATGATATTATTATTTTTCCGGATAATGTACAGAGAAAAGTACGTTTGCAAAATGATCATTTTGTTTTGAGTTGAACCTTGTTGGATAGATTGTGCAATATCGAGCCAAAGATTCTGCTCTTCAAGATGCGTTGTGTCTTTTGGACGAGGCTCTAGAAATGAACTTGATAGACTTGGCTGTATTCTTAAAGGTAGAATGGAAAGACTAATCACTTTAAAATAGGATTAACAAATGATAGGAAGTACGACGATTAGCAAAAGAACAATATAAATGTCGTGGCATGATACAGTATCTTAGTCGGAATCGAAAATGTGTGTCGTAACAAAGTACATAATTACTTCTTTCATTTTATTGTATTTATATCAGTAAAAACAAAAGTGGATCGTTTGAGCGAACAAGTTAATGTGTTGCATCTCATCTTTCTGGGTTAAATGTTTGCAAGCGTTCGTCAATTCGTTGATATAGAATCATAGAAGCACGTTCTAATAATTGAATATTATTTTCAACCGCAAGTTGCTATGTTGACTCTTTCAGTTGGTTAAAATGGAACTTGAACACCATATCTTACTTGATCTCTTTTGTATTGTCGGCATCTTTGCTTGGACTCACGTTTTTGCTTGTTTCTTCTCTTCTTAATCTGCTCAGGTGACAACGAAGACAAGTTGACCGAAAATTTTTCCCTATCCATACAATCTCATGTATAAAGTATGGATTGTACTACACATTCATTACCTACCTTTGGTGATACATGACAACAGAAGTGGATGCAGAACTATTCAAATACATTTTCCTTTTACTCAATACTGTATCTGAGTGGAACACAGCTAAAGCATTGTCTTTCCCAAACATTTCCATCAACTTTTGAACTCTTTGTTGAAGCCTTCTTTCTTCTTTCTTTGTTTCTTCCAACAGTGCTTCCAAGGATTGTCTCTTTTTCCAGTCCGATAAATTATTTTCTCCACTTTCAGTTGACGGTGAGCTACAATCTTTGGAGTCTGAGTATCCTTTGGAAGAACTTGAGCCCCACGAAGATGGATAAGATAAATCCTTGAAACAGACAGAGTGGCTTCTTGTTAGGTCCAACTTTGGGGATGTTTGTTTGCCGTTTTCTTTAGATGTTTCAATCTTATTCACTTGTTCTGTGGTAGTGGTGGTGCAAGTAGAAGATTCTTCCACCGAATAAAAGAAACTTGCTAGTGGAGTTTCTTCTCCACTCAATGCCAGGGAGGAAATACTTATTCGTTCAAACAAGTGACTCATGAGAGAGTAGACGTGGCGCCCAAACCAACTCAAAACACCCGTCCACGAACTATCTTAATCAGTTGAACGGTATCGAAATAGCCACGAATCAATTTTGTCTCACCGACGGAAATCAGGACATTCTTCATAGCCAAAGTGTCTGGGGCATTCCCTTGGCATCATCCTTGATTCTCCTGTCGATGTCTAACCTCTTTGGTGGGTACAGTTGGGTGATACAAAGTCGTGCTCTATACTCTTAGTAACATTTCAAAACGATAGGATTGTTTTTTTGTAATGTTTATAAATAATAGATATAAAGGTGTGCACCTTTAGATGGAGATTTCCAGGGTTGTGTACTTTTTACCGAACTGCTATTCTCATTTCTTCATAAATATCTATATTCCAGTCTCATTCTTGAGGCTAAGCCCTTTATATTGTAGATGAAAAGTCATAGAAAATATTTCTAAATCATGAATTTCTTTTTAAAAATGGAAAGTTTTGGGTCTCAATGGAATGACTCGAGTATGTACTATTGTTTATTACCTTCTACGGAAGCTTGTAGTGAGTGTTTATATCCTAAAGAGTACCAGAGAGATGTTTTGATTGGAATTCTCTCTCTCTCTCTCTCTCTCTTATGTGCTATTCTCTCATGAATAAAGATGGCTTGGCACTAATATTATTCAAATTGTTCATTTTATATCAAAACTGCCTTTCCCTCCATAGCTATATGCTGCTCCCCTCATTGACCATCCGTTGGAATTTCTCTTCTCTTGTGAATTGGGAAGTGTGAGAGACTGAAGTTTTTATGAGTACTCCTGCCAGAAGAAGACTGATAAGGGATTTTAAGAAGCTGCAACAAGTATGCTTGTTTTGTTCTTTCTCTTGTTTATTCAATCCCTTCTGTTTGGGAGTAGGACCCTCCCAGTGGTTGTAGCGGTGCCCCTTGTGAAAATGATATCATGCGCTGGAATGCAGTCATTCTAGGTCCAGAAGATAGTATTTGGGAAGGCGGCACTTTTAAATTAACTTTTCAATTCACTGAAGACTATCCTAATAAACCTCCTACCGTATGTAAACTGGGTTTCGTCGTTCTTTTGTTTACTCCATTACAGGTGAAATTTATTTCCAAAATGTACCACCCCAATATTTACTCGGTTGGTAGCTTTTGTTCAAGTTGTGTTTCAAATATGAACCCTTTCTAGGATGGAAGTATTTGTCTCGATATTTTACAAAACCAGTGGAGTCCTATCTACGATATTTCAGCGGTGAGTTGGGTCTCAAGTATGAATGACGACTTTTGCTCATCGGGAATGAAGATTTTGACTTCCATTCAGTCTCTTTTGTGTGATCCTAATCCTAATTCGCCTGCAAATTCAGAGGCAGCCAGACTCTATCAGGTTGGTTATTTAAAGGGTTTATGCAAGTGCGAGCTTTGAACTTTTGTAGGAGAATCGAAGAGAATATGATCGTCGTGTGCAAGAAGTTGTAGAAGAGTCGTGGAAAGGATAGTCTAACGTCTATGTTGGAGAAGAAGAAGAATATGAACAACAAAATATAAACGATGGAATCAAGTTTCTGTGTTGTATCTATTCAAAATATGTTTTCCAGTAACAACACTAGTGACTTTGTCTAATAAGACAGCTTTTCCATTATTTACTTGTCATATATCAATACAGCAGGTCGATAATGGCAATCGGGTTTTTGAACAATGTCGAGCTTCACCTATGAATAAGCCTCAAGTTGTTTCACGGCTTCGACACAATTGTTGGACCATTTCCTCTTACAAAATGATACAAATGAATGCCTGATTATTCTTATTTTATATAGTTTGTGAAAGCAATGCTACTAGAAATATTGTAGACTCTCTTGTCCTTCTACATGGATTGAATAAAACTGACAAGTTTAGAAGACCAACAGCTGTGTTTATCTATCATGACAGACAGTATTAGTGTGCTTTACATATTTGAAAGTTGATCACTGATGTTTCTACGAAACACGAGGTGATAAAATAATATCTGAAAGATTGTTATCCAATATCCAAACTATTCAGTCATCCTCTTTTTCAACGACGAAATTTGGTGAGCAAAGGAAAAGATCATTTCTTACGAAATGGCATTTGTAAGGCTTCCTTTAAACGTTGCACTTTGGTTGGACCGATTCCAGGACATTTGCTCAATTCCTATCGATAAACATCCAACTGGGGTTCACGTATGGAATGGAACTTTCATACCTTCACATCGGCATTAACCAAAGCATGCACGGTCTTAAAATTGGCAATAAGCTGCATAGCGTCTGTCTTATTGATCGACGGAATACTCGTCAACGCACTTTCCACTTTGGAAATGTAGTCTTGTTCCGTTCTTTCTCTCAATACATCTGTCGGTTTGTTCTCCAACGCAAAATAGGTTTCCAAATATCTCGCAGCTTCCTTTTCATTTCGTGTAACAATCAAAGTAAACTCACTAAAAACACACAATTTTGTAACCTAGTTTTTTACAACACTACAGATCAACCAACACAACAGCTAATCAACCTAACTGACCTCTTTCAGAGCCAGTTCAAAGTCCTCTACGTCTATCAAACATACAAGTATTCGCAAACGAAATTGCTTTCCTATTGCTTTGACACGGTCATAAATGTACTGCGGAGTCAAAAGGTGTTGGCTAATACGCAAAAACAGTGCACAAGTATAACGACCTAATAAACTAGAGAGACAACGAGCAGCTAAAGTGCCTCATAAACTAACCCGTTTTGAGACTTACTAATCAGGTACAATGTTTCCATAGTTCCAAAGCACCTGTTTGATAAAACCATTTAAAGGATTATTTTTCTGAGTAGCTTGGTTAACCACAATGAAATGGTTTGCTTTTGCCTGAGCAATGATAAGGTCGGTCTTGGCTTTGGACGAGAAAGAATAGGAAAGAGAAGATAAAGACGCACTTTCACTTCCTTGTTCTTCATGAGTCTCGAAGAATTCCGAGTCCTTTAGAAACTGAAACGCTTGCGTAAACTCGTGATCTTCCTCTGTTGTTTCCATCAAATTTTATAGCCCTATTTACATAATCTGCTGTTTTCCCCTCTTTCATGGAACGTTTATCGGACTTTCTGTTGCACTTGGACGTTATCTTAAGAGCAATCCCTGTCGATATCTTCCAAGGTGTACAAAGTGACTTTCCAATTCAGTTAGATTCGTCAACTACAGGTATCTTTTTCTTAACCATCTTGTAGACTGGCTGCCTATTGTTCCCAATAATAGATCTGGATCTGGACGCGGTAACCAATACCTTCGCAACTTCGGCAAAGGAACTCGATTGCTATATAGCTTCCCTTGCTGAATTGCAACCAACAAAAGCACAAAGGTTGCAAAAGGTTTGCTGGAGTCTTTGCCCTACTTTCCTTGGTCTAACACTATTTCTTAAGAAAACCCAAGAAGCTGAAAACAAATTAAAAGAAGTTAACCGGTTGCTGGAAGAAGTTGTGCTCGAGTTGAAACAAGCAGAAGCACTTCTGACTCAAACTCTGGAAAGCGACCCTTTTTTTGGAGCGCACATCGGTAGCTCTTAAACTGTCGTTCTTACCGGTTTTTGCTTTGATACTTGTTTTTCTTAAATTAATTTTATTTCTTTTTGTTTGTTTAAAAAAGAATGACGCAAAATTTTATTATTTTATTTAAAAATTGAACAAATAGAACTGTTGAAACTGAACAAACTTTTACAACCAGCCGCATGTGAGATGCCAAATCATATTCTTCGTTGTACAAGAGAATAATTTTTACATTAAACATATGTTAACTTTTGCATAATCGAAAATAATGGATGGCATAATCTTACTAAATCTGCTCAATAATTTAATCTTTTGGAATTTACTTTGAAAATAATTTAGCAATTCTATTTTGCTCTCGATGGTTAAAATTATTTAAATTATGAAAAAAATGGAATTATTATATCAGCACTGTATCTTTCATGATTTCTTTTTCAACTTTGATTTTCAAACTTTAAATTTGTGCTCGAATTTTATATTTTAAAGAGTTCTTTGATTGGATGCAAAATTCTGGCTTGTGATGTAAAAAATAATATCCTCATTTTTACAAAATGAAGGGAATACCTTGAAATTGCGAACCATTCAACGAACCAATAAATATTCTCCACAAATCAAGCAAAACTGTAACAATCATTGCTGCGGCAAAACTATCCAACACTACTGCTGTTAGATTCCAATCGTGCTGAGGGTCTTCGTCAATACGGTAATACATTGGAAAACTAACCACAAAGTATATTGCATAGAATACAGATCCAAAATAAACCATTTTTTCCCAGTTATCAAATGAATAATACGGAAACCATGCGATAGTTACTGTTTCCGCGACTGCTGTTGCATATGCTAATAGAAGAATGAATAGCCACTTTATCAGAGTCTGTATAAGCACTGACTGTCTTTCTGTGCTTTTGACAACTCGCCGCAGAATTATTGTAGCAAATGTATGATAAAAACAGAAATAGGCATGTGTCGCTAGGTAACACGGAATAGGTACATGGTTCCAGTAATACGACTCAAAAGTATAATGAGCTCCAAGAAGTTGATAAAAGTAGTGAGTCCAAAAATAGTTTCCAATATAGCCAAACACCAAATTCCATAAATTGGCTTTGATCCAAAAACGCTGAGAAAAAGCTCTCTTCTTGTCTTCGCTACAACTGAGCAACAATGGTACTATAAAGCAGGGTGCTGCCATTAGGAGAGAGAACAGCAAGTATTCGTTCTTTCCACAATACTAAAGTTGCTACGACGTCAGTACCAGCCTCCCACGAGTCAAGACAACTACCTTGTAACCTTTGCTACCAACCAAACCCAAAACCAAAGAAGCAATACTTAAAGGAGTCACAACTAAAAAAACCTTCTCGCACCATCTCTTACTTTCATCTGCAGCGAACCAACTTTCAAGAAGTTTCTGTTTAGATACAACATTCGATGGTGTCGGGTCTCGAGTGGCCATCACAAACGAAAATCTTCAGCTCCTAAAGGAAATCATAAGAATGCTTAGTACGAGATGCTTTTTGTGAATATCTTCTATTTTTTATATCAGCACATTCATCAAAATCACATAAATCTTTTGTTGTAGGAAATTCATTGTTGGAAAGAAAATAAAGCTACCTTCAAGATTAGGGTGTGTCTTGAAAGAAATGGTGAAGTTAGTTACCATGCCAGCCAGGAAATAATTCCTTGTCTATAAAAGTGATTTGAAGGAATCTGTTACTATCTTGCATCCCTAAGGTAAGAGTTTTTCAACACTATAGCAAGAATGGAATTTAATGTCCGTTTTCGTTTTTTGGACAAGACACATTCGTTAAAACTCCTTCTTAAAATAAGGAATAGTCAACGTCAGACTGCAAAATTATAATTACTGAGAGTTGATTATCGAATGATGGCAGGAAGGATTTAACAGAAGCCAACGGCATGAACCAGTCTCATTGGAATTGGAAGCTAACTCTCTCACTTATCTATTATTTGGTATGACTTGCATAAAGAGGCAAAAAGTGCGTCAGTAGTCTTTCGATTAACATTACTAACAACAAAGTTATTGGAAGAACTATGATATTAAAGTTGCTTCCAATTCTCATGTAGGAAAGCTTTCAATATTGTGTATAATTTGCATTGCCACTCTATTATGTCTATATTAAGAGAGAGTTGTAATCAGACCATTGTCCCAGAAACGAAGAATAAACATTTCAAAAATTCGAGAGTCATTTCGAAACTACGATCAAGTTATCGACGAAATATTATTGAAATAGCTTTATACAGTATTAAAGACATTGGTTTCGAATAAAATTTGCTTGCTTTTTATCTGTTGCTGTGTTATGCACAAATAAAGGACGAAGGACAATGTGTCAGAATACAATTTTGGAATTCAATTTTGGCGGTCCGACAAAGCCAACAGTCATTCGGAATGACACAAGATGAGAAAGCAACAACCAACAAAGGTCTTGCTATCTTGAAGAAGATGGGGTTTCGGGAAAGAATAGGTAGTTTCCTCATTGATTGGTGTTAGCTGTTCTAAAGATGAGACGAAGGACGCTTTGAAAGTGGTATTTTACAACCCATCTCGCCGAAGAAAGTATTGGGACGACAAGGTCTCGGTTATGATAGTAGTCAAGAATCAACTTTGCACTATGCTGATACTAGTTCATTTCATGGAATCGCAGGTATTTCTTTGATTTACTTGTATCCGAAAGACTAAAAGTTTTTCTCGCAGATTGGGAAGTGGAAAGTAGTATAGAAGAGATCAAGCCTCAAACGAACTCATCCATCTCTGTATTCACAAAGAGAAAGCGTTTGTCGAAAGATGTAAATCAGGTTGAAGTACTTTTTGCGTTTCTCATATTTCTTCAGTTTTGTTTACGAAAGTATTTCAGGAGAACAATGCGTTGGATTGTCTATTGCTGGAAAGAAGACAGGAGACAGTCAGATGTGGTCTGTTGGTTGACTTCGATGTTTTGATAAGTAATCATGAAACCAGAAGAGTGCAGGCTTTGAAAGAAACTGTCGAATCATTTTCTGAAACTAAATATGATTGGGATTCCTTACAGTGGTTACTACAAGACGAAGAGAGTGATTGGACCTTGTTACAAAAGGTTATGAACTTTCTGTTCTCAAATGTCTTAGATGAGGACGTAAGTCTTTTGATCTTTTATTGCCCTTATCGTTAACGAAGAAAAGGAAATGTCATCCACTTATGAGAGATTCGAATCCAATATCATGAAGCAACCTTTAGAACGTAATATAAGGTGAGTAATGGGACAAATCTACCGGTTGAAGCTTATTAACACAGTTTTACTTATAGAGCTCAACAACTTTGTGAAGGACTGTCAAAGAAACCACTCGTTCGAGTTGGGATGCTCCACAAAGGTAGCAGGTTACGTATGAACGAGGAAATGAATGTCTTAAGTGTTCGCAATCTACAGATATGCGCATATGCCGTTTCTCTCGATACATTTGCTCACGTAAGATTTATCTTCTTTTAAAGAATATTTACAAATTTAATTTTCCTAGGTTCCTTATAATGAACAGTGGATTGAGTTGTGTAGAAGATTAGGTAGACAGTTCAACATGTTTTCCTTTATAATGCTGAATTGTATAGGCGTTTGTCCACAGGATTGCTATGCAGTACTTACTCCTCATAAAGCAAGCACACATCGACCTTCTCAGCTTGAAGTGGGTGTCATTCTTAGCAGTATACAACCAATACGGTGGAATTCCATTTCGACCTCTTTGGATGCAACAGGCGTTTTACACGAGATAATGAAACAAAGAGCTGCACTTCGAGACAAATCGGGAAAAATTATATTTCGAAATGTCTTGGCAAGGTTTGTTCTCTTAGGATTGGAAGTGTTCTAGAAGATTTGATCCCAGTAGATTCTCATCGGACCGACTGTGGTATTTGGCAACAGCTATAAAATTGAATGAAAGCAAATATTATTGGGTAACATACAAAGGTTGGGGAAATTCCGAACTAGTAAGTTGCATTCAAAGTTTTTACGACTCGTTAACGCTCATCAAATATGAATAGATAGAAGAGGATTCTATTGAGCGTATCTCTCAAAAGGAGGAGGATATATTCATAGCAAACAATTATCAAGGAATAAGCACACCCGAAAAACAAAAGGTTTTCAAAGATATAAAGTAACTGATTCCATTTCCAAGTTTTCTTCAGAGTTACTATATCTGCATATTTCAGGCTGATTGAAGATAGCGAGTTGTTGATTCAATATTATCTTGGTCAACAAAGTGCGAAGACTTGAATGCCTCAACTTCTTCATATACTTAGTTTTGGAATTTTAAAGAGAGCACAATAATCTATCTTTCCTTGAAACAATAACACAATGCCTTCGTATCTTAGCTTGCAAATGATGCTTTGTGAAATGAATCGAACTTTAAGGCCTCCACACAAATCCATTATCCCGCTTTTCTCGTCCGTTCCTGTCTTTTCTGTTTTTTGCAATAGAATTATGAAAAACTGTGTTGTTCACTTTGTGTCTAAAATTAAAAACGGACGTCACAAGGCGATTATTGAGGCGCCATTTAACGCAGAAACTTGGGAAATAGCTCAGGCTTTACAACGGGGAGGTTACATAAGAGCGGCCGCTATTGACGACAACACTATACGTGTTCTTACCAAGCCTTTTGCTATTCAAGACATCAAACTACTATCCAAGTCATCAAGACCCTTGTATACCGATATTCCCAAATATTGCAATTTCATTGACCAAACACTTTTATGGACACCTGAAGGAATCTTCTGGGACTATGAAGCTAGAAAAAAGAGACTAGGAGGTGAAGTGATTCTTAGAATCAGATGAACAGGTTTCCCTTGAAGTTTAATCTTGTTTGATTACTTGAGCAGAGAAAAAGTAGAGTTTGAATACGGGATCAGATATCAAAGTTTAGGTGTTGTATAGTTGGCATGATCTGTTGGATTTAGTGATACTATTAAACTCAAATTTTTGATTTTTAGAAATGAGATTCTTATATGCATACATTGAGCAGACTGATTTTTTATATACTTCTCTATACGATCCCCACATAAAACACAACTAGTCACTTCAAGACAAATCAAATGTCTTGGATAGATCACACGACAAAATGCCAACTGCTGGCGATCTGTTGGATGACTTGTCCAGTTGGGATTTTTTTTCTGGTTGTGGATCTTTTGGCATTTTTTTTCGAAAATCATTTTGCGCCAATTTTGGCTTTAAAAGTAACGGTTGACCAAGTAGGTTCCCAAAATATGAAGTGCTTGTTGTTCTGTATTGAAATTTTACTTCTGCTAGTACTGTCATCTTTGCATATTTCCGAATGTACGATTCCAATACATAATAATGAGAATCCAAAAAGTAGGTATCTGAAAATGGCATTATTTGAAAAATAACAGCTGCTTCAAAGCTATGACAACTTCACTACATGCTTTCAGAGCTGATGTGAGAGAGGTATTTGACTTTTCTAAGAGACCATGGACACCAAAGGCAAGAGACTCTTGCTCCCAAGAAAGAGATCGAACAAGTCGCCCTTATAATTATGTGTTCTCGGATCCTACAGGAAGACTTGTAGCAAAAGAATCTTTATACAGATCTTCATCCAGACAACTAAGTTCTGAAATTATATTGAAAGGGGGAGCAGAAATAGGTAAGTACATGGGCGATTGGCATATATAGAGCAAACTCATGATTTTTTTCTTTTCCAGTTGGTGGCTATTATTTCCAAATACAAGTAGGTGGGCAACCTATCTATGTCCAAATCGATACAGGAAGTTCAACTCTAGTGGTGCCTCTCAGTCAGTGTAACACTTGCAACGTCCCAGATAGATACAATCTTGCAAATAGTACAACAGGAACAGTCATATCTTGCAACTCTCCGACTTGTGGAGCAAATACCTGCAATCAGCAAATTTGTAGCTCCTGCTCCAGTAGTCAAGCTTGCTGTTCCGAAAATGGAATTTGTGGATTCTTCATTGAGTATGGAGATGGTACCACTGCTACAGGAGCTTTGTATCAGGATATCGTGACAGTAGGAGAATATTCTGTGCAAGCAACCTTTGCGGGGGCGGATACAGAAACCGCAAGTACGCTAAGCTTCTTTCGCAAGATACACCAATATTGAAGGTTCCTCGTAGATTTTCTGGTAGGGAAGGCAGCAGGTGTCTTGGGACTTGCCTATAGTTCACTTAGCTGCAATCCAACGTGCATTTCTCCAGTATTTCACCAGCTTGTTGAGAGTTTTAGCCTTCCAAATATTTTCTCTGTTCTTATCAATCAAGATATTGGAGCTTTTGTTGTTGGCGGAGTCAACTCCAGCCTTTATGAAGGTCCCATTGAATATTCTTCTTTAGCCAACGAGTGAGTATGATAATGACCTTTTGAAGTGTAAACTGAAGCTCTTCGAAAGACAAAATCCACAGTTTTATGATGTTGTAGGTTTTTCTTTCTTCATCCGATGAAAATGACAATTTTGAACTTTTTTCCTAGACAATAGAAAGTGTTCAAGTCAATTCGAATTCTCTCTCGATTCCTTCCTTTAATGCCATCGTGGATACTGGAACTACGTTAATTGTTGCTTCCCCTTATATCTTTGATGCATTGAAAGAATATTTTCAAACCAACTTCTGTAATGTTCCTGGGTTGTGTCCTTCTTCTAGTAATCCTGGTGTTACTTGGTTTGGAACGGTATGCAAGACATGTATCTTTCGCTCTCAATCTCACATGAACTCGGGCGTAACCCATAGGATTATTGCGTGAACTTAACTCCAGAAGAGCTGTCACAACTTCCTGATATTGAATTCTCATTAGCAGGTGGTGTTACTTTATCTTTAGGACCTGAGCATTATATGTTTCATGTTTCCAGTAATAATATATTTTCCGCGGCATCGGGTTCTTACTGTTTGGGTATACAACCCTCTTCACAAAACTTAGGGCCAACTAGTGATGGCAATGAAATGATTCTTGGAAATACATTACAACTCAAGTATTATTTAGTTTTTGATCGAGAGAATAAGCGTATTGGTTTTGCCAAAGGAAAGCAACTTTCCAGTTAATTAATTGCTCAATTGAGCTCCATCCAATTGTCTTGTGACAAATTGTCTGCGGAACTTGACATTTTACGCAGTACATTGTGTGTCGTCTTAAGTAAAGCAACTTTTCCGATGGCTATAAGTCAATTCATGGATAACATTTCATTTGGTCGCCATTTCTTTAACAACTGTTATCTTTGAATAATTTTTGAAACAAAAAATTCTTTATCTTTTCAATAATGTTGTAATAACTCTCTATTGAAAACAGAAACAACTTTCTCAAGAAATAATATAATAAGTTTCCTTCCAAGTAGCCAAACCAAGTCATTTACGTAATTTGTTACTTTTGGATTGCATGCAGTTCCTGTTAGAGATTTTGACGGTGTAAATTATCTTAAACATTATCAGAAACGATATATACGATGAGGATAAAGACTGCAAATAATCATAGGAATCCAGTTCAATGGAATACGAGTACCAAGGAAAGATGCAACTTATTTAGCCATGAAAAAATGATCTTATTTGCCAGTCTAAAGACAAATCTTTATTGTTAAATGTATTGAAATTAGAAAGCCATGCAATGGAACGGCAAAACCTGGGTCCCATAGCTAAAACAGCAAGATGAATGAGTCACCAGAGACAAGGAGTTTCAAATTTTCTTCAATTTTTCTTGTCGCGTGGGTGGAAAGAATGCTTTTCAAGAAGCCAATCCAGTCCCGTTCCGTGTGATAAACTCCGCAACTGCGAATAAATGAGCTGGGGTTTGGTTTTGGCAGTTGGGTTTTTTGGTTGGCGCCACGATAAATAACTTGTTGTATTGCTTTCAGACAAGGTCTCTCGGAAACAACTCCCTCTAATGTCTTCAACACTTTCAATTGGAAGGTTGCCTTCTTTGGTTTCTTTATTCAGGGGTCCCCATGCCAAAAGAAAAATGGCGCTAACTGGAGCCATAGTGTTTGCTGCTCTAGCCGCGGAAGAATGGTGGAGGAGGAAACAACCAGACAAACGCACTGCACTTGCCGTGCAAAATTCAATGGAACGCAGGAGACAACGAAGAGACAGGAAAGTTCGTGTGGACAAAGTGTTTGCGAAGAATTTGTGGTATTTTGTCAAAATTATGTTTCCTAGTCTAAGGTGCAAGGAATTCGGAACTGTATTGCTGGTTGGTTGCTTATTGACTGCTAGAAGCTATTTGGATATTTGGGTCTCTGATAATGGAGGTGACGTGGTGAAAGCAATAGTTGGCAGAAATATCAAAAGGTTCATTCGAAAAGCAGTGCTCAATATACTGCTCATGTCAGTGCCTATTTCGTTGGTGAACAATTTGCTCAAATACACTATTTCAGAACTTCAAATAATGATGAGGAGACGTCTTACTCTCTACTTTCATGAAGAGTACTTATCCAATCAAACCTACTACAAAGTGTGTAATTTGGATACGAGAATTCAAAATGTTGACCAGTTGCTCAGTCAAGACGTAGACAAATTTACAACATCGCTTGCAACTCTGTATTCCAACGTAGCGAAGCCTTTGTTGGATATCGTCCTGTTTTCAAAAAGACTTGCTCGCACTCTTGGTTCATCAGGACCTCTCATTATGATTGTGTATTTTCTTGTGACGAGTGCCATTTTACGAGCCATTCAACCTCCCTTTGGTCGTTTGACTGCAGATGAACAAAAACTGGAAGGAGAATATCGTCTTAGACATTCGCGCTTGATTACACACTCAGAAGAAATAGCATTTTATGGTGGTGGCAATCGAGAGAAGCTTTATATAAACGAATCCTTTACCAGAGTAATTCGTCATCTTAGAAAGATATTGCGCCTGAAACTTTATATTGGAGTGATTGACTCGTTCTTAGTGAAATATTTGGCAACGATTGTTGGTTATTGTATTGTTTCAGTTCCTATATTTCTGAGTAGAATGCAAGATTCAGACCAAGCCTCGAATGCCGTTTCTTCCTCGTTAGGTCATTTTTCTAGTACAGATGCTGAGGAAGAAGATCGATTGGTGCGTACTGGTGGTGCTAAGGAACATATTATTAAGGGTCAAGAAGATATTGCAGCACTCTATACTCGAAACTCGAGGTTGTTGATGTCATTGTCCAGCGCCATTGGAAGAATTGTATTAGCAGGAAAGGAGTTGCCACGTATCTCCGGCTACTGTGCTAGAGTGACGGAGCTGGAACAAGTTCTTTATGAAGTTTCTCAAGGTTATGCCGAAAATGGCAGTAATTCGAATACTGGTCCACCCAAAGGCTTAACTCCTGTATTTTCTGTGGCTTCCAGTATAGATTTATTTTCTAGTTCCAGCGATTTGGTTTCTTTGAAGAATCATGAAGCGGAAGAGCTTTCTTCTCTTTGTACTCCTGGAAAGGTCATTAGAAATGACATGATTCGTTTTGAACACGTGAATATTATTTCGCCTGATCGGACAATTTTGTGTCGTGATTTGAATCTTGAAGTGCCACAAGGAACAAATGTACTTATTACTGGTCCTAATGGTTGTGGCAAATCTTCCCTATTTCGTGTTCTTGCAGGTTTATGGCCTTTATATGGTAAAACCTTGTATCGACCTGAGCCATCTAAAATCTTTTATGTTCCGCAACGTCCTTATTTGGCATTGGGTACCCTTCGTGACCAAATCATCTATCCATTAACGAAAGAAGAAGCTGAAGAGCGTGGTTGTACTGATGATATGTTGAGAAAATTATTGCATGATGTGTACTTGGATGAAGTTGGTAATAGAAAGGGAGGACTAGATGCTGTTTGTGACTGGTCTGATGTGTTATCAGGAGGCGAGAAACAAAGAATAGCCATGGCAAGGTTATTTTATCACCAACCTATGTATGCAGTATTAGATGAATGTACTTCTGCAGTGAGTTTGGATGTTGAAGGACATTTATACGAATCTGCAAAGAAACGCAACATCACTTTGTTAACCGTTAGTCATCGTCCTAGTTTGTGGCGTTTTCATGAGAAAATTTTGCGTTTTGATGGCCAAGGTGGCTATTCTTTTAAGGACTTGGATCCTGCGGAGATTCCACCAGTTCATGATGGCAATCTTTCCAATCCATCATCTCATTCAAACAAGTCGACGGTATACAATGGGAAGAAGGAACAAGGATTGGCTACGATTCCAAGTGAGGAGGAGGAGGAGGAGGATAGTTCATCCAACAGCAGTACCGTACCCGCTAGGAAAAGATTGGAAGAGACCGATATCACATCAGAGTGAAGTAACCATCGTTGTGTTTTTGGGTTTCTATTTTGTAAATAAATAAAATATGGGATTCTTTTCCCATAGTGTTTTGCATAGTCAAGGTTCAGAGGCTTTTTGTTGTTCTCATTCAGTGAAATTTTTCAACACTGTCTGAAGGTGTCCCAAGATATCGTTGGTCTCATCATCACCTTGTTCTATACATATATTGTATTATTTACCACGTCGGTTATTCCATCTCCAATAACCAGCAATCAAACTACCATAAATGGAATGCATAGTAGCCGATATAGCACAAGGAACTGCTGTCAACGGGTTGCTGAAATGTGCTTTTGCTAAAGCAGCACCTAAACCACTGTTCTGCATCCCCACTTCGATGGATATTGTACGATATATGGATATATCTTCTCTTCTATGGCCACCTACTAGCCATTTAGATACCCAATAACCTAACCCAAATCCACCCAAATGTAACACTGAAAGTGCCAACATCAAATGGAATCCGGTTTGACGAATGATCGGTGCATTTTCTGCTACAATACTACCACAAATGAGAACAACTCCTATGACAGATAAGCTAGGAAGCCATTGTTGAAGACGACGTACAATCCCAGGAAACATGACACGCAAAGATAACCCTAAAAGGAGAGGAATCAAGACCACTTGTAGAGTGCTCATGAAAAGTGCTTTTACTTGAATAGGAACCAAAGTTCCTGCTACCAATAACATGAGCCAAGGTGTTACGATGACACTTATCAAGGTAGTCACCGTGGTCATCAAAACAGATAAAGCCACATTGGCTTCCGCCAAATAACAGACAAGATTGGAAGCCGTTCCACCGGGACAACAAGCAACTAAACAGACGCCTACAGCAAAATAGCGAGGTAAAGCAAAAAGACGGGAAACCAAATAACCAAGAACAGGCATGATAGTGTATTGAGCCAAAGCACCAAGAAGTATTGGATATGGATTCCGAGTCACTTGAACAAGTTGTTGCAGATCGAGTGTCAAACCCATAGCTAACATAACAAGAGCCAAAGTCCAAATAATATGTGGTCCTTTGAACCAAATAAAATAAGCAGGTCGAATAAACGCAACACAAGAACCCAGTAAGATCCATAAAGGAAAAAGATTGGAAAAAATATCCAAACTCCTCACAATCCCGTCACCAGTATTATTATTATTATTATCTACGTTGCTTTTGAAAGGGACGAGTTTTTTGGGTGTCTCAGCTCTTTGACTACAGCATCGAATGGGATAAGCAAAAGACAAGTGCCTTGGAAACCTACAAATTCGGATGAAATAACGATGGCTTATTCCTTGGGTTCTAAACCAGTGATCATGTTGTTGTGCTACACAAGGAAAGACAAAGCACTCAATTCGTGGATCGGTCTTAGACGACGCCATTTTGTGATAGGATGATGATAGAAATCCTCAAATTCCAGATAAAAGAAATCAATGTTTCTCTTTATAAATTTACTCTTCTCTGAGATGAGCCATGGTATTTCTTGGTGTTACCCATACTGGTAGTTTTACATATTCGGAAACACCTTTCGCATCTTCTGAAACTTTTCCAACTGAAGGTTTCATAGTCATAGCATGATAGGGTTTCACATCTTCCGCACGACAAGCGAGACGAAAAGTAAAAAAATGATAAAGTGAAGATAAAGTTGTCAAAGCTTCATGAGTAGCAAAAAACTGACCAATACAGTTTCGTGGACCATTACTAAAAGCTTGAAAGGCAAAAGGATGTCTTTTCATGGTATTCTCTCTCGTAAAGCGTTCTGGTTCAAATGTTTCTGGATCAGGCCAAAACTCTGGATTCCTATGAACTAAATAAATGGGAACTAAGATTGCAGTATTCTTTCGAAGTAGCATTCCACAAGATGGAAGTGTCACATCAGTATCCAAACGTCGAAGTGTACCAGTAGCTGCAACAGGATGTTTACGTAAAGTCTCTTTCCACACCTTGTTGAGATATTCAAGTTGACCAATTTCTTCAAAACTCAACATCCAATCTTGTCTATCTCCCCAAATTGTATCAACTTCTTGTTGTATCTTTTGTTCTATTTCCGGATGTTGGCAGACTTCGTATATCAACCAAGACATTGTATGCGAAGTAGTATCATGTCCAGCGACGAGAAATGTAGCAATTTCTGCAATAATATTCTGATCCGACAGATTATCCATTTTCAAGAAAATATCCAACAAATCCAAAGGTCGTCGGGTCTTGTCTTCTTCCGACTCTGTCCTTCTTGCTTCAATTACTTGAGAAGCGAATTCGCGAATAACTCCTGTAGCATTCTTTAAAGCTGGAGAAGAATATAATCCGAAACAATTTCGTATGGGATAAGCAACCAAGTTATGATACATTTCCCTTAAAGAAACATTCACCGCTCTTGAAATGGGATGACTCGCATCTTCCTGGGTATTTGCTGTACATCCAAACCCAGTTCTACACATTACGTCTAAAGTATATGAAGTTGCTTCTTTATCAAAGTCTATCGACTCTTTCCTTTCCGTCACTTGTTGTAACTTGGAAAGTAAAATCATTAGTTCGACTCTCATATGGCGATGAAGTTGACGCAAAAAGTCTTCATTGAAGTGTTTCGATATAGCTCTTCTTCTTTCCTGATGCTGAGATTTTCCAACAGTCAATAAACCACGCCCTGCTAGAGGTGACAATGACAAGTTGAACTCTTCAGCTTTGGGAAAGTTTTTGGTTACTATAATGTATTTGATATCATCGGGATGACTAATCACCACAATTTGTCTGTAAAAAGACCAGATTTGGAATACGTCTCCATATTGCTTTCGGAAGCGCTCAAAGACCAGAGGAGCAGTTCCACCTTGTCTCGAAAGTTCGGATACATTTCCCAACAACAACGAAGGTCTTGGTCCAGGAATATGTCTATTGCGCCATTTAGGAAGAATAAACACATAAAGGAAGAGACAACTGAAAGTGACCAACACTATCCACAGCTGCAGCATTCTCCTCCACACAAATCCACCCTTCAATAACCAATGAGAATTTTCGTATAGAGAGACACGAAAGGATGAAAGCTTTTTATTTATCATTTATACAACCATCGCTTGTCAAGAGAAACCAGAAACCCAATTTAAGTTATTACTATGTATCGGCTTGTGTTGATAGGAGTTGGAATAGCTTGCCTGAACCCTCCTCCATTCCCAACTGGCTTATAAGAAACTTGGAAAAACAAGGTTTTCAACATTTCAATGTTGTTCAACAAAAAGCTATCCCAGTTATCTTTTCGGGCAAGGATCTCGTTCTCGTTGCTCCAACTGGAAGTGGAAAGACGTTGGCGTTTCTGGTTCCTCTTTTAAGTTTAGTAGATTTCAAGAAATCTTGGATACAGGCACTTATATTGGTACCAACACCTGAACTGGGTTTTCAAATATATCTTTTGGCAAAGTCTCTCTGTTCTTCGCTATCATCATATCAACTTGCACATTCGAGAGAACACTCACTGATTCGTTTTTTATCCAGTGGAGAAGATGGGAAAATCAAACAGAAGAAACTACCTGCCATCTTAATTAGTACGTTGGAGTCTGTTCGAGAAAATTGGCCTTTTATTGGCTTGGATAGAGTTCGATATATAGTATTGGATGAGTTTGATGACTACTTCATAGGTTCTTCCTGGAGGTCTAAAATACTTGGCATGCTTCCTTCCCATTCAAGGCAAATTATATTTAGTTCAGCGACTCTGCAACAGTGTCAACACTTTTTATATCAATGTCGACAACAAAAGTGGACCAAACAAGATGGACTGGAATATATTCATATCGATAAAACAGAATGGATGCCCAAAGTTGTGCACTATTACTATGTCTTGAAGAAGAAGGATGACCGCATCCAGCTTTTTGTAAATATATGGAGACAACAGAAAGCCAATAAAGCTATTGTATTTATTCGTGAAGATAGTATGTTATCACATACAGCTTGGCTTTTGCAAGAAGAATGGAAAAGACAAACTTTGGAGAAAGAGAAGAACATATCATTCCTATGGTTATCTGCAAATGCCGATTGGAAAAGTCGACAACGTGTTATGACCACATTTTGTAATAGTGATGCTCATTTGTTATTGATCACTGGTCAGTTGATGAGAGGCCTCGATATTCCTGAGGTGACTCAAGTCTACAATTTGGAATGGATGGATGGTGTGGAAGAATATGTTCATAGAGCTGGAAGAAGTGCACGGTGGTTAAGGTATGTATACTATTTGGGTTATCTTTGTTGTTCCAGTATTTCTTATATTTTGACTATTAGAGAAGGTTTGGTGTTGAACTTTGTGAAAGACAAGGAATTATTTGCTTTGGAAAGAGTATCCAATCAGTTGAATATCCCATTTGTGGAATGGCCTTTGCAAGTTGACGACCATCACATATAGCAAATGCTTGTCGAAGAGGGCGATGTTTGGTTGTATTCTGTTTCTCTGGTTTGTCCACTTATCAGGTATTTCTCTTCAGATATCTTGTCCAAATATATTATCCATAGGAACAGCATCATCTGTCGCTGGTTCATCTTGAGAGTGATCATTGCTTTTACTTGCAATAGATTGCGAATCACTATGTGTGTACTTACTACTATCAGCAGGAGAACTGAGGTCATTTTGTTTGCATTGATGATATATTCTTAATACATTTTGTATCAAACTATTTTTGGCTGATCGCGACAAGTTTCTTCCTGGACCTGTTTCTATCAAAGTCTCCAGTTGAGCGTCTGTAAAGAATAGTTTCGAAGCTTCCTTTTCTACCCAAGAAAGAATTTCTCTTTCATCCAAAAAGTAGGCTCGAATATGGGATGCTGCTCGTTGTGCTCCTGGAATGGGTCGCAAACCAGTTAATGACTCTAAACCACGTTCCAAATGCCGTAAATCTACCAACATTCTTGCCCTTCCTTCAGGAGTACAATGTTTTACTTTGGACACTCCTATCACAAATGTATGACAACAGGTGACAGCAATTCTCTCCCATAGTTTCAAACAAGTATTGGGAAGCATCGATTCGCTTTCTCTCCATTTCTCTATATTCTGTAATACTCGAGAAATGGCAGTAGAAGGTTGGTCTAGTAACGCGATGTTATCTGTTTGAAAAATGGAATGGGATGCATGTAGACTATAATTATTATTGGCTATTTCTTGGATAAATCGACGAGCTTCAATGATCTGAGCAGCTATGCAGTCATACACTGCTGACCGAATAGGAACAGTCAAAGTAAAAACAGCATTCCAACTGCGCAGAATGCTTTGTCTTGATGAGATTGTCCAATGGGACGATGTTTCCAAAAGTTGTAAGCAATGCGAGAACAAATCTGCTAGACTTTTCCATGATTCCTAACAATAAATTCAAAAGTAGTCACACTGTGGACGAATGATGATACTTACTACTGCAACACAAGCATCGCATATAGAAATGTTTGAGTTGTTCGATAAAGATGGACAAGACATATCTTCCGTTTGTCGTAACTGTCCAAGAAGGGCACGATCTTTGGAATGAAGAAAATCCTCCAAATCAAGTTCTCTTCCTCTCTCTTCTTTTTCCAATTCTGGTTCCGTTCGATGACAAACAGAATTACAAACGAAATAAACATGGCAAAAATAGAGTTGTAACAAATGGCCAACTGCCAATAAAATAGAAACTCTCAGACAAGGAATAGACAAAGCCAATTCTAGATATCGCTTCACAATATTTAAAAGAATCAAACAACTGGATACAAATAAGTAGGATTCCGAGTCAAAAGATATCGAACGATGTTTGTTCTCCTCATGTTCGATGGAGGTAGAATAAATACAATCCAGATTCAAAACTCTTAGGGGATTGGTCTCTTCATTCAAAAGTTTCGAAACACATTCTTCCAGTTCTTTCTTCTCGTGAAAAGTGGAATCATTTGCTAAATCTTCAAACTTGGATAAGAAGGTCATGAAGTCTGCTGCTTCAATATTTATACGCTGCCATGTTTCCTGAAAAAGATTCCTTCTAAAAATCTGAATATTTTCTTCATGTTGGTGTTCAAAACTCTTTTGTAGTTTTTGTTCGGTCACCTTTACTACGGTTTTGGATGAGGAAGTTACATTCGATGGGTCATGTGGAATAGAAGAGAATGACTGTGAGAGACTGCCATTTTCTGATGTACTCGTAAAAACTTCACCTAACAGTTGAAATAGGTTGGCGGTATTATAAATCATATGCATGGTAGAAATGGCAATAAGCAAGTTTTCCTTTTCCATCTCTTGAATCCATTTTACAACTCTATCTTGTAATAACTCCCAAAAATCTACTTTAGATATCAAATGGGAAAGGATATTCTTTACAAATTCTTGCCTAAGCACTTGTTTTCGAATGGGATTTTGCATGCCTTGTTTTTCTTGTGGTTGTTGGTCATCTCGCTCTTGTTGACTGTCATATTGTTGGGCAACATCATGGTTTCTGGAAAGGTGACTTAAATATGCCACTAGAGAATGAAAACTGACTAGAATATCACTAAATAACTGAAAACCAATCAAAAGAGAACTAAAATGTCTCTCCTTTGTTTTCTCTTCTGCATATTTCATTTCGAATTGTGCAGGAACATCAGCAAGAGCACGACTATATTCTTCATTGAGTCTCAAAGCTAAGGCTTCGGCAGCATCAAACTCCTCATAAGCAATAAAAATAGTCCAAAAATCGTCCTTCGTTAGTTTTGTACATAGACTGCGCAAGTTTCTGTGCATTCGCTTCACACACTCCACTGCGACCTTTGTAATTCTATCCCTCAAACTCCTTAAACAAGACAATTTTGTCAAGTCTCCTCTATCCTTTCTCACACCAAGAAGGATAGACTCAAATTGCTTGCACAAGTTGTGACACTCGGCGAGGTGATCCTTTTTGAGAGCCACTTCTGCAAGAATACTTATTTGTATTAGACTTTGGGCGTCTACTAGAGAGTTTTGTATTCTTCTCAAAAACTTTCTTCTTCTTTCTAAACTGATGATGTCGTCTCCGTTGAGGTAAGTTTGTTTTGCAACTAAAGACAAGTTTTGTTTGGTGTCCTTCAACTGGGAAGAAAGTTGTAAGAGTTGTTGTTGCAATTCTCTTATTTCCTGAATAGTTTCCATAAATTCTTTCTGTGAATTCCATATTTTGTCGTACAATTGTTCTTCTATTGTGTGCAAGTGGATGGATAACTTTGCGCAACACTCTTCTAGGCTGAGGTGCTGATTCGTTTGCTCATAAAGAGTTGCCGCTTGAAACAAAGGTTGAAAATCCACGAGTTGATTGGAAGCTTGTTGATAGAAACTCTCCAGCTGTTGTTCCCTATCAAGCATTGTTTCTATCCATCTCTGGTCGTTGTGATACAATCCAACGAAATGTTGGACATAGAATAATCAACAACAATATTCTCTTAAGCTTCTTTCAAATCATCCAAGTTGTACTATTCAGAAATGGTATGTATTTCAATTAGAATAGGTTGTTTCATTCATACCAATGAATAGCCAGCCAATACTTGTGTCTCCCCGATGCTTCCATCAGTTTCCATTGAAACATCTTTGAGATATTCGTTGGAGATTATTCCAACTACACATTTTCCAAACCAATCGTTGTGTTGCTTACCAATACCATGTTATCCTATTTTTACCCTTTGCAACTTACAAGGTGGAACTGCGCTGGGCAACTGTGGAAAAAGCAGTTATTGGGAAAACGCTATTCTTCAGGAGCTGTGAACATCAAAACAGTAGAACATTCACCCTTTTGGTCACGTTCTTTGAAACAGTTATTAGGTTCCCACCAGTTTTCAGATAAGAATGTAATTGCAGGCGAAAGTACTGTAAGGGACGCTCTTGAACAAATGGAAAAAGTAGATATGTCCATAGTTGCTGTTACTGGGACTCAGAACGATTGGCTAGGAATCTTCTCTGAACGAGATCTCATACGTCTCATTGCGAGAGGAGGAAATATCAACAACATGTATGTAAGAGATGCACTATCCAAAAAGGAAGGTGTAGCCACTTGCTTTTTGAATCAAAGAGTTTCTGATCTGGGCAAAATATTTACAACACAAAACGTACAGAATATTGTTGTCATGAAAGAGTCGAGTTTAAAAAATACTATCCATGATTTGGCTGGATTGATCACTTCTCGTGAGTTGGCACAGTATTTTCATTCCATGGAACCTGCTGTTGTGGAGGAATTCGAACATGTCCTGGTAAAGGATATGTTGGATCATAATAAGAGCAAAGTACATGAACGATTGAACGAACAATCTATTTTGGCAGTGGAATTGTCTTCTCAAGTGAAGGATGCTGTTCATCTGATGGCCAAATACGGAGTTGGTTGTGTCATGGTAACCAGTGATCATAGCAAAGGTGCTTTGCATCCGTATCCAGATGTTATTGGCATGTTCACTGAAAGGTAAGAATGAAGGACTATGGGATAGTTAGTTGTGGATTGATTCGGTATAGGGAATATATACGTAACTGTTTGTTAAAGGGTAAAGACAAAGACAATTGTAGAGTGGGAGATGTGATGCAAAGTAATATGGCTTTGGTAACTCCAGAGTTTAGTGCTGCACAATTCATAAGACTTTTTGCAGATTCCCATGTGCGCTATTTACCTGTGTTTTCGACTAGTCCAGAAGATGCTCAAGATAGTACAAGTATGTGTTTGGGTTTGTTTAGTATCAAAGATATTTTTTTCCTATTGTTTTCAAGTGGCTGATAGAGGGTCCTAAAGTTGCTATAAAATCAAGTTGAGTTTGTAAAAGGATTTTTCTTTACAGAATGACGCAAGTCAATAAAATTCTTTCTCTCCCATAACCTTTTACAGGAAAGGAAAAATGCAAAATGGCGCCATTCTTCGCCGTAGAAGCACATTTCGTATTAGCTCAAGGAAAGTTGTGTCAACTTTGTGTGTATCGTAGGCAGCTCCAACACACGTTGAACTAGTAGAAAGTTTTCCTTGATATCACTTGTTGTTGAGCAACCAAGAGTTGCTTTTGCCAAAATACCGAAAAGTAGAGAAAAGCTTGGTTAAAATGACGTTTTAAGCTTGAAACCTGCCTCTGCAGAGTGTTTGGGCTGACATACAAAACTTACTGGAGGTAAGTAAACAACTCCGGAGTTTACAAAGAGTTTGATGAGAAAACATGCGCGTCGACAGAATGGTATCATAAGCGTGTTTTGGTACCATATGAAGATGCCTTGCTAAACTGACTCTTTCCACACTCTATACAGTTTTTAAAATTTTTAGGGTTTATTGTTTGACACTGAACACAGGTTCCTAGTTTTGCTGGAGGACGGGAGGATATTAAAATATTCTTATAGGATGGGAATGGAATGGAATGGATGGATATGGGATTGGAATACCTCCCGATGGCTTATCTCAGTGGGAGCAACCTGCTGGTTTCTGTCAATTGGCATCACCAGTTTTACTTCAAGAAAAAGAGAATGATAAACATAAAATTCGTAGCTACGGAGCAGCCACCCAAGTCTCCTAAACAGTTTGCCAGTATTTTGCGCACTAGTTTGCAACAATGTCTTCACCATCGTCATAACAGAATTCTAGTAGATGTGGAAGATAGTGTTTCACTAGACGTAGAAAAGTCTAATGCAAGAGATAAAACCAAAAGGGAATTGGCTAGACTATTGATTGAGATGTTCTACGGGACTCATATTCCGGTAAAGGTTGCTTTTTGTAACACCAAGGAATTGCAAGTTGCACAAACAACTTGGGGTTTGTCAACACAATGGGTTGCTTATTGCCTTCTAGAGAAAGTGGGAAAGCGTGGGTTTCAAGAAGAAGAGTTCGGAAGAAATGTTGCCGAGGAACATATTATAATATGTGTCGATCCTAAACCACAGCAACTTTCTTGTTTGGAGAGTTATCTAACTGGACCAGGCCAAGTTGTTGTGTTGGTGAATCCACGAAGAATACAGCAACAAGCAGAGTTGTTATCCTCGTTGAACCTCATATTGAAACGATACACAGCAGCGCTTGTTTTGAGAAAATATACTATACGGGGGTAAGATTGGTGATTTTACTATTCTTGAGTTATTTCTAACTCTGAATGTCTCTAAAGGGAGCGCTGTTTACTGTATAATAGATTTCCTAATAGTTGGTGCCTATTTTCTTTCCAAAGTAGGCAAAAACGACTACTTTACAAATCCAAAAATTTGCCGGCAGATGAACAAAGTTTGTTTGCCTCACCACCACCAGTCAATAATAAACCCATTTGGCATTGGCCTTGGGATAATTCTTCTTCTTGGTGGTTCATGAAAGACTTGTAATTGGTCGTGTATATGGGTAATTGTTTTGGTGGTTCTTATAGCACCCCAACGACCCCAGATAAAAGGAAAACTCAACGCCAAAAGAATTCAGTAGTTGAGAATAAGAAGCTGTCTTCTGTTGCTGTTGCTCCAACCAGTTCCAGTCCTGCTAGCAGAGAAGTTTTGTTACAAGCTGTGGAGAAACGGTTGAAGGAGCAGCAGTTGAGAGGTACTCCGTCTGGTGGAAAGTGTGTTGGAATATTGTATTTCTTGCAATACTTTAACAGTTAATAGGTCACGAACTTTGCGAAATACAAATTCTTTGAGAGACTCCGATGGTCCCGATATTAAGGTATGGATAAATGCTGAACTATTGAAAGGGTTCAAAAGGAACATATTTTTTAGGATTGGCTCAATTAAACAAAAGCTCCACTCTTGTAGTCAAAAACACATTTATTCCAACAAAACGCGACACAGCAATAATTTGCAAGGATTCAAGAGATTTCTCTCACGAATAGAGATCTTCATCACCAGTATTGCCCTGATTGTTCTCAGAGGAAGGTGCATCAGAAAACTTGAAACCGCCACCGAATCCTCTGGTCGCTTGAATATTCTGGGCATACATTTCATAGCGACGTACATCGGCATCTGTTACTGACCGTCTTGCAAACTTCATACTCTCTTCGAAGTGTTTCCTGGTTAACATGGGAACAGGGTCAACTTCCTCTTCCATAGAATCGGGGTTGACTTCCCTCTGCTTCTGAAGTTCAATTTCCTTCTGGATTGCTTCTCTTATTGCAAGTTTACAAGCTCGCTGGCATATTTCAGTAATATCCGCACCAGAAAATCCGGCTGTAGCTGCAGCCAAAGCTTCAAAGTCAACGTCGGGAGAAATCGGACTCTTTCGAAGTGCTGCTTTAAATATCTGAACACGACTCTTGTGGTCTGGTAGTGGAATGTAAATGAGCTGATCCAATCTTCCTGGTCTCGTAATTGCGGGATCTAAGATATCTGGTCGATTGGTTGCTCCAATAACAAATACGCTTTTCCTTTCTCCAACACCATCAATTTCAGTCAATATTTGATTGATAACTCTATCACCTGCACCACCAGCATCTCCTGCTGAAGAACCTCGAGATCTGGCGATGGAGTCCAGTTCATCAAAGAAGAGAATACATGGCGCAGCCTGTCTTGCCTTGTCGAAAACTTCACGAACGTTATGTTCTGACTCACCAAACCACATTGTCAATAATTCAGGTCCCTTGATAGAAATGAAGTTGGCTTGACATTCGTTGGCTATTGCTTTGGCAAGCAAAGTCTTTCCGCATCCTGGAGGCCCATAAAACAGAACACCTTTCGAAGGTTGCATCCCAAACTTTTCAAACTTTTCTGGGTGCTCAACAGGATACTGCACCGTTTCTTGTAGTTCCACTTTGACTTCCTCCAAACCACCAATATCTTCCCAAGTAACATTCGGAATTTCCACATGTGTTTCTCTTAATGCTGACGGATTGCTTTGTCCCAAGGCAAATTTGAAATGTTCTTGTGTTACAGCCAATGAATCCAGAATTTCTGCATCGATGTGTTCATCCTCCAGATCAATAAGGTCCATTTTCTCACGGATACACTGAAATGCAGCTTCTGTGCATAGCTGAGCAATGTCGGCACCTACGTAACCATGCGTATCCTTTGCAATACGTTCCAAATCAACATCTGGGTCTAGTTTCATATTACGAGTATGGATTCTCAAGATTTCCAAACGTCCATTTTCATCCGGTACTCCTATTCACAGGTAAACCCAATACTGAAAACTAAACAAATTGCCAATACCTATATCAATTTCTCTATCAAATCTTCCAAAGCGACGAAGTGCAGGATCAATAGAGTTGGGCCTATTTGTAGCAGCAATAACCATAACTTGACTTCGACTTTTCAAACCATCCATCAAAGTAAGTAACTGCGATACTATTCTACGTTCGACTTCTCCTTGAGTCTTCTCTCTCTTTGGAGCAATAGAGTCTATCTCATCAATGAAAATGATGGAAGGAGCATTCTTTTCGGCCTCTTCAAAAGCCTTTCGAAGGTTACTCTCCGACTCTCCTGCTAACTTGGACATAATTTCCGGTCCATTAATCAAAAAGAAAAAGGCACCAGTTTCATTTGCAACAGCTCTAGCAATCAGAGTCTTTCCACTTCCAGGAGGTCCATAAAGCAAAACACCCTTTGGTGGTTTGATACCCACACTGCGGAATAGCTGAGGATGCCTAATAGGAAGCTCGATAAGTTCTCTTATTTGGGCAAGCTGCTTTCTACAGCCTCCGATATCGTCATATCCAACATCATCCAGTCTCTCCTCATCCTCTCTCTTTATCGGTTCTCCTTCGCAGTGAATAACTGTGTCTGGAGCAACTATACAATATTCTCCAGGGTCTGTTTCAACTACTTTAAACTCCACAGCACGCATTCCTCCTCTCACAAGAAAAGTATCTCCTTTTCTCACAGGTCTATATGCTTCCAAAAAGTAGGGTTTCAAATAAGTATCAAACAAGTTTCCAGTAAGACCCTCTATAGAGTCTTCAAAAGGCAAAATATGAACCCTTTGTCCATATTTAACATCAGGACACTGGTGGATAGAAACAATATCACCAAGCCTAACACGCAAGTTGTTTCTAACAACTCTATTGCATCTTATCTTTGAATCTTCACAAGTTTCGTCTGCAAGCACTATGCAAACCGTGTCTCTTCTCTTCTTTCCCTTTAAAAGAACGGTGTCACCACGAAAGAGCTCCAGCTCGTCCATTTTAGCGGGTGATAAGGTAACTACTGAATTGTCATCATTTACTGCTTCATCTACGATAAGTCTATTGGGTGCCTTCTTCCTGTCCAGTATAGCTGTCGAAACATCTCCAGGTTTCTAGAAGGAGCCAAAAAATAAGTCATCAAGTATTCAGTAAATACACCACTTACTTTTGGAGAAGAAGAAGAGGGCCCTGGCTGCTCTGGTGTTGTTGGTGCCGACATTATAATACTTTATCAACTTGTTCCAAACACTTGTAAAAACCAAATCAACCAATCAATTGAAAATTATAAATAGTTGTGAGTTTTCTTGCTCTATTCAATCCACATGTGAGAATGGCTTGCTCTATTAGCATCATATTGAACAAAAAGGCTACCATGCTGTGATATGAACAATCATATTTTATTATCCTTCACAGTTTTCAAATCTGCTTTTGAAAAGTTTCTTGGCAACAAGTGATTGACCATTTCCACTCTTATCGAGCCATCATGTCCAATAAATATGACTGGAAAATTTCCAAACTCTGAAAGGAACTGTCTACAAGCCCCTATACGACAAGATGGAGTGATCATTTTCTTATTTGGTTGACTGCTTACCACAAGGCCAAACCTCCCCTGTTGTATCCGTCGATATTGCTATCGCACGGAAACAAGTATTGCCTTCACTTACAGCCTAAGCTAGGGCTAGTAAACCAGTCCAACTTGTAACATTCTCAGCAAACCTTTACAACTGCGGTTCTTTCGGCGCATATCGAAAGACCATAAGAAGCGTTCTCTACGTTACAACCCGAATAAAGTTGCCCAGACTGGGCACATATGCAAGCACCAACTGGAAAGTGGGAATAAGGCACATAACTTGAGAGCAAGTCCGTTTCTCCAGGAAAACAAAGAAACTACTCACGCATTCTTTTTTACTTCTACTGCTTGTCTTTTCAAATCTTGTAGTGTTTGCTCTCCCAAGTAGTTTTCCAAGTCATCTTCCATCGTCAATTTTCAATCAGTTATTTAGAGCAGTACAGTTTCTTCTTTCCATGGCATGACAATAATAAACTGAATTATTCTCATATAGAATATTTTTTATATTTCCATCTGAAGAAATACTCAACCCAATCATGACAACTCCTATATTTCTTTGCATTGTAGAATTTGGGTTTCATGGCTTCTGCTGCTGGAGACCGACTCAATGTAGTGCCTTCAAGAATGACTTTGACACAAATAAAAGGTCGTTTAGCGGGAGCAAATAAAGGACATAGTATGTTGAAGAAAAAAAGCGACGCGCTTACTGTTCGTTTACGCTCCATCTTGAAACAGGTGTTGGAGAAGAAGAACCTAACTGGAGATGTTTGTCGTGAGGCGCTCATCTCACTAGCAGTTGCCAAGTATATAGTAGGAGAAGATTTCAAGTTACACATCATGGAAAATGTGGACAAAAGTTCGTTGAAAGTTTCTTTTCATTCGGAGAATATTGCAGGAGTCACTATTCCTGTGTTTGAAAAAGTTTCCGTTGACGACGATGGTACAGAATATTATGGCGAAAGTGTGAAAGACATATCAGGGAATGGAGTTTCTAAGGAAATATCTGAAGGTCTTTCCAACAAGTTCCATTCATATGTCTCTCTTAGTGGGTTATCAAAGGGAGGACAACAAATCGCTACTTGTGGTGAAAATTTTCGTAAAGCAGCAGATACTCTTATATCGCTAGCAGAACTTCAAACTAGCTTTACTCTTCTTGATGAAGCAGTGAAAATTACCAACAGGAGAGTGAATGCCTTGGAGAATGTAGTTATCCCACGTTTAGAAAACACAGTTGCATATATTATCAGTGAGTTGGATGAGTTGGAACGAGAGGAATTTTTTCGTTTGAAACTGGTTCAGAATTGGAAAGAGAGAGAATCGAAGAATGCTCAACAATTACGAGAACAATTGGAACGGACTAGACAAGGTTTCTCTTCGTTTGAAATGGATTCGTATGAAACGAAAGAACGACTTGTAGAGGGATTGGCAAGTAATGATGATTCTGATATTATTTTTTGAGGAGACATTATGGTAAACAAACTTTTATGGAGTTTATTTTAACTGGACTTGATGTCACCATTTGTAGAGGAAGTGATTGGGAGACGTTCCATGAACGTTTCCATTGTTCTTGCACTTTGTTTATATTGGAGCACCTCAAGTCATCAAATAACATGTTGTTGAGACTGTATAGAATAGGGTTTGCTTCTATAGTTTATGTTGCTTTGTTGTTCTAATACTTCATATACTTTGTGCTTGTATGCTGATTCGATGACCATTTTACACTGTCTGTATATTTGTCGTTGTTTCTCAACGTGAGATAATGTTATCTTTAGCAAAGAACTCAACCACAGTCTCCTTTCATTTTCTTTTTTATGACTTGCAAGTCCATTTTGTGTTCCACCGATAGAAGCAGCAAAACATCTCGTGGAACGAGAATTTCTCACTCTTGGGCCCAATTGGGAGCTTGTTGTCCTGAACTTTCATATGTTTTGTCGTCATATGAAACGTTGTTGTTAAGAACAATGGAAGAAAAGGCTGTCACTTATCTATCTTGCCATCGTAATCGTACTGTCTTTTACTCTGAAAAGACTGTAGTGAGTTGTATTTTTGGGTTTTATAGCAATACGACACTCGGTTTCTTGAATAACTTAGCACACCAGTATGTTGTCTGGAATAACTGTAAAAGATGTCATAGAAGTTTGATTTGCTCTTCATGGAAGGAGCATTCGAGTCATTGGGGTTCCAAAGTAGAAAAGAATCTGACCAAACTCTTTAGAAGAAGAACAACGTGGAAAGGGACACCAACAACTCTTCCCACAAACTCTTCAAAGCAGAACCAAGTATTAGCCACAACTGTTTTGGGAGGTTATGTACTTGATGGAGAAGAGGGTGAAAGAAGAGCAAGTATGGAAACACTTGTGGCAAAAGTCGAAAAGGAACCTCCCAAAGAGGAGAAAGTAGAAAACCAGAGTTTCTCGGTTTCTTCTGCTATGCATAATAGTGATAATAATGGAACTATTGGATCCTCAGAACTACCTATAACTGTAATAGTGGGTCCCGATATCGATGGAAGGTTAGAGTTGGTTAGACACGCTATGAACTCGTTAGCTTCCGATCTACGGATCGTCTATCTTGGTTTAATAGGACCTCCTGGGTTCAAGCAGATTCAAGAAAATTTTCGTAGGGTTATTTCTGCTCATGATAAGAGAAGAGGTTCGCAAATGTTACTCATGGATAAGAATGAAGTCCATACAGAAACTGACAACAAAGAAGAAGAAGAAGAAGAAGAAGAAGGGTTCGTACGTGACAAAGAAGCCATCTCGAAGAGTAAGATGGGAGGTATTCCAGGAAGAGTGGCGTTTTGTGCCAGTAAAGAAGAATTATTTGAACAACTTGAAAGTATTGTGAAGGAAGGAAAGAGTGATTACGTTATACTGGATGGGGGTGCAACTTCAGAACCTCAAGTCATTGCAAAGATGATAGAATCCAATTTTCCTTCGGAAGAGAAAAGAAATGCTGAACGCATTGTTCGTATTGACTCTCTAGTGACTGTATTGGATGCTTCCAAGTTTCTGGAAGAAATGCATAATCCAGATAGTCTTGCTAATGACATTGGAGAAACTGAAATGGATGCCAGTCAAATCTTTATATCTCAGCTGGAATATGCCAATTTGATTGTTCTTAACAGAGTTGACGAGCTATCAGAACAAAGTCTCAATGAGTTGGAACAAGTTCTGAAAGTATTGAATATGGATGCTTTGAGAATAAGAGCACTTTCTGGAAAGATTCCAGTTTCCTATTTTGCGAATTGTAGGTATTATCAGTCGAGCAAATTGGAATTTTTTACCTACTTGGAAAAAGTTGTTGACGAATAGTAGTTATGGTACAGATAAGAGAGTTTCAAATGATATGGATTCCATGATGAATAATGCTATCGATAACAAAGATGAGAATTCTGTGGAGAATCTTCCATTGACCAAGCAGGAAACAACAACATCCTCTTCAGAAAGGAGTGAGTTTGCTATCGTTCCTGAATGGCTTTCTACATATTCATTTGTATACAATGTCGATCGTCCATTTCATCCCAAACGTTTATACTCTCACATTTCGAATTCGGAAACTTTCCGAGGTATTATTCGGTCTATTGGAAAGATTTGGTTGGCAACTAGAATGGATAGTCCTTTGGAGTGGAATCAAGTGGGTAGTACAGTTTCTTTGAAAAGAGGTTCACCGTTTTATGTTACATTACCCAAGGAGGAATGGCCAAAAGATGACAAGTCAAGAAGTGAAATATCAGCGAGTTGGAATAAACGGTTTGGAGATAGAAAGACTGTTATTGTTTTCCTTGGCATCGATATGAATAGAAATCAGTTGGAAAGAATGTTGGATAGCTGCTTGCTACAAGACGAAGAGATGGTATTTACAGATGCTTGGGCGAGCTTTGAGGATCCCTTTCAGGAATTGGTTCCTGTGAGTGAAAGTTCTACAAAGTCTGAACAGATTCAAGTGGAACAGTTGCAGTCACAAGACCAGTCGGAAAATAAGGATACTGCTTCAATGAATGGAAGTCAAGAAACTACGTATGACGTTCAGAAAGCTTCTCCAATTGTACCTTCAGCTTTTGATATATTAACTTCGCTTCCTTCAGAAAGCGAATCAGACGCAATGGAAAGTACATCGTTGCTTACGGTAGACTTTCTTAATGAAACGAATGAGCCGCCATCATTAGAAGCAGAGAACAGTTACATTCTTAGAGAAGGTGACCCTCATAAGACACAAGAGATGTTGCAGACTTTTCCTAAGAATGGTCTGCCTATTACAATATTAACTGGTTTTCTAGGAAGTGGTAAGACTACTTTGTTGAACTATATACTTTCCCAATCAGGTTCCATGAAGATAGCAGTAGTTGTGAATGACTTTGGTGAGTTGGATATCGATAGTCGTTTGGTAGAAAAGAGTATTTGGAAAGACAAGGGAAACTTATTAGTAGAACTGAGCAATGGATGCATCTGTTGTAATGTGAACGGTTCTTTTGTGGAATCTCTTCAACATTTAAAGGGTCAAGAGAAAGAATTTGACTATGTTATTGTGGAAACTACGGGACTAGCAGATCCAGTACCTCTCATTCATTCGATAGTTTCTACTGATTTGGTGGATGAATATCGAATAGATGGAGTCTTGACGTTGGTAGATGCTTCCAATTTCGATACAACTCATCATTTTGATAGTGAAGTTGCTTTGAATCAGATTCTATCAGCGGATGCAGTTCTTGTTTCCAAGACAGACTTGGTTTCTCAGCAAAGACTTGACGATATTATGAAGTTTTTGAACAGAGTGAAACCAGGTATTCGCGTTCTCCGTTGTATTCGAGGACGTGTTCCATTACCTTTGATATTGGATATTGGCACAAGTGTTGAAGCCATGAAACAATCGTTATCGCTGGAAAATAATCAAAAGGCCAACTCTTTACATGAGCATCCGCATTTAGATGATTCTCTTCATTCACAACACTTGCATCAAGAAGCGTTTGTATCTGTGTCATTTGAGAGTGAAAAGCCTTTTGATGTTCGCCGTTTTCGCGATTATTTCTTACAAAAACTTCCCAACAATGTATTTAGAGCAAAAGGACTTTTGAAATTTGATGGTTATCCTCAACGTTATATCTTCCAACTTTCAGGAAGACGAGCTGACTTTGATGAAGATGAATGGCCAAAAGATGAACCTTCCAAGAATCAGTTGGTACTCATTGGTCGTGAACTGGATGCGAAACAACTGGAAAATATTTTAAGGAGTTGTTTGGTACAATAAATATATACATGTTGTATATAGAATCGTTTTAATGTTTGGCTATATAGAGACATTCCAACTGAGCATTTCCAAGATAAGGTAAAGAACGATGGTTTTCTAAAGCAACTCCGGCAAAATAGGTACGAAGAATTTGTAAAACATCTCCGTGGGAAACCAACACATAAATATGTCCTTTTGATGTTTGCTCACATCGATGAATCACTTGTAAAGCTCTTTTCAAAGTGTCTTGCACACTTTCCACATCCCAATCAGGGTCCATGGCATCCATTTGCTTATCTGCATCCCATACAACTGCATAGTTTTCATCACGAGTCATATTGAAACGGCCAAAATATCTATTCCAATACAAAAGAGCTGTATCCAAAACAACTTCAACTTACCTTTCTCTCAACAAAGGATCTACGATAACCTGAAACTGCAGTTGGGTGGCTATTATCTCAGCGGTTTCTCTGGCACGGGAAAAGGGAGAAGCAACCAAAGTTACCATCTCTTTGTTGTATTTTTCACTCCAATCCTTGTCAAGTGTTTCTTTTAAATGTGTAGCAGCCTATTGGAAAGTTATTGCTTTGAAAATATTTTGATGGATGGATGACTTGCTTGTTGTGCTTGTTGTTTTCCTTTGTCCGTCAGTCCATATGAGTCTAGTATACCGTTTTCACTATCTGAAACGATCAAGTGTTCTACATTGGCTCGACTCTCTCCATCTAACCCTATCCTGAGTATTTGTAAAGTATTTTGAATATATCACATACGACGTAGAACATAATAAGAATTGGCAAGTACATCCATCCAAAGAAAGTATTCTTATTTCTATTTTATCCAATCACAGCATATTTCTTATTCACACAAACACACACATACAAATATAAAGTCATCGTTTGTATTTTTTCAAATATTCATTCAAAGGAGTCCTATCAACGCTTGGCGAACGTGGGTCCAATAATCTTTTCTCTGTCCTATTGACAACAGGTGACTGTTGATTGAAACTTTCCTCTTGTCTTAATATTCTTTTGAAAAAGGATATCCAAGGTAAGGCCGAATATACTCCAGGTGCTTTCGTTGTTTCATCTACTTCAAGAACATTCTCAGTAGAAGAGACTTGCTTGTTGCCTAAAGGGCTCTTTTCAACTATAGTTTTAGAAGAAGGAGTGTTTACAAGTTGTGTCTTATCTTGTAACGGTTGTCGTTTCATTTCTCTCATGAAAGGAATGAAATTCAAATGGACACGAATGCGCAAATTTATACAATCAAACTATACAACAAATGTTGTTTCTTTCTCTCTCTTTCTCTGTACGCCATAACTAAGAGGAACATTCCGAGTTGCCAATACTCCCAGATAAACTGCTCATATCTACATGTCCACCATTATCCAATTGCCACTTCCTAAAACATGCCGTATATTGTGTACTTTGTTCAGACAAAGATTCCAACTCTACATCTTCCATAGTATTATGCCTTTGACAAGGTACTGATATTGGATGAACCTTCTTTAACGAAGATATTTCATAACCCTCCTTCTCTCGTTCCATACAACAACAAACATCCGATTGAAAAATGTCGTCATCCATCTGCAAAACATTTTTCTTTGGTAATATATCAAACTCCTTATCCCATAACTCACCCAAAGCAGGTAAATAAGTTTCATCCATATGGGTATCCTTTGTAGACAATCCTTGATGGAGTAAATAAGCTTTTCCTTGACAAGATAGCCTACCAGTCTCCTTGTTGAGTGATGTGGTGTTGTTTGTGTCCAAGTTTGCTATCATAGAATGAATAAGTTAGTTGATATATGCAATACAACAGGAAATACTTACAATGGGAATGAGAATACTGCTCTACATAGTCAGACATACACTTTTTCATCCACCAAAGTTGCCTTTCCAAAGACTCGACCTTCTGCTCATCCAATTGTATAATATACGATAACCTCCTTTGTCTTTCTTTGGAAGAAACCAACTCCCTGCATAGCCACTCCCATCGGTCCTTGCCACTCTTTGTAACAGGGCTGTCTATATGTTTTGCTGAACTCTTCCACTGCGTTGGACTTTCACTATAGTCACCCAAAATATCTGTTGTTGTTCCACTCTTGATATCCTCTTCACTCCCTGACATTGTTGTTCTCTCTATCATGTTGTTTGCTAACTTTTGCTTCTGATTACTTTTTCTTCTACCAATGCGACTCAAAAGATCCTTCCTCCCTCTCTTGAAACAAGGATGTTGAAATAGCCACCTCTCCTTGTCAATCTTTCGAAAACCATATTGGTTTAATTGTCTGATAAAAGAAGAAAAGTTGTTGTGTTTGTAATAGTTGGGAAGTACTTGATGAGCAAACTCCGTAGGTCTAAACACTTCAAAACAATCACCAGAGTGTATCCAGTGAACAAAAGAACTGTTGGAACTTTCAGCTAGTAAATCATAGAGTTTTGAAAGGAATGGGGTGATTACTTGTTCTGTATGTGTTTCTGATGTATTATCTGAGTGACTAGTATTCCAACAAGAAGCTTCTGTCTGAGATACGACATTCCTCCAAGACATGCTTCGATTCGACGAATTCCTTTGGAAGCTTTCTAAGAATAATACATACTGAAAGAACCAATTCTTTTCTTTACCAACGATGGTCTGCTAACATTCACTCTTTCATGGAAAAAATAACAACATCTTTGACTGATACTTGGAAACTATCTTTTGAGTCCTATCTTATTAGACTTATAAATATAAGGAAGCTTGAAAAGCAATATCTCGTTTCAATAGCTGACTTCCTTTTTCAAATAAATGCTCCAATTCTTCGTTGCCAATACTATGAGCAGCTGCAGAAAGCTGTCTTAGCAACTCTTCCAAACGACGCATACAACGAATAATACTTCCTTCGAAAATATGCGTCATTTTACAGATTTCAGCAAAAATGGCTCCACGACACCAAGCATAAACAACATTCATCATACTCGGGTCAAAAGATTGTACGTATTCATCCACATCAATAGGTATCTTACATTCCTTCGTAACCGTACCAACCCTACGAGCTATATTCTGCAAAGTCTGAAATGCAGCTTTCAATTCCTCATCAGAGAATTGTAACTGTTCGTCTTGTTTCTCGTCATATACAAAACAAGACAGTAAAGCAACAGCAACTTCAGCCTTGATTTCATTAAATGCACCGTGAAACATCAATTCTGTTAAGACCAACTCGTCTGCTGTGTTAACTTCACATGCAGTTCGGCCCTTCTTTTCCACAATATTTTCATGGTTGATGAATCCTAAACGACGTAAAACACGCAACATTCGTTTCAACTCTTCACGTAAAATAAGTCCTTGGCCTAAACGAATTTGTCTTTTGACTGCCTTGATTTCTACTAGAATTTGTTCCTTCCTTTGATAGGAATCCATCAGTCTGGAAAGTTCTTCTGGATAAGTTGTGTGAAGCGACAGAGAATACTTTTGTGCAAGTTTGGATGAGAAAAGTTGGTCTTCTACAGACTCAGCTTGTCGAATCAACTTTCTAAACTCCTCATCCTTGATACCCATATCTTCTACAGGATCAAGTAAAGGAATGCCCTTTGGAAACTGACGCATAACTTCAGAAACAGACTTTCCCACTGCTGATCGATTTTCCCGTGGACGAAGGTCTTTAGGCATATAAACACGAATGGAAGACAAACCATCCAATGCACTCAAATGAAATGGCAAAACATTCCAAGAAGCTTGTGCAATATCCTCTTCTCCTTTTGGGGGAACGAAAACTTTTTCATTGGTTTCAGTCAATGGCTTACTAAAAACTAATGCATCGATAAGAAATTTATCTCGGAGACCTAAAAATACACATCTCAATATGAGGTTCGGACAAAAGTTTAGACTCTTTACCTTGTTCTTTTACTTGTGAAGTATTCATTTTTGTGAAATTAACTACTACGCCCCATCCAAAGTCGCGAACTTCTTTGTCTTGTACACAGAATCGAGCAAGTCTTCCAACTTGTAAAAATGGAAGTACATTTTTGGCTTGGAAAACAATGTTACGGACTTTGCTTCGAAGTCTTTCCAATTGGTCTTTGTAAGCAGCAAATTCTTTTACATCATCTTCCATCGAAATTTTCAATTCGTCTTTTTGTCTTAAAAGCTCATTTAGTTTAGCTTCATTATCCGGAAGTGCTCTATCTGCTTGGAACTGTGCTAAAGAGCGAGATATTACATATTCTGGATTGGCTTCTTCCGATCTCAACAAATTAAGAAGCATATTGTATTCCAAATGAAAGGATGAACGAAGAGGATCCGCATTACCTTTCAATATGGCTCGAGCGGTCTCCGGTTGAATCCTTTCATCCACTGTCAAAATCGATATTCCTCTTTCATCTAAACCTCTTCGACCGGCTCTCCCACTCATTTGTATATATTCTCCTCCACTAATAAATCTAAAGGCTTCTCCATCAAATTTACGAACTGCAGTAAAAACCACAGTCTTTGCAGGCATGTTCAATCCCATCGCAAAGGTTTCTGTGGCAAATAGTACTTTAATAAGTCCCTCTTGGAAAAGAATCTCAGTAACCTACACATAAAGTTCAAAAAAATATACGTGGGCCTATTCTTCTTATATCCTATACCTCTTTCAAAATAGGAAGTAAGCCAGAATGATGAATACCGATGCCTCTCTTCAAGAGTGGAAGTGCTGCAGTGATTTGAGGCAATTTTTTGTCATCTTCAGATAAACTATCCATTGCATTCACGAATACTTGTTCTACAAGAGACTTTTGTTCGTCTGTGTTCAATTCCAATTTGGAGAGTTGTAAGGCCAATGCTTCACATTCTCTTCTAGAAAAGGCAAATACAATGACGGGATCGTATTCACGCTCCATAATCAACTTAATAATACGATAGACATCGGAAGCACCTTTAGCAGCCTTTTTGTTTTTCTTATTCATTTCTGCTCCTTTAGAAGTGTCCTTGATTGAGTTTTCTCCAATTTTAGACAATGCTTTTTCAAAAGTATCGTCTCGAAACTGTCCTTTCTCATCTACTACTAAATACAATCCATCTCCACCAGCCGGAAATAAGTAATGCTGTAACGGAACTGGGCGAGAATCCGTGTAAATAGTATGACAAGGTTGATTCTTGAGTTGAACAATCCATTCAGCAAACTCTCTGGCATTAGGAATAGTAGCTGATAAAAATACAAAACGAACATTCTCAGGAACCATTATAATAGTTTCCTCCCAAACTACTCCGCGTTCCTTGTCTCTCATATAATGAACCTCATCAAATATGACCCAAGCAACTTCTCTTATGACTTCAGACCCACGATATAACATACTTCTGAGGATTTCAGTCGTCATTACTAGGCAACCCGCACTAGGATTGATAGTCACGTCTCCTGTCATTAAACCTACGTCAATAAATTCCTCGTAAAGTTCTCGATACTTTTGATTACTAAGTGCTTTGATAGGAGAAGTGTAAATGACCCTTTGACCATCTCTGAGGGACATAGCGACAGCATATTCTGCGATGGCGGTTTTTCCTGCTGAAGTATGTGCGGAAACCAACACCGACTCATTTCTTTCCAAACACCGAATACTCTCTCGTTGAAAAGCGTCGAGTGTAAATTTATATTCTTTTGCTGGTTTACGACTTGTTTCTTTAGGTTCAAAAAGATATTCTCCATATTCGGCAGGTAAGGAAACGTCGTGAATGCAACTAGTCTTCAAGTCACTGTCTGTTGTACAAGTTTCGTTCACAGAATCACTACAATACTCCTGTAAGTGAAAAGACCGCGGTTTCTTTTTATTTTCACGGAAGTTGTCGACTATTTGTGTGTCACTATTCTTTCTTCTTTCTTCGTTGATGGTCAACTCTAGCTTTCTCCACTTTTCTGGAGGTTCAATTGCTTGGTCTTCTGTAACATCCTCGTCATCATCTAATTCCTCCAAAGTTTCTGCAGTCTCCATGGCTTCCAATATGGCATCTTGAGGTCTCTTTGCTTTGGTTGCGTCAAAGACATCAAACAAATCGTCACTCATCGTATAAAATAATCACTCGAATGGTATATATCGCCGATCATCGAATTCCTTCAGATGAAGCTAAGTTTTCTTGATGGTTTCCAATCTTTATATAAACAAAACTATGTTGCTTCTTCGTTCAAGAGTAACTTTTGTAAATATTGTATGAGTCGAAGGCATAAAACATTAGCAACTTTAAAGTGTGGTTTGCGTTGTTCACTTGGTTCTTTTTCTAGAAGAGATTTTATAACTTTGACACTTGCAGTGCTTCCTGTTCCTTTCTTCTCTTTTGTCGAATCCGGTCCTAACAGAAAACCAACTGTGACCAACAGAGTTTATTTTGACATTAGTGTTGGTAATGAGTATCTTGGAAGAATGGTTTTTGACCTTTATGGACGAGATGCACCAGAAACAGTTTCTACCTTTCTACAGTTTTTAAAAGGTGTACATAATAAGGATAGAACCAAAGACTTGAATTTGTCCGATCAAAAATTGGTTGAAGAAGAAGAAGAAGATCTTATATACTCTGAGGAACCTTTCGTTAGCTATGACTTCTCTTTGTTTTATCGTTGTTCACCAGGTATTCTGCTTGAAGGAGGCAAGATTCCCAATCTTCGTTTGACTTCAGTTGGGGATACTACTTTTTATGATATTGGTGGCGCTCTAATTGCTGCGAACCCACAAGTGGAAACCAACTCTTTGAAGCACACAGAACGAGGTTTATTAACCCGCAAAAGACTCCAGTTTGGACCGGAATTTGGTATAACTTTGGCAGGACATCCAGAATTGGATGTTTCACATACTGTATTTGGCAAGTTAGAACAAGGATATGAAGTTTTGGAAGCTATTGAAAGTCTTCCAGTGCTGGTTGATTCTAACAGAAGAGAAGGCAAGACGTTATCTTCAAAACTGTTTGACTGGCAGAGAAATCTTTTTCTAACGATAGGTAGAGATGTATTTCATGATAAACGTGCAGATGAAATTTATCCAAACAAGTTACTTCGTCGAGTAGCCGTTATAAGTTCAGGAATGTTGTAAACGATAAGAGTTTGTACAAGATTTGAATGTTGGGTTGAACATCTATTTAGCACTCAGAAAGCTTGCTTTTAATAAAATTCGAAAAAGAAATTGGGAATGTCCCTGAAAGTAACAACTGATAAAGCTTATATGGCACTTTCCATTTCCATATCAGACCAATCGAGATCGAACAAGTCGTTGGGATATTTTGCATGAACACTTGCTTCATCGAAATCGAATAAAGAAGATGACTCCAAGTCATTGTCACCGGAAGAAAGAAATGTATTCGAAATTCTTCTTTGTACACCTTCCAAGAGGTTTTCTTCATTATACTCTTCATAGCCATCTAAACTGATCACTTTTTCAATCATTTCCAATTCATGCAAACATTGTTGAGTTTTCCAACTTTCCATCTCCAACTCTTGCCATTTTGCTCTTTGTTGCCAATCACTAAAACAGTTGATTAAGTTGTTGAGTTCTTGACGGAGTTTTTGTTCAGTTTGTTTGAAACTCTTCACCTGTTCTTGACTCTTCAACCATCTATATTTCGTTAGGATTGTTACTTGAAAAGTCTTATTCTGCGTACGTACCTCTTGACAAATTCCAAAAGTGCAATTCGCACTTGTAAACTTACATTTGGAAGCAAATAGATTTTCTCAAACAACGCTTTGCATTTTTGAACGGGATGCGATATGATATCTTGACCTTGTCTGATTCTCTGTTTGCGGTATTCAATTTCGATATCCAAGGCCTCAATGGAATCTTGTAAATGGATAATATTCCAACTATCTTCCACATCAGAATACAAGAATGTCGACTGTGTACAATCCATGAGAGCCTTTTGTTGTGTCTCTGATTTCCTTTGATTACTATCCTGATTGGAAACTGCATTGAGCAAAGCATGAGCAGCGTGTTTATTCACAACTGCCACTTCCTTTTGTACGGCCTGATTGATTGTTTCATCTATAGTCAATTTTTCTTTGAGAATATCCAATATATTGGTTTCCAAAGTATGAATCAAATCATCTGCTTTGTCAAACATAGGATGACCGTGATTGTCATTTTTAGTTGTTCCCTAGAATCTTTGTTTATCGATTGATTAGAAACGTATGTCATAACATACCTCTTTCATAAGAATATCGTACTCATCATTGTTGGCTTTTTTGGAAGCTTGACGATTTTGAATCATCTCCAACTGTCTACAGACCTTGACTTCATACTTTCTCAAATGTTTAAAGTCGTCCAGTAGAATGGCTTTGTTCTTCTTACAATATGATAGAAATGTGTCCAATCGATAAGTATTCTGCTCCAATGTCTCCATCTCTCGAGTATCTCGTTGAAACTTATCAACAATGGAGAAACCATTTCCAAGACCAGTCTTCATATCCATAGAAAGAGGTACCTCTTGTGAAGTTTGTTCTCCTCCTTTAGGATTCAGCCATTTTCTCAGTTCGAACTCTTGTGTCTGCAAATCTTCTCTCTTCGTAGCAATCAACCTTCGATACTTGTTGCATTCTAACAAAAGAAATCTTTCGATATGAGCAATCCTTCGTAAGGCAGACTGCTTTTCAGTCAAAATCTTACGAATCTCTTCTAAACAAGCCTCTAACTTTCTTTCCTCAGCTTTTACAAGCCATCCTTCTTCAGTGGACTGGACGATGCTGATGGATTCTATGCCATTCTCCTCCTCTAATAGGCAGTGACTTGAGTCATCGAATATGTCTTTGAGAAACCATTCAAGAAGTTTCTCTTTGTTCTTTGCTTCAGTTTCCCAAACTTCATGGTCCTCTTGTTGTATAATTGAATCCAATGAAGTATCCGGTGTCACTTGTTCCACTGAGAGAAGTTCACTTTTGGACTCTAAATGTTTGGGACTCTCCAGAATAGGGTCCAACACCGTCGAAGACTTTGTATCTCGTAAGTCTTCCTCATCAGAGTCTCCCAAGTTATGGGACGCAAAGTCCAGAAAGTTTTTTCTTTTTTGTCGTTTGTTGGTTGCTGCCATATTCTCTATCTGGATAGCAAGGACGTCACGTTCCAACTTTAAATAGTGTGCACAGCGCCTAAGTGACTTGACTTCCTGTTGATATCTCTCGAGAACACTTCGAGACTCAGATTGACTTGTCAGTTCTTCAACATTCTTTGGACCTTTCCTCTGTCCTTGAAATTCCTGTTCCTCTTTTACACTGTTTTTGGTTGGATGTTCACAAGTTAACAACATTGCACCACTGTTTTCATAGGCAGCTAGTTGTTCTTGCAGCTGTGCCACTTTTTTGCGCAATTCTTGCAACTCGGAAAATGTAGTATCATAGTTGACTACTGGTTTGTTGCGAATATTTCTTGCTCGATGGGCATATTTTAGGGTATTCAGAGTTTCTTGCATAGAGTCTTCACTTGGACTGATACACGCTATCATTGCTGTTTTTGAGTTTCCTCCTAATGAGTTGGTAAGGATGCGAGTCAGTTTAGAGCGGCGATAAGGAACATGACTTCCCCGTTTCTTTTCATCTCCCAATACACTGATGACTTCCATTAGTGCCAAAAGACTTGTATTGATGCTAATTCCTTCTTTCAGTCTAGTTCCTTCAGCATTTGTTCTCTTTGCTCTCTCGGATCCTGCCAAATCTACCAACTGGAATTGGGAGACTATCTTTTTATCTGTTTTGGGTCCTTGAATAGGTCGCTTACTTAAGTAGATAGTGAATACGGCATGAGATCGAGAGGAGCGTTCATTCAAGTCATGAGAAGCAGTTGCTCTATGTATCGCACCACTTTCTAGACATCCGATGGCGTCCTCGTAAGTTTGAATGTTAACTTCATTAACTCCCTCTAAGAAAACATTTCCTGTTTCATCTTCTCGTACTTGGATTTTCGAATTGGGTGCTAGTGAAAAGGAATCCTTTGCATTGGGTCTCCCATCGAGATGTTTTTTGGAATGTTGTTTCAACAAGTCGCGAACGTCTTCGTTGTATATTTCAATGAAAGAAACTTTCAAGGAAATTTCATAATCTTTGGTCATCGTTTTTGCATGATTGCAGATGTCTTCAATGACTCGTGGTATGATTCCATGAGATGGAGTGACAGGTCCAAAACAAGAAGTTCCCATAGTATATGTCTTTCCAGATCCTGTTTGTCCATAAGCGAATAGACAAGAATGAAATCCTTCGAATATTCCATTGATAAGAGGCAAAACGATGCTTTTATATAGCTCTTCTTGCGAAGTGTTGGAGTCGAATACGTGGTCAAACGTAAAGGACTTGTCTTTTCCAATCATTATGGTATCTTGCTTTTCCACCTGAAGACAGCATTGTCTACCATGGGAAGATTCTAAAGAACTGAAAGGTCGCACTCTTACAGCAACGGTGACAGTAATACCCGATTGTCCATTATGATTATTCATAGGGATAGCTCCTCCCGACTCCACTGTACTTTCAATGTTGTTGTATTGAGTTGAATGATTCTCCATGCTTTCAAAATTTCCAACACATTCGCCGTACGATTTGTGACAATATTGTGGTGTATTCTTTGCTTTTTGCTAAAACAGTGATTGTTTATGTGTGATATGGCACAAGTGGAAAATTGGCACAATGAGTTTCTGTCGTGTCCAATTTGCCACAATGCGAGCAATTGGTTTGATGATCGATGGGCAAAATTTTCACACAAGTGAAGATTCTTAAAACTTTATCAAAAAAAGAAACGAAGAGATAGATTTAGTGCTGCAAATTAAGCATAGAAACCACTCGAAGTGGTACTAGTTGACTTAGAGGATGTTTGGCCTGCTCCGTAATAATTGGAAGAGGGGCCACTCTCAACTTGAGTTGACTGAGTGCCTGCAGTAGAACTATAGTAAAAAGTTGTTTTAGAAGCTGCAGAAGTTTGACTAGCTACAGCTTGAGAAGAAGCAGCGCCGTAGTAGTAATAGGACGAACTGGAAGGACTAGCTTGTTGACTGGAACTATAGTAAGAAGTTGTTTTAGAAGCTGCAGAAGTTTGACTAGCTACGGCTTGAGGAGAAGCAGCACCGTAGTAGTAGTAGTAGGACGAACTGGAAGGACTAGTTTGTTGACTGGAACTATAGTAAGAAGTTGTTTTAGAAGCTGCAGAAGTTTGACTAGCTACAGCTTGAGAAGAAGCAGCACCGTAGTAGTAGTAGTAGGACGAACTGGAAGGACTAGTTTGTTGACTGGAACTATAGTAAGAAGTTGTTTTAGAAGCTGCAGAAGTTTGACTAGCTACAGCTTGAGAAGAAGCAGCGCCGTAGTAGTAATAGGACGAACTGGAAGGACTAGCTTGTTGACTGGAACTATAGTAAGAAGTTGTCTTAGAAGCTGCAGAAGTTTGACTTGTTACAGCTTGAGAAGAAGCAGCGCCGTAGTAGTAATAGGACGAACTGGAAGGACTAGTTTGTTGACTGGAACTATAGTAATATGAGCTTGTTGAACTTGTAGAAACTTCAGGGGACGAAGAGGAGTAGCTTGAGGTGGTAGCGGCGGAAGTTTGGCTTGGGCACTCGTTCGAACACACCTGGGTGCAATATGCAACATATGTGCAAACTAAATTTGGTGTTGGAGTAGGAGTTGCCGTACCATAAGTCTCAGCCCAACGGTAGACATTCTGTTGCTCTGAAGTTACGCTCACAGTTGGTGAGGGTGTTGGCGTGGGTGTTGGAGTCGAGCAAATCTGAGTTTCAGCACCTTAGAAAGATAATCAAGATATATTTCGAAAATATTGAGCATTCACTCACAGACTGTCTTGCAAGATTGTTGACAGGAAGTACTTTGTTGCCACCTTTCAGTCAAAGGCGTGGCAGATACGAAAGATCCAAGGATAGCGACGATGAATGATACTAGAAGTATACTTTGAAGACGAGACATGATTTGAATGACGTCAAGGTTAAGAAAGCAAACTTGGATATAGCTTTGTAAAAAAAGATGAGTTTCAGTTTTAAAGTTCCCCGTGGAAGCTTCGATGAATATTATGACAACATTTCGAAAATACCCTGTATCTAAATTTAGAAGTATTAGCCTTGAAACGCAAGCAGTTGTGTCTTCCACGTATATGCGAATTGGAAATGGGACACTTGGATGACTGTCGTGAAGAGATACCTTAATTAGTATATCTGTGGCTGTCGCCGACAGTGGATACTAAAAATAGGCTATTGTATTTCGGATTTTTTGATTGTCTTATTATTCTTTATACCTGTGTGCTTTGAAATGATCCTATAGGTTCATAAGCTTTTAATCGCATTGTACTCTATTTGAAGTTTGCATAAGTTCATAATAAACACATATTTCAATCAAATTATTCTCCTTTCTTATTTACTGTAGAGTTCGTTTGAGTTTTCATACGACCAATAGAACGTTGCGACAAAGTCTTTTCTAACGGCCATTTATCTCATGCAGGAGACAAATGCGTACCGGTCGGTTCCCCTTGTATCGTTATATGCAGTGCAGCTAATATCTGGAGCTCTTGCTGGCCTTATTGCAGATAGTTCAACTCATCCGTTGGACACTCTTCGAGTTAGGGTACAATGTGTAAGAAAAGATCACTGTCCGCCTTCTTCTTTTCAATTGTTCAAGTTGTGTTTACAACACGAATCCTGGAAGGGCCTCTATCGCGGTTTTGGTGCCGTTGTAGCTTTTTCCATTCCTGCACATGCTCTTTACTTTGCTTCATATGAAAACGCCAAGAGAGCCTTGGAAAAGAGAGGAGTGAATGAAGAGATTTCGCCGACTATGGCAGGCGTCGCAGCAGAGTTCTTTGGTGGACTATTGTGGACTCCACAAGACGTAATTAAGCAGCGCTCACAGTTACAGGGAGCTCCAGGAGTAATTGACGACGGAAAATATGCCAATCTTCGTCGCTCTGTTCAGACGGTGTGGTTAGAAGAAGGACTGCGTGGGTTCTATCGTGGATATTTCATTGCCTTTTTTTCTTTCGCTCCATTTTCAGCACTGTATTTTTCAGGGTTTGAGTGGAGTCGTAAGATCATGCAACGAATTCTTAGAAAGTCTGAAGAGGAATCCAATGGTTTCATCGATCTAGTAGCCGGTACTGTAGGTGGGAGCTTAGCTACGGTTTTAACAACTCCATTAGATGTTCTAAAGACTAGATACCAAGTTGAAAGGTCGATCCAATTCGATAGTTCTCAGACTGTTTTCAATATTCGGTCGCGTCCTTCGATCACTAGGATAGCCTTTCAGTTAGTAAAGGAAGAGGGAATAGTTGGGTTGTTTCGAGGTGTCGGAATAAGACTGGTATGGCTTGTTCCAGCCGCTTCTATTACAATAACTATTTATGAAAACTTGAAGAGGAACTTGGAAAAATTTTTATGAAACTTTGTTCCTTGAGCTCTTCTCGCTGTATTGATAGCTTTTTGTTTTTGAATAGGTAGAAGCTAACTCTATTGCAGACACAAACAATTAAATTAGGAACTTAAGTTGTATACATATAGAATGAATAATGTTGAATGGTTTTCAATTTGTTTGAGAATCGAGATCCAGTTGAATCTGAACAAGGCGTTTTTGATCGATGAAAGTTGGAACATCTAATTGAGAAAAATGGACATATTACAAGGTGCCAAGTTCGTAGACTGGCTACCTCCTTTTTTACCGATTTTCTTTAGAGACTTGACGGATGAAGATTTTTGTCGGTATGCTAGAAACATAAAGAATACAAAGGTTATCGACTATGAAGACAAATTCCAGACTAGATGGAACTGCTGTGGTAGACTTAAGGCTGGAATCACTTGTCAACGTTATTATTGCGTTCATCACACAAAGACAGTTGTTGGTAGTGGAGAAGAAGTAAGGGATTTTGTTTCGTTTCGGATCAAGCAATAACTTGAATATGAAGGCCTGGAGAAGAGCCAAGTCAGCTCTTTCTTCACTGGAGGCGTTGAAAACCTCCTTTTCAAGGGCTAAAGTTTGTGGACGACTACAGCCAGAAACTCCTGTGCTTATTTCTTTCCGATTTATGTTCTTTCGTATCGTGGTTGCTAACAAACTATTATACGTCGACGATAGTGAAGGGCAGTTTGGCAAACCTGTGTTTTCACCTTGCTTGCAAAGTCAGGTTTCCACAAATGAAGAGTCTATGAAACCTGTACACAGAATGGCAGTAGGTTGGGGAACAACTCGACGTCATTTACTACGAGGTGAAGAACTAGTTGCTATAGAGCGAAGAAAAAATGGTGACGTAACGTTCGAAATATCGTCCTTCTCTGTTGCAAGTCACCCTCTAACCTTCCTCTTGACCCCTTTTACACAAAGGCTACAAAGGAAGTTCGCAAAAGAGGCAAGCGAAACTGTAAGACAAATTATCAACAAACCTACGCAATTAAAGTGATACGAAAACTTAACAAAATAACTTCTTACACTTGAAGTTCACCGAAAACCCACCAATAACTACTATTTCACAAATGAAGGAAGTGGCAAAGACGCTGGAGGTGGGCTAGCAGTATCATAAGAGCTACCAGCAAATCTCCGATTCAAGTCAGCTTCGGTTGACGTTGGTTTCTTACTTCCTTCCTCACTATAGGCTTTCTTAATTTTTCGACTTGACTTTTGGTTGTGTTTCTCTGGGGCACGGTATTCCTTATCTGCTGCCCTTCTTCCTTTCTCACTATCTTCTAACTTGTTCGAGTTTCGCATAATTTCGTTATAAGGTGACTTTGGCGAACCTGAGTGTTTCTTTTTTGCACTCTGGTTTGGCTTCTTTTGCTCGTTATATTTTTTGTTTAACTCACTCTTTTTACTCCCCTTTTGATAGTTCTCCAGCTTCTGTGTCTGCTCTGAAAAACTCAGTTCTCTACAAACTTCTCTTTCGAACGAAAAATCAGAGCAGCTCTTTCGCTCTGCATCCTTCCCTTCAATAGAGCCACCAGGGTAAGGGCTAAGAAACTGTTTCTTTGCTGAAGCTCTGGCCAAAATACTGTCAGGTGTGAGCAACTTGGTCCTTACTTCCACCACAGAAGTGTCACCTTTCACGTTCTTGAGACCTTCTTTCTCCTCTGTCATTGGCTCCCTGTTACTTTCTGTCACTCTATGTACAGATTCTTCAAAAAAGCCTTGCTCTTTGTCCCAAGTTCTCACTATAACCTCTTTGGGTTCTGCAGCAACTTTGAAGCTCGTTTCTTGCGGAACTCGTAAAGTGTCGTTAATTTTCAGGTCTCCGTCACTTGTTTCTTCTCCTGGTACAAAGAAAGGGACTAGTGGCCTTAGTTGACCATGAAGTTTCATATCCCTCTCTTGAGCAGCTTGGGAAAATTGTTCCTTCTTACTTCCTTCCTTCTTTAACAAGGAACATTTTTGTGAAAGGCTACTTGCAATATTTTCCGTCTCTAGTCTGTCTCTCTCTGTTTTTTCCATCTTACAGCTTCCAAAGTTAAAGTTGCTATCAAAGTCATAAAGAGGGAGTATACCCAAACTCCAAAAAGTGACTGTTACCCAAAAAATAGACACCCAATTCAAAGTAAAAATGGACTATAGATGGGCTGTTGGACTTGAGGGTTTGTGCAAAGATGAAGAAACCGGGTGTGTGACTGTCGTTATTCTTGTATGACATAAAAAGCCATTTTAGCATTTTCGTCACAACATAATTGCGTCGGTTATGTTATGAAGGAGACCTTGACTTTAAAGTTGATAGCCAACTGTTCTGGTCTCACATAATAACGGGAAGCTTTTCTACCTTTCCTTTGCCTTTGGAGATTTGTTTACTGTTGTCAAGCCCACTCATACGTCGTTATTATCTTGAGCGTTTGTTTCTCTTTGAAAATCCAAGGTCCAGTAACATGGCTAAAGTGTGGCTTGGTGGAAGTCTATTCAAGAATACTTTCAGAGAAGAAAATTTCTACTGTATTAAATTGTGTATCACTCATAATTGAGAAAGGTTTGTCCGAACACAATGCTGCTCCTATCTACAACTCATTCTTGAATTGCTTGTTGGAGTCAACCTCGTATATCAACCGTTGTCCGTAGCATTTCCCTCTTACAGAAACCATGAAAGAACTTGAAATCAGAATAAAATGGAGTGTCAGAGAAACGCTATTGGCTTTCTTCATATGGCTCTTTACATACCAAATATAATATTTTAAACACATTTAGAGCTCAGTATATCAATGGAATTCATGTCCCATTCAGATGCTATGGCTAGTTCTTCTCATAGCCAAGCTGTCCTACCAGTCACACGTGTGAAGGTTCCAATGGACGTGAAGGTCAACCAAAGATAGTGAACAAGCATCTAAGAAAGGATTCTCCAAACTTCATGTCGTTTCTCTTTCCTTCCCAAAGACAAACACAAAACTTCGTATCCTTTCAGAATTTTCTATCCTGTCCCTTGGACATGATTTTTTCTCCAACGAACTTTCCTTTGGAGCTCGGAGATGAAGATGAAGACATTCCAGTCCCAACGACTCTTGACATTTGATAAACTTTATTAGCTTTTTATAGTGCTTGGTGAAATTGTGGCAGAGTTGTTAGAATGACTGATAAGATAGTAGACAAGTTAAATTCAGGAGCAACTATACCTTTGAGAGGTTTCGGCACCTGGAAAGCAGAACCAGGTGTAGTGGGTGAATGTGTGAAGGCTGCTTATGAAGTTGGGTACAGACATTTTGACTGTGCAGCCATTTATCAGAATGAAAAAGAGATTGGACAAGCTTTCTCGGAACTCTTTTCTAAGGGAGTGAAGAGATCGGACATATTTGTTACTTCCAAATCGTGGAATACATGTCACGAGCCCCAAAGAGTCATCGAAGCTTGTAAGCAAACCCTACAGGATTTGCGTCTGGACTATTTGGACCTTTATCTAGTTGTATGTTGCCAAGTTCTTGTTGTTTACTTTAGCTAAACTTTGTCTCTTAGCACTGGCCTTGCAACTGGGAGTTTATGGGTTTACCTATCACAGCAAGTAACTGGATACCCAAGGACAAAGATGGAAATATAAAGTTTGCTAAAGTTTCTCTTGAACAAACTTGGCATGCTATGGAAGAACTTCAAAAAATGGGTCTCGTCAAGTCTATTGGTGTATCCAAAATTCCATTGTCATATGTTGGATCTTTTTAGCTATTGCAAGGTTTGTTGTGTGAAATCATAGAGTCTACATGTTTTGACTTGGAGAGTTTTAGATTCCTCCCGCAGTGAATCAAATTGAAATGCATCCATATTATGCAAGAACAGATCTACTTGAATTTTGTAAGAGCCGAGGAGTCCATGTTACTGCATACTCTCCACTGGGAAGTGGTAAACATGGTCCTCTTCAAGATGAGACAGTTGCAAAGGTTGCAAAGAAGCATGGCAAAACTCCTGCTCAAATTTTGATCAGATGGTGTATGCAGCGTGGCTGCTCAGTAATTCCAAAAAGGTGGGATTGGACTATTCTATAAAAGTAAGCATCTGCTGAATATGTCTGATTTTCTTTAGCGTAAAGAAAGAACGTATCAAGGAAAACTTTGATGTCTTATTTGAGTTGTCTTCATCTGAAATGAAGGAATTGGAAGGCTTAGACAAAAATATAATTCTGAATCATCAAAAAGAATACTGGGGCTTCAATATTCATGCATAACTGTCTTTGCTCTTAGTTGATATGTCTGTTTCACATACTTTGTGTGTTTCTCTTGAGATGGGATTCTATAAAAATTCGTTTTCCTAAGTGAACGCTACAAAAGTTCTCTTCAACTAATAGAGAATAGAGACCTTAACGAAGCTTTCCAGAGCGTTTCCTTCCAGTATATTTGGAATCAGGTCGAACTTCTCGTCCTTGACGTCTTTGACGCTCTTTCTTTGCTAATATCTTAGACCTCAATGAAATACCATTATTCCTCTTCTTTCCTTTGCTTGTTTCATAATTATTTACACGCTTATCATTCGTTGCAAGGGAAGAAGAAGGAGGTCCTGCTGTTAGGCATAAGAAAAACTTCTTCGCTCTTGTGCTATTTGGAAAGTCAACTACCAACCCTCCTGAAAAACCTGCTTTCTGAGCTGCAGTCAATAAAAGATCTACTTGGTCAGAAGAATCAGGATAAAACTGTAAAACCGCTCTTGAACCTCGAATCAGACAAGCATAAAGTGAATTGAAAAAAGAAGACATTCGCTTTCTAGGTTCATAAGAGGTCTTTTGCAAGTTATATAAAAGCAATATAAAGCAAAAATAAGCATACTTTGTCCGCGTTACAAAGCCACTGGATGGCTGAAACACTTATAGCACCGTCAAAAATACCTTTCATAATAAGTGTTGCAAAAAAACAAAAAGGAAGATTGACTACCTGTTCTCAGTGGAAGTCCTTGTCCCAAGTCAAGCAACACCAAATCACCTTCAACATCTCTAGAACTGGCTGTATCCAACATAGCTTGAGAGATATCAAAGCCTACCCACTCATGACCCTCCTCTGTTATAACGTCACCACTAAGACCAGAGCCACAACCCAAGTCGAGTAACAAACTCTTTTGATTGGGCCGTAGACAAAGCAACTCTAACGCTCTGAAACTTGAAACTAAGTAATAGAACAGTAACTATTCGAAACAAACCTTTCAGTAAGACTCCTCTGAACTTCATTTATTCGTGTATTCGTTAGATACTTTTTAGCTTGTTGATCATCATAATAAATTTCTGGAGGAGCTAAGTATTCAGGACGACTCATTCTTAAGGAATCGACGACAACAAATCACATTTTGATTCGTTGAAGATTTTTTATTCGGAAGAAAGCGTTGAAACAACTCTTAATGTGAAGTATTACAAGACTATATTCATCATCACTTTGTAGACATAGAAACAGTTTCACAAGGCCAATATTTAGTGAGATTAAAACTTTTGCGACTTTGCTTTGAAGACGAATTAGGCTCTTGCGGAACCCGATCAGTATCTGATAGAATCTTATAAGCAACTTGTCCACCTGTACTTTTGACAGCAATCTGATAAAGCCATTCGACTCCATCCGTGGAAAGCTAGAAAAGAAAAGGTTTAATAAACCGATTCAAACGAGTCGAAACTCTCCAACCTTGGGTTTCAAAACGCTTAGAACTGACCCAGCAGGTGCTTCAATAAAGAGTTCCTTTTGATGATTTTTCGAAAAGACTGTAGACAGTCTACAGTGGGAGCGATTGCGTTTCGAACGATTTTCCGGGTTGTTGTGCATAAGGAGTTCACGATCAACCTCACTATGATGAATTTGAAAAGAAATTGAGGAGAAAGATTACCAAGCAATACCTCTCTTCGTCTTCTAACATTTTTAGTTGACGTTGCAAATCCAAAAACTTTTGCATGTTTGTCATTGTTTCAGCTCCGTTTTCCCTTAACTTTACACAGTTCTTCGTTGCTTTGTCCAGTATTCCAACTCCTATCGACGATAAAAAGTACATTCACATCATCAATCTCTTCAATTGATTACCTTCGCAGACGTTAAGAACGTCATAAAGTCTTCTCTTTCGGACATCAAGTTTCCTACTTGCGAAATTCAAATCAACAGTTCCATTTGGAGAATGAAGAAGAATGTCGAAAAAACGAGCAGTTAGATCGAACAATGAGCTTTGCTTCATTCTTTCCTTCCGTGGATATCTCAACTTTTCTCCTTTTTCAAGTTCTTCGGGATGATCTTGCCTTCCATTGTCTGCTATTGTGGAGAAGGAGTATTCCGATGGTGAAGAAAATTCTTTTAAAGCAGTTGTAGATGCAAAGTTACATAAATGTTCCTGTGAATAATCAAACTGGGTATAAATATCTTCGGGCCAAAGGGACCAAGTTACCTGAACCTTTTGACACTTTTCAAAACTACAAAAAGGCGAACCTGTGTTTTCTGAAGATTTTTCTCTTTTATGAAAGTTATCTTGAGATAAATAGTCAGAAACCTCAGTCGTCCAAGTTATCGGTATATCCAGAAACTGCAATCTTCTCAACACAAAATTATACAAGGCTGTATACTTTTTTACCTCTTCAAGGATAGTATGTGACTGATGGTTATGGAAGTCTATATATCCTTGGACATTTGCTTTCTTTGTTTTGAAGTTCTCAGGAAAGAACAACTGAGACTTCCTATCAGTGTCACCTAAGAACTTGTCTTCCATTTCAAAAATGCGATTTTAAAATTTTTGCACAATCCAAATTTTCCCATTTCTCTTGAACCTTTCATGATAGGCTCCTGGACTCTTACGACGGGTTCTTTCCATAGAATTCTAACTTTCCAAATTTGAAAATGTTTCGAATAAGCAATTAGGAATGGTCTAGTAGATGCAGGTTTCATATTCTCTTTGAAAAGCATTTCTATATTTGAGAATCAACAAAATTGCCATTTTTGGAAAGACGCATTTTTCATCAGCATTTTTTTCTCGCAAGATTTGTTATCACCTTAACAGTTTCAGTACATTTCCACTTTAACAAGAAGAGTCCTATTCAAAATATGGCCAAATATCTTTCTTCTCCTTTTCTCTCTGAGTTGACAACCATAAAAGTAACTCAAGAGTCCGACCAATTAGTTGACTCAGTTATCCAAGAGTAAATACATTTATAGAAAGCAACTTTCAATTATCTTCAATCTTCACAGATAAAAAACGCAAAATAACTGAATAAAATGCAGCTAATGGTGCCAAGACTAGAATTGAAACTGCTGATGGCATTCTCACACCAAAAGCACTGAAATGTTTTATAGCCAACACATAAGATAATGCTGGTGACTTGAAACAGGTTTCAATGGAAAGCGTGCGACATACTTTCTCGTTCAAACCCAAACATTTAGGTATGTAATAGCCAGCAATTCCTGAAGGCATTCCGTTAACAGAGCTCTTCTCCCTATTCCAAACATTCTTACCTCCCACAAAATGCAGCAACATAACAGGCAAAAACAAGACCCCTGCGCTATTCAATATCAAATTCTGCACCTTTGAAAGGGCACCGACTACACAATACATTGTAGCGACAACACCAACGAGAGGAAGTGCAGGCTCCAATACATACATTAGCTTTGGGAAACACGAATGGAGAAACATTCCTAGTAATATTGGAGCAAGTACAACTTCAGCAGTAGACTTGGATAACTCTACCACACTGATGGGAATAACTGTTCCAAGAAACAGCTTAGAAAGAGTTGGCAGCATGAAAACTGATGCTAAAGTGGAAATTGTTGTCATGGCTACACTCAGTGCAACATCTCCCTTGGCAATATATGTCGAAAGATTACTCGCCTGTCCTCCTGATACACAACCCAAGAGAATCATACCAGCATAATATTCGTAATGAAAACCACAGAAACGAGAAATAAAAACAGAAAGAAATGGCATCAAAATATAACAACCGATGAAACCTAGTAGTACTGGGAGTGGACTTTTCAACACCGGAACAAAGTCTTTCAAAGACAGTGTAGAACCAACAGAAAACATTAAGACAGAGAGCGCCCAAGAAATGCTTTGTGAGCTAATCCTATTAAAAAGACTTGGTCGAAATAGAGCCAGAAGAGAGGCAGTCAAGGTCCATATCGGATATAATAATGTTGCCCGGTTTGTCAGTTGTTTATAAAGTTGAAAGGATGCTGCAAAAAACGGACGTTTATCTTTCTTTTGTGAACCTTCACTGGACATAAAAAACTCCAAGAATGAAAAATAGTGAACTCCGCAATTTGTTTCAACTGGGGATCCCACCAAAAAGTTGAGTCGTCTGGGAATAATAGTGTTTGAGATTCGATTCAGTCGATGAGTACCTTTGAATGAAGATTGCGTTGTAGTCCACAACTTTCTTTGAATAGAAACTTGAAATGTAAAGCCGAGAACATGGCGCGGGAAGGCAGTCAAATCTCTCATGAAATCAGTTTTCATCCGATGAAGAAAATAAAGATGGAATGGATCTCGTCGATTCCATTGTTATTCAACTTGCAATTGCAAATATTTGATGCTTTCAAATGCTGTTGTACTTGACCCATATATTATTTTCATACCTAAAAACAGTTTTCCTCTATGAAGTAAGCTTCAAGCGTATATATACACTGTTTGATTTTCTGGCAAATGAAATTGTGTAGAGTGAATTGGTGAAATTTCCAAAGATTAGATTGGCTCTATTGATGAAAGGAAGGAAACTTTGGTTAGTTCGACATGGTGAGAGAATGGACCACGTTGATGAAATATGGAAGCAGAAAGCTAAGAACCCATATGTAAGGAGCTATTTTCCTCTCGTTTTCCTGTCTTTAAGGCTTTGTTATAAGGATCCTCCTCTGACAGAACGAGGACGCAAGCAAGCTTGGGAGTTGGCAGGTACAACTCGATGTACTGATAAATAAAGCCTGAAAAGTTTAAGCTTGTTTTAGGAGAATTATCTAAAGAACAGGTTGATGTTATAATCTCGTCGCCTTTTCTTCGATGTGTTCAAACCGCTGTTATTATTGCAGAGAAGTGTGGACTTGAAATCAAAATCGAGCCAGGAGCTACGGAATGGCTCAATGAAGAGTGGTTTGGTATTATACGGAACATTTTATCTATGCAGGTCTGAAAGTATGGTAGGACCAACCATCCCCGAGTGGAAATCCTTGGAGGAACTGCGTGATCAATTTCCTGCTATTGACGTGACTTATCAACCCATTTTCATACCAAAACACCCAGAAACGCGTTTTTCACTGAAAGAACGGGCTAGGAAGACTATGATGAGTCTTACACAGGAACGATATCCACTTCAGAATATCCTCGTAGTTACACACGGCGCTTCTGTTGAAGTACTTGCGTTGGGTTTGTATCCAAAACGGCCAGTAGATTGGGTCACTTGTAGGTATGTTCAATTTGCGATGTCATACTCTGAAAAGCTTTGGTAGATTGCTGCCTCACAGAACTGGTAGAACAAGATAACAGACAGTGGATACCAACACGAATTTGTGACACATCCTTTTTAAGTGAACCAGAGCATTGTTGTCCCGTTTATCGTTAAACTTTTGCTTGAGGACATTGCTCTATTATTGCTTCTTGTAAAAGCCACTTTAGATGGTCAGCAGCATGAAATAACCAAAGTGGCTCCTTGGCTTATTTTGAAAGCCAAGGAGAGATAGAGAGCAATAAACAAGGTTTTGTATGTGGTTTGAATTTTCTCGTCATCTCGAGAATATTTCTGTGATTCAAACTGTTTTGGATCAGAAGATGTTGTCTCCTTACTTGCTAAGCTCGCTGCTGCTGCAACTCTTCAAGGATGCTCTTGAAGTTGGAATATCTCGTTTTACTTCAAATGTCGAAATGTCCCTTCGTCTTGTAAAGTGACAAATCGAATTTTTAGGTTTACTATGAGTTTTCATGAAATTCAATCCAAGCGAATTGAGCTTTGGTATTCTCATTTTTCCAGAATATGGTTAGTTGGCTGTTCTTAACCCTTTTGCTAAATATGCAACCAAATTTTCACCTGCATTGGTCAAATGAATCTCCTAAATGATGCTTAGGAATGTTCGCCTTGAATAAGTCTATGTCCGCATCAGCATTTAGCACTTCTAGTCAAGGCCACAAAGATTGACAGTTCACAAGTGTACTTTTCAACTCTTTTTCTCATCACCACACCATTTCTTTCGGTGAATAAAGTAAAGTCTCTCGCCTTGTGGATTGACAAAGGGGCACATAGCACATTTCTAAGTAATGAGGCTGCCTCTTTGTCAGAAGGCAGCATTGTTTTTGACTCGTGCGTTCACATGCCAAGTTTCTGAACTTTGAAAACAGCTACTTGCAGCATCATTTGCGTCAAAAGAGAGAGCTTGCTGCCTACTGGCGCCATTTTAAGACTCCAACTTGAATGGAACGTGAATAAAAGGCGCCAATTTAGAGATGAAGTAGGAAGTATAGGAATTTGGTCCGCAGTTCGAAAATGGGTTTGGAACTTACTCAGACGCTCTCTCAAGGAGATACTACAAACAAAAAAAGCAAAAGGGCTCGGACCCTTATGAACCGTGAAGGTTCGCGGTTGGACAGCAGGTTTAAGCGAGGCCAGGTTGTTTCACTGAGATTGAAGAACTTTGTAACCTTTGATGACGTGATGCTTCAAGCTAGTCCTTCGTTGAATTTAATTGCCGCTCCCAACGGGACAGGAAAGTCTACCGTTGCGTCAGCACTCAGTATAGTATTTTGTACCAACTTGAAAACTCTGGAACGAGCGTCATCTCTCGCAGAGTTTATTAAAAGAGGGGAGGAAAGAGCTACCATAGAAGTATCTTTGTATGATCCCCAATCACCTGAAACGAAATATCTGCGTAAAATCTCTCGATCGTTTGATAAGAACAAGAGCGAAAGCTTCATAGACGACAAGCACGTTCGACAGTCCGAAATACTGGATTTGTGCAAAAGCTATAATATTCAACTAGATAATCTGTGTGTATTCCTTCCTCAAGAAAGAATATCCAATTTTACAAGCATGGAACCGAAAGAATTGTTTCGAAGAAGTTTAGAAGCCATTGGAGGAAGTGACTTGTATGTTTCCTTTTCAGATTTGGTCTCAAGAGAAGATATTTTAAAGAGACAAAAAGACGAAAGAGAGGCGGATAAACGTAGACTCTTGGAGCTGGAGAAGGAGCGTGAACAACTTGAAAGTAATCTTCGCTTTGTAGAAGAAGTACAGAAGCTGAAGAATGAACTTGAGGAAATGGAATTTGTCAGGGATTGGCTAGATTATGAAGAGAAGAGGAAGCACCTTATTGAAACATCAAAGAAGAAAGATGAATTGAAGGTAAGATTCTAATATTGTTGCAAATTTTAGTTTAATACCTTTTTCTAGAGCGTCAAAATCTTAAGAGAAAATGAACTGAAGGAAATATCAAATGAATTACAAATTAGCAAAAATACTCTGCAAACTAGTAGAAACGACTTGCAATCTCTTAATGAGGAAACGCGACAAAAGAGAGACAAGATTGGGTTTATACGGAACAAACTTGATGAAATCCGTTCCAATGTCATGCTGAATTTGGAACGTCTAAAGCAGCTAAAGCCGGATTTTGAAGGTCGTAAAAAAAATATTGAAAAGGTCACAAGCATGTTTTTGTTGAGTCATTTCGTCACTGATATTGGTCAATAGAAGCACGAAATTATAAAGTCCTTGAAGCAGAATTTGTCAAATCGTGACACACTGAACCATCTTGAAGAGCAGCTCAGAGAGAAAAGAGAAGAAGTTTCTAGAAAGAAAGGCGAATATGACAATGAACGAGAAATTTTTCACTCTCAGAAAGTTGAGCTTGAAAGACATAAAAAAGAGTTGCAAACACTAACAGAACGAAAGCTGCAGCTTGAGAACTTTAGGGTTCGTCAGCTGCAGTATTTAGAAGAGAGGAATCCTGGTATCCAAAACGTTATCAAAGTAAGAAAATCTGGCTACAATTATTTTTGTTGAATAATTTTGTTTTGTTAGTTGATTGAACAGAATTCTCACAGATTACAAGGCAAAGTTTGGGGTCCGGTTGGTTTGGAAATCCAAGCTCATGATGAATACGCTGCCAAGATTTTACAAGCATGCGTTCCGAACGCTTTGAGGAGAACTTTTGTGGTTGAGTTTGATGAGGACTTTAAATTGTTAACCGAGTCGATCTGCAAGGATGTGAATTTTGATTGTGTATCAATAGAAGGCGTTCCAGAGACGAAGATAGCGACTCCATCCAATTTGGAATCTCTTAGTATTTATGGCCTTTATGATGTAGTCACAAACATTTTCGACGCAAGTCGGGAAATCAAACTAGCAATGTGTAGTCATACGCCGTATTCTTCGATATATGTCGGCAATGAAATGGCTCAAGAAAAAACTGAAGAGATTATTCAGAAAACAAATATTCATCATTGGTACGTTCCTGTTTGCATTCTTCAGTGGCCGGCCTGATTGTTATGAACTGTAAGGTTCAATCCCAAGGAATGTTTTCGAGTTGTAGTATCTCGTTTTACCCAGGAAAAGATAGTACAGTGTGATCCACTGAGACCTTTATCGAAACATGCTTCGATAGAGAAACAGGATGACAAAATAGAAGAGTTAAAGAAAAGAATGTCCCGTTTGTCGAAGAGTATCGAGAATATGGAAAGAGATATGCATTCACAGGCTCATAAGGTTGAGCTTTTAGGAAATAGGTATGCTGTACAGAAATTCTTTGCATGGAAAAGTATGTGTTCTTAAGCTTTCAAGTATTCGGACAGAAGAGACTGCTCTTTCTACCGTCTCAAGAGAAAGAAATGAAGTTTTCAAGTTACTTTCAGAGATAAAGAGTTTGAAATCCCAAGTGGAGAGAGAAGAATCAGAGCTGGGGCAAATGAATTTTCGAGAGGAACATTTGAAGATGCAAGAAGCTATAGCAAGTAACCGAAGAGACATGCTCTCTAATCTCGAGGAGCTACAAGAGGTTCGTTCATGATACATGTTGGCTATGATCTTTTTACTCTGTTTGTTAGCTCTTGAAGGAATGCTTTGAATTCGAGAAACAGCTCGACCAGAAAGCGATATTTTGTGTGAATCTAAGCAACACGTTGAAAGCACAGGAATCCGAGTTGAATGAGAAGCGTGATGATTTTCAAAAAGGGAAAGACGAGTACATGTCTTGTAAAGACGACTACACTAGTAAGAGAGATGAGTTGAAAGCAAAATATAAGGAGCTTCAAGAAAAAGCTCCTATGGAGAGATATAGAAGTATAGTTCAGGGTTATCCACAAGGCACGATAATATCTGTTGTCCTATTATTAATTCCATCTGAACTTTTCTATCTAGATGTGGCTAGCTTTAATAATCTGTACAATAGAAAGAAGGCGCGTTTAACTGCGATAAGTAATATAGATTCTTCGACTCTCGCCAGCTATGAGAAAGTAAAAAACGAATTGGCAGAGCTCGATCATAAACTACAGATGAATGTGGTAGGTAGATTGTTACCAGTTAGTATTTAACTAATGCGTTTTAGAGTGCATTGCATGAAGAGGAGATTCACTTTGCGGAGAAAAGGGTCCATTTTCTGGAGGAAATAAGAAATCACGTTTCTAGTATGAATGCACGTTTTAGTCAGTTGTTCAGTTTTTTAGAATGCCGAGGAGAACTTGTTTTAAAGGAAGTTGAAGACTTGAAAAATCTCAGCATTGAAATCAATGTTAGTTTTCGTGATGATCAACCTCTGTTACCTCTTAGTGGCGCACGGAATTCAGGTGGTGAAAAGATGGTTTCCATTATGTTGTACATATTCTCGATGCAGCACCTGACAAAAGCGCCGTTTAGACTTGTTGATGAGATGAATCAAGTGAGTTTTGTCTCTATGGGAGTAGTTTGGTTTCTTAAAGTCGATAGGGTATGGATCCTTGGTTCGAAAGAAAGATTATTTCTCTAATGGTTGAGGATGCCCGCAATTCTGCGAGCTCGCAAGTATTTCTAATTTCTCCCAAACTGCTTACCGATTTACAGTTTGGAACTGAAACTAGAGTTCATTTTATTTTTAATGGTCCTTGCGTGTGTAGTAGACAGGACTCTTGGAACCAGTCACTTGCAAAATATCTAGAACAAGAGTCGTGACTGCGTTTAGTGGCTTTCGCAATGCAGATATGTGATAAGGGCTTGAATAATTTCTGTATAAATGCGTCTTTCTTATACCAGACACAATTCTCTTTTTGAATGGATAGGCATGTCGACACCCGATATTCTTCTTTTTTTCTATATGGATAACTTTATTGTTTGCCTCAAGGTCCTAGCACATGTACATAGCGTGGAAACATTTTGTAATATTTTTTTCTCTTTTGCGCTTTAAGAAGCTTCCTAGAAGAATAGACAAGGTTTGGCCTTTCGTGAAAGAACTTTCAGCTTTCCGAAATAGTTTCCATCCATATGTTGCTATTTAATTGAAGTGCCATGTATGCAGATGAAAAAATACTTTAAGCACTATTTGTAATCGGGGGCTTTAAAAATTTCGTATAATATTATAATTGCATTGAAACCTATTTAGATATTTTGTTGAACGGGTCAACATTATGAAAACTTTTATTCTTTGGGTTCTCTGTGAACGTTATGAAACTGCAAGTCATTTGAAAAGGTCGGCTGAAAAGTCAATTAGAAAAAATGCTTGAAACGTTTTACCCTCCACTAATAAAAATGCTAGCATTTTTTTAGCAATCGAAAATATTAAATGAAAAACAAAGAGTAAACAAATAGAATAATATTTTTTGTTCATGAACATGATGGCAGCTTTGAAACTTGAGTTGGTGTTTCTCATCGTTACTTTAATTAGTACTATCACAAGAGCATCCATTCCTCCTCTGATGAGTCATCGGCAGCAATCAGCAGAAAACTCTCTTTTCCGATGGAGTGACAGCTATATTACTCCATTTATTTCAGAAATACCCACAAACACTGTATATAACTATCAACAGGGAGTAGTACGCCTTGGGTTTGTAAACAATAGTGTTATATATTGTGATGATGTCTACCTTAGTGAGTCTCTTGTTCCAACCAATCCCATTAAGGTGAACACTTCCCAACAGCTCCGAGCTGAAAGTCTTATTCTAAAGAATGGGTTCAAGTATGGGGCAAGTCAAGTGATTTTTGAAGGAAAGATAAGACCATTTTCTGCAGCATTTGACGTGTATCTTCCATTGGAAAATACTGTGGCGTATGACAAACAAATTCTTACCAATATGACGTTTCAGAGTGACCTACGAAAGATACTCGACATTCCCATGAGGTTCCTCTTCTATAGTGAAATTTTGATCGGAATTCCTCAAGTAACTCCTTCTCCTCAACCATATTCATATAGTCCGTACTCTTACAGTCCCACTTATTCATATATTTCTTATTCTTCTATGCCAACACCTACTCCAAGTGTTTCCTTCTACAACTACTATTCTCCTACTTGGTGAAGGAATCTGTGACCAATGATATTTGCTGTGACTTTTTGAATGGTATGTTCTCTGTCGATCAATAAAGTTCTTGTTTTGGTTATATCAAAAATGAAAAAGTCACAACTTCCTAAACCTTTGTATATCGATCTTTTTCCATAGTTAATAAGCAGCAGGAACATAGCTGGCAGCTTTTGCAAGAATTTCGTGTTTCTCATTTGGTTGCTATGACTGTAGAGGAAGCACGAATCCATCAAGTCGTCCACACTTAACGACTTACACTCCTCCAGAGAGAAACGCTTGACGACCACGCAAATTCAATAGAAAAATGCTCAACCCATATAAATCAACTGGAGAATTCAAATTTCATTGAGCATTGCGTTTTTTATGGAAACGAAATTGTGCTTGTGTGTAACTGGTTGTTATTCTGAATTTGTTATTTGCAGCATACAGAATCTATTTGAGAGCAATGATAAGGAGAATTCAGTGAACAATATGCCTACTAAGCACCGACAAAATGAATATTTATTACAAGTTTTCCTTTGGCAGGTGAGCAACGATAACAGGTTCTTACAACATGATGTATGATTAATAACTTATAGACAGGTGATTCTTTCCAGCTTTCTCTATCAAAGGTCAGCTTTGTCTTTCAAAAGTTTGGAATTCACGACTCTTGTATTATATTCGATATCGCAAGAAGCTCAACTGATCCAACACGACACTTGTTACCTTTACCAACTTTTAATAATTATGATTGCGATAAGCATCCATTTTTGTATCTAAAACCCATTCAAGACTGTGACTATTATGATGGAAATGATATATATGAATTTTACAAGTGTCTCCTGAAAGCACAAGCACTTGACCTATCGATTCCAATGAGGTCCATCATGGCGCTAGAAGAACTTGTTCGTACAGAAGAAACTTATCTAAAGGACTTGAATACCCTTGTAGATGTTTTTGTTCTTCCATTTGAAGAAGCTATCCACGTGAAGATATTACCAGCTAGTCTATTGCCTGATGTTTTGCAATCACTCTTTCAGAACTTGAATGAGCTATCACGTTTGCATGCAGAGTTTCTCCAAGTAAGTCATAGTCGTAGCCATAGCAATATATTTTTAGAACTTTTGAAAACAGGCTTTGTATTCATACATGTTAGAAGGAGGTCTAAGTAGACGAAACATTGGAGCGCTACTAACAAGTCAACTTTGTCAAACGTTAAAATTGCCTTATATAGATTATATTTCGAATTATGATATTCGAAACAAACAGTTGTGCTATTTACGAAATAAGTATGCACTCCTCGATGACTTTATTCGTACGTTTTAGAGATGAATGGAATAAGTATTCCTTTTACTATGCATCTATCAGGACGCTGTGAAGCCAGTAAAAAATGTGAAGGTCTATGTCTTTCAAGTCTTCTTATTAAACCAGTCCAGAGAGTTACCAAGTATGATTTACTCTTAACAGAAATAGAAAATGGATACAGTTGTTTCAACGAACAAATATTTTATATTAAGGAGGCACGTTCAGCGATCCGTGACTTACTTTCTACTGTCGAAGATCGGTTTGTTACAACTTTTTTCTACTGTTCCATTTTAATAGAAATTAGGATAACACCAAATGTAAACTTTGCCATGAGAGATATACTCTTCAAAGAAAATGGAACAACTGTTTCTCTTCAAGTTCCTGGTCGCTTGTGAGTTTTCAATTTTAAAACTGTATTAATATTCATTCATCTTTCTGTAAGGTTACTTATGGAGGGTTGGCTTACTTATCAAGAAAAGCACAAAATGGAATGTAAACCTTATTATTTTTTTCTTTTTTCTGACATTTTATTATGTTGTTATGATACTCGAAGCAAAAGTATTTCAAGGGCAATCTCCAAATTTTCAAAATCCAAAGAAACCTACAAGTAAGTGAGAGAGCTTAAGATATGAGCATGAAATTTGTTCAACCCATCTTTATTTATATTAGAATAGTTTGGCAAGAAGAAATTCATTCTGGTATTTACATTCAAACTTTAGAACATGGAATACCTCATGAAGACTTTATTTGGTTTCAAGTCTGCTTTGACAACTCAAATCGAAAGCAATTTTGTACAAGTAAGCGTTCTGCCTGCAACTATATGCTTTAACATATGAATAGGACTTGTGGCATTTCCTGAATGGCAAAAGGCGTTCAAAGAAGCATCTCAGTTTCATCAACCAGAATGTGACAATGTATTGAAGGAAAGTTCAAAGGCCAATATATTATACAGTCCTTGCGTAGGAAAGAGTCATCCAAGTGTATATGAAGCGTCATGAATTTAGTTTTCTGCGTTCCTTCCTGGTACATCCAAGACTAGTTGGTATATGTGATTCCGATATAATCTATATTGAACTCTTAGGAAATAAAAAATCAATCAATGTCTATCGAATGAATACTTGAAGTTCAACTAGTTGGAACCGGGAAACACAAAACAGTTCCCATCACAATTTGCCCCCACTAGAAAGTTTTTCTCCGTTACGGACTAAGAAAATGCCATATTATGAGCTGTTTTGTTTGTTTCGTACAGACTTGCCTAGACAAGAACTGTTTCAGTCGGTGAAGAAAACTGCAGAACGTCTTATGGACGCTGATGGTGTCATAACTCGCATCGATCCATTAGCGTCCAGAGAACTTGCTTATGATATTGTCCGTAAGGGAGTTCGATATGAAACAGCACACTTTATCCAATACCGAGTTTTTGCTCCTTCTGGTAATATTTATGACTTGGCCGTAAGAACTGTTTTCTCCTACATCTTGTGCATGACTCGAGGCTTCATTAGCAAAAATTGAAGTACGACAACTCTATCCTAAGGTTTAAGTTTTTGAGACGGCGATTAGAGGTAATCCACTCTTGTTTATTGTGCTGAGTCTCTTACTCTATATTTATTTAGGATGCAGTTAATCACTCCAATCCATTTGAGAGAATTCTTCCTCGTCAGAACCTACCAAAGACTGATCCTGCTTTTAGTTTGGAAAAGTTCTTACAGGTTGGATGTCTCTATGCCTTGGAATCCTTGCTGAATATTACTAGGATCTTCATGAGAAAGAGCCTTTAGGATATCGCTATGCTTCCAGAGAAACTTTTGGTGAAACAGATCAACTATCTGCCGAGTAAGTAATAAAAATTCTTGTCTACTTTTTCCCCTATTTTCACTTGTAGGGAAACTCCTAATGAAGGTTTGATAGATGATATATTGCGTACTTTGGAGAAAAGTGTAAGTACCAGTAGGAACTCGGTTGCAATATCAAAGTAGCTAACGAATTTTACAAGCAAAAACCATAAGTTATACATTTCAGTTTATTTTTGTATATTGACTGGTTGATTGAACTTCACTGTTCTTTTTATTATGTTCGAGCATAGTTATTCTTTCTATGGAAACAATAAACAGGTTTTGAGTTGCTTCATCTTGAACCATTAGATCTACTGCTACTTGGGACAGTACCAAATCGGACTTTATATGCAGAAGCTTTGACTATGGTTGTATAAAACAACAGTAAACGTAAATTGGTCTGATACTCGCTGTTAATAGCATATACCAAAGTCCATACCTAGCAATAACAATAGTTTCAGTAAACATCAAACACAAAATGGGGTCCAATAACTTCAGTTTGTGTTTTTCTCCTCGTTCCTGAAGCTTCCTTCTGGAACCATCGACAGTAACGATTATCATCATGATATAAAATATTTCTGTGATGAATCAAGGCGAAAATACTTACGAACCTTCTCTAAAGCAATTTCTAAAGTTGAAGTTGTGAACTGATTGAATATTCACCAGACGCAAACAGAATAACCAAAAATTCTCCAGACAAGTTGCGGCTCATAAAGGATAAAGAATGGTTCTTAACATTTCCCTTGCAAAAGTTGTCTTGAGAGTCTCCATCGTCACAACTGTTGTCACCGTAGCCTTAGAGTACTTGTACGTGTAAATAATTGTTCGCCATATAACTTGTCAAAACTAATCTCTGTAGTACCATATTTTGAGGTCTTTCTATAATGAAATACCTCGTTGCTACTTGTAATCCTCATCATATATCAAATATAGCACACTCTGCAAATAGATGATTAGATATTTCAAGCTATCTTTAAGTAACTCATAGTTTCAAAGTTGTCTCCCAATATGCTTCATATACGAGACCTTCATTTGCAGATAGAAAAGTTCTCGAACTTGACAACGTGCGAACAGTTCCAACCTAACTATTGAGGAAAATTTCCAGTCTTTTCCCCTCCTTGGATAGCTCTCTGGGGTAACTTTGCAAAAAGTTATAGTGTTGGATAATATCTTACAGAAGATGGTCTTAGGTAGTTTCTGACGAGAGAAAACTCTTTCATAGCTTCTAGCTTATTCACTGTACAATAGGCAACAAACAACTTTGAAGGATAAACTGTCCACTTCAAGTTTCTTTCATCAGGAGGTACTTGACCAAAACTTCTCAGATCGACAAAATGACGAGTTTCCCTTTTCAACCTTTCCAAAAGTCCTTATTGTGAGGATACAGTGAGAAGCCTCTAAAGAAGCGTCATCGTCATCTTTCTCAATAAAACCAGATAGTTCAACGCAAATGTGCCCTTTCTAATACCAAAAAGAAGTGGACCATAACAAATAGTTACTTGCTCCACTTGATCAGTTCCAGAATACCCATTGCTTTTCGCCTTTGATCAACTGTTTTGTGACTAGAGCTACATCTTGATCACGACCAACCGCTTCACGATTATAGTTAGCTTGGCTAAGCTCACAGATAAAGCGGTCCATAATGAATTTCACCAAGAAAGATAGAACTCAGTCACTATCAAATGTGAGGTATTCTGTTAACTCATGTTCCTGAAGTACGAACAGTTCTTTCTTCGGCTCAACAAAATACCATATTCTTAGTGTGCGTCCTAAATCTCCATTTGGAAGAACGTTTTACACAAACATACAAGGACTCAACATACACTGCATTAAACCCTTCTTCGAGGCTTAGAAGAGTTCTCCATCGAAAAAACCTCATTGAGCATTTTCATTCCACAACAATCACAATGGCAATCAGCTCCGTTCAGATATGGATTGGATAGTTTTTCTATTAATTAGAAAAAAGTCCTATTCCAACTCAAGTTAGTCATTTGAACTGCAATGCAATATGAATAGAATTCCTGGTGTAAACAGTGTTTTTCTGAAAGTTTGTTTCTCATTGTCACTTTGGTAGATTCATTTCAGGTTTCTCTTCTTCTACTCTCCATAGTTGAACGATTTTTTGAGGTTGAATACCATCGCTGCAACCAGGTTGTTTATTTTAGAACTGGTGAGTTTTCTGTCTCTTCCACAAAAGCGGAGTTTGGATGGGTCGTGAGTACTTTTGAAAACTGATACTTTTGTTTCGCAAACTAAAATACTCTTTAGTGTTTGTTATTACCTTTGCTTTACTTTTGCTTGAATCCAACTGGTTTCATGTTTGTCTAGCTGTTCATAAGACTCTAAGACTAAAAATGCAGTTTAAAAAACACATATAGACAAAAAGGATCTAAACTTTTACTAAATATCAGGAAAACAATAAAACTTTCGTAGACTGCGCTGCTTTTCTCAAGTTACAGAAAGCCTCCAGTTTTAGCTGCCACTCGCTTCATTTGTCTAAAGCAGAGAAAAATTCTCCTCTATCCAGTCAACAAAATATTGGAAGGAAAGCTCAAGTGAAATCTACCAACAACTTTCCGTTTCAATTTTTGAGAATTATAGTACACTGTAACGATCACTCCAAGATATGCTCATTTTAAACAAAACTCTTTCGGCTAAAATCAAGGCAACTAAGGCTGCTCTAACCTCATAAGTTTTTCCTTCTGTTTTGATAAAATAGACTTCGATGGTACAATCAAGAGGAAAATCAAACAAAGCAAAGTGGAAATGGCATTGTTTTGAATGCCACAGTCTGTCAACATTGCTAAGTTATTATTTCTTGTGTACGGACTTTATAAGTTATAAGATAATGGATGAGATCTAAAACAAGAATATAACGTCTTAAATTACTTTTTTTTACAAAGGCTGTCAACTCGATCCATTTGTTTCGCAAAATGTTCCTAGGACCATTTGCGAACACCTAGTCACTTGAAGGACACGAATCCATCTATTTCCAAAAATAGAATATAACCAACCGTTGGATCCTAGTGGGGCGATGTCAATCCAGTCAGCTACTTCCAAACAATGCCTTATATTTAAGCAAAGCAATGTTACGAGATAGTAACCAAATGACTAGAATAATTCAAATCGTTGGACATAATTATAATTGCCATTTCGGCAATGGATGATTTTCAGAGCATATTTTGCAATACGAAGCAATGTAGGATGACTAATTAATAAAAATCATGAACATATCTTGTCAGCCAGCTTATACACTCTTCAATGGAGACTGTTTGAATTCTAAAAAGGCAAAAAGGTAAAATGTAACCAATTTTCAAAGGTACGAAAAGTTCACTTCCTTCACAAATGAAATTACAAAAGTAGAGGTTCTTGGATATTCGCAGTCGTAAGAAGTTCCAACTTATGTCACGGGCATTGTTAAAACTCTAGTGGTTCTCGCCATAATATCCATGTAGACTTACAATTACTGATAATATATTTCAAGAGACTTATCTATGGTAAAAATTAAGATAAACTCCCATCGCTTGACTAAATAACAACTCCAGTTCATAGTCCAGTTATCAAACAAACATAAGACAGAAAGTTACTGGGTACCACAGTTTCTGTCCAAGAATGAATATAAGAGCAACTTCCAACGACAATTATATAGCTTTGGAAGAAGTAGAGTCAAAAAGAAGACAACCAGACAGTAGACTATCTTTGAAATTTAGTATCCAATGATTGGAGAAAGCGTTTGTTGACTAAGTTGCAAGTTATAATCATACAGAACAAGCTTTCACTGTTTTCACTATCCTCTTTAGAGTGGCACTGAGCACCGTGGCCTTAGGTACTATCATATATTACCGGATGGAAACGTGACTTTAACCTCTAAAGGACTCGTAACTTTTTATGCGTGAGGATGCTGAGACAATCAAATATCAGTATTTCATTAGTTTA